TTGTGAACATCTTTATGGTAAAGTGAATAAAGATCAAAGCTCTATTCTTCTATTTTTTTTCTTTTTTATTTTTTTTTCTTTTCAACAGGACTTTCTCAAAAAAAAAAAAAAAAAAAAAAAAAAAAAAAAAAAAAAACATTGAAAAAATGGAAGAATGTCAACTATTTAAAGCGATGACTTAAAAAATTCAGCATAAATATTGACAGTCTGGTAACTTGATAAATTTGATCTTTTACATTGTAGGAAAATATGCCAATTCTGAAAGAATTATTTATGTTTTAATCATACTATTGACATTTACAGTATCTGTGTCAACAGTATAATGGTGAATAAGATTATGATACTTGTATAAATTTGTGGTGATGATGATGATGATGATGATGATTAAGATATTGATGATAATTAAAATGATGATTTGATGATAATGGTGGAGTTAATGAATTATATTGATGGTGATTAAGATGATGTTGTTGATGTTGTTGATGATGATGATGAACTAAATTCCTTTGCTAAAATTTTACACAACTACTTTTGTTTATCATTAAAATTCTGCTTATATTTCAAATACGATTATCTGAAACATATTTATGTCTGCAAATTCATATACGACATTTTTTAAAAGTTCCACTGAAGGTGTCTGTCAACCTTAACGCTGTGATTTTTTTCATTTTAAACGCCAACTTATAAGTCAAGTTGATAAGACCCTTGATAAGATGAATTATCCGTTACAATGTCCTTAAAGCAATAATTTGTAACTCTTAATCCTATAAAGAGCACTGCATTCAAATTGTAAAATAAATTAAACACTCACAAATATCGTTAAATTCACAATTCATGACATTTCAGAAGTCCAAATATTTCTTATCGGCAAGTTAATATTAGGCTAAAGAAAGTTATAGATTAACTTGAAGTGTTTTATTTTCAAAGAATTTGCTGAACAGTAAAATCCAATCGCGACAGGTAATGTCTAAATATTATTACATAATATTGTGCAGACCTTTCATTGAAAGTCTTATGAAAAAGATAACCCATTTTGAATATTTAAACACCCGTATTCATAGCAGTCTTTATATAGTTAAAGGGAATATAACCCTTATATCCCTCAATTATATTCCATATCCCCCGAGGATTACTTCGGTCAAAATTCCAAGCACACGTTGCTGTGAATCATACGTTTCGCCAAAGCACATAGTACTGCAAAGCAAATTTTACGACGAGAAGAAATTCATTTAATCAAGTGAGCATTATAAAAAAAGAAGGTGAAATTGCAATATGTTCAAAAGATAAAAGATAATTATTACCATGTATTACGTAATACAAAGACATGTATTAAAACGTGGTATATAAGTAAGTTAAAACGATGAAGTACAGTGCAGTGCATTGCAGTACAGTACAGTACAGTACAGTACAGTACAGTACAGTACAAATGCTACACAAACACAACACAATGCAATACAACGAACTTTTCCACGGATATTGCATAATTGAAAAATAGAGAGATACTAGTATTTGAGTGTACACTATATGGCATGTACCGCTACTGTTTACATGTGATATATAAGTAAGTCAAAACGACGAAGTACAGTACAGTACAAATGCAATACAAACACAACACAATGCAATACAACGAACTTTTCCACGGATATTGCATAATTGAAAAATAGAGAGATACTAGTATTTGAGTGTACACTATATGGCATGTACCGCTACTGTTTACATGTGATATATAAGTAAGTCAAAACGACGAAGTACAGTACAGTACAAATGCAATACAAACACAACACAATGCAATACAACGAACTTTTTCACGGATATTGTATAATTGAAAAATAGAGAGATACTAGTATTTGAGTGTACACTATATGGCATGTACCGCTACTGTTTACATGTGATATATAAGTAAGTCAAACGACGAAGTACAGTACAGTACAAATGCAATACAAACACAACACAATGCAAAACATCATTATTCAATACAATAACAACATGATGCAACACAATGCAAAACAACACAACATATTACAAACACAACAAAATGCAAAACATCATAACGCAATACAATACCAACACGATGCAACACAACACAATGTAAAAACAACACAACACATTACAAACACTACACAATGCAATACAAACTCTACAACACAACACATAATGTAGTGCAATAAAACGCAACGAAACGCAACAAAAACAACCAATACACAATGCAAGACAACACAATGCAATGCAATAGCACACAATGAAAAACAAAACAACACAACACAAACACAATACAATGCAATGCAATGTTATACACAGTATTCAACACATTACAAAATGCAGTGAAAATTAATCACAATGAAACGCAACAAAAACAACCAATACACAATGCAATAGTACAAACCATGAAATGTTACGATATATTAACAGTATAATAAAGGTATAAGCAGTAAAAGTGGCTCTTGCATCGCAAAAGGTGGACACTGAGAAGAGGAAACTTTAATTAACATACGTTAATGTACAATTCTTTAATAAATTCCTTTATTCCTTTTAAAAACATCCAACAGAATACAGAACTTGCTACAACAAACGTTTGATGTCGCTAAAAACTCTTTGATATTTTAAAAATGCGATAAAAGGTTTAAAGTAATCCTATTAAGATCTTTAATTAATGTCCAGTCGTCAATAATGTGCTTATAACTACCTTACTTACAAAGATTCAAGTGTTTATAGTCATATAGGAAAACTGAGAGAAATCAAGCCGGGGATTATTGAATAAGGAACAGTGTAATATCAGAATTAGAAGTTAACCTGTCTGGTAAATATCAGATTAGATCATATTAAACGTTTGCCATGCCTTGGTGTATTTTAATAATGAAACATAAAGAAAACATATGTAGAAACAAATCCCGGTTCAGTTTTGTTTTGCAACAATTTGCCGCAAATTCAAAATTCCATTCGAGCTCCATATGTGCTGCAGAGATCCATAGGCGCATGATATAAAAATCATCAAGATAATAACGAATCACTTCTTTAAAACATTCGATTTTTAATTCGATTGTGTATCATTCTAAAATTGAAACTAATATTTGAAGAAGAAAAATCAATTAGATAGATTTTTCTATGTTGCACTTAAAAATATACATTGTACATGTATATTAATCAAAAAGAAAGCCGTAAAAGACATTTGGCAAACTAAAGGTATTGGTTTTAGTGATGGTGGGAAGTCCAGGTACTATGAAAGGGCGCACGAATATCACCACTTATGCCAACAGAAAGTAAAAATTAAGTTCTTTGGATGTAAAAAACGCCAATAAAAGATATTCAGCTGAGGCATGAATATATATGTGAAAGTAATATTATGTCAACTAATAAGAAGGTCCATGTGTAACATTATTTTGATTATGTCTTATAAGTAAACATCATACTAGGACATTGTTTAATTTTTTAAAATGTAATACAGCTATACTAGTGTTGTACTGACACTTGGCATATGACGCTGCATATTTGCTTAAGATAAAACTCTTAATGTATGCGATAAACCTCTTTTGTATACATTTCTCAGGACGCTTAAGTGGAGTTAATTTTATGCTGGTGTCCATCTGTAAGGTTTTAGTGTCCGTTTAACAATTGAAATAAGCTTTCAAGCCAGATAAATACAGTTCTAAACAATATACGTTCAAATGTAAGCATTAAATTAATTCATGTATATGAGTGTACGAAACTGATCACACCGCTGTATTTGCTGACAGAGTGGAGTTATCAAATGCACAAACAGTTATACATATTTTTTATTTAAAGTATAGATTGATAGACAAAATGTATGATCACTTTTTCTAGTTAGATAGACACTATAAGCAGTGGCGGATTTTCTTGTCAATTTCATGCATTATTGACTGTAGTCTATTCCAATATAAAAACATTTAATTATCTACATCCGGCTGTTAATCATCTGCCTGGTGGCTTTATCGATCAACATGAAAAGTGTAATTTAAAAGAAATAAAAGGGCGGCGAATTCTATTTGAATAACTGTTATTACCTAAAACTTAAGTATATTCCTTCATTTTCAAAGTAACGCTTCATTATGTTAAAGGGACTCCACTGAGGTTTTTTTTGACATCCTTTTTATTCGAGATTAATGTTCCTTTTTGATGACGGTACTGTATAGACCAACAACTTTTATGTGCAAAATGCCACATCATTCGCTCATTCTGTTTTCCAGAATAATTCTTCTAAACGTGAAAAATGACCCAAAATTTAAAGCGTTGCAACGCTTTTCTCTCAAATCTGGCTAGGAATAGCACACACATATAACTTTCTATTTATTTTAGAAGTTATTTTTTAATTATCGTTTGCATACATTTCTGTTTTTACTGACCTATCTGTTATATGTATTAAATTCAAATTTTATTATAATTTAGCTTTTTGGACCTCTAGCTGTGGAATTCTTTTAACATGACAATATTCAATAAGTTGATTACTAAGTTCCCTTTATTTGCCTTGGATACATTTGAATTGTAATATATAAAATATATTCATTGATTGAAAAGAAATCCTTATCGAATAATATTACAGCTCGGTGCCTGATGTTAATTGTAAATAAGCAAAATATAAAATAGGGTTGTGAAATCGTCAAAAGCTAAGATAAAAAGCATTTGAAAAACAATTTTTACCACATATTTCAAAAATTTCCCAGTCTATGGAAAACGAAATGGGAAACGAAATTTAAAGAGCTCTGTCGTCTCTAATTGATATTATGACCTCGGCAATTGTTTTTAGCGCTACAAATTAATTGATAGAGGTCTTGTATTCAATTAAAGACCCCTCTAAACTCATTTGAGCGCATTGAATATCTCGATTTCATGTTCAATCAATTGGAGACCTACGAAAATATTTAGAGAGGTCTTTAAATCAATTTTTGATATCATTTTTTAGTCCAGTTTAAATTAGTGGCGTCTGCATCAAGTGTTTATGCAAACTTATTTCCCTTTAATAAAATTACGTCATTTGTAGGTAAATGAGTTCCGCTTCCGGTGCAGAAAGCTTCTCCGTGACACAGATGATTTGATCAAATTTAATTTTTGCTACAGTTTAATTTTTAGACTCGGGAATATTTCCTGAAGTATGGAGTAAGGGTATTATTTTGCCAATATATAAGAATAAAGGTGATGTTTCTGATCCAGACAATTATCGTGGTATTACAATTTTGAGCTGTTTTGGTAAACTTTTTACGAATGTTCTTAATACTAGACTCAATAATTTTTTAGAGAATAATAATATATTGTGTGAAGAGCAAGCTGGATTCAGAAAGAATTATAGTACAACAGATCACATCTTTTCCTTAAAAATGTTAATTGATCTGTATTTGTCTAAAGGTAAAAAACTGTATTGTTCATTTATTGACTACAGGAAAGCCTTTGATAGCATTAATAGAACTGCATTCTGGCAAAAATTGTTAAGTAATAATGTTGATGGTAAATGTATAAAAATAATATATGATATGTATAAAAAAGCTAAATCTTGTGTTCAGGTGAACTCCTTTAGTAAAATGTCAGATTTTTTCACAAGTCATACAGGTGTTAGGCAAGGTGAAAATCTTTCGCCTGTTCTATTTTCTTTGTTTTTGAATGATTTAAACCAGTTTTTGTCACAACATTATAATGGTCTAGTTTCATTATCTTCAGTAGTAAATGATACTCTGAGTAACTTCGATGTTGAGGTTTATTTTAAATTGTACATACTACTTTATGCTGATGACACTGTAATTTTTGCTGAAACTGCAGATGAATTGCAAAAGGCACTTGATGCAATGAGTAGTTACTGTAATATGTGGAGTCTCCAAGTTAATCCTGCAAAAACTAAAATTGTTGTATTTTGTAAAAATGTACGTGGTATTCATAATGCTCCTAATTTCATTTTTGAAGGTAATATGTTAGAAGTAGTCGACTCTTTTTCATATCTTGGCGTAAAGTTTTCGTATAATGGTAAATTTACTAAAACAAAAGAATACTTGTTACAACAAGCTAGAAAAGCAATGTTCTCTGTAATAGTAAAGTCTAGAAGGCTGAACCTGCCTATTAGTATGCAAATACATTTGTTTGATACAATGGTAGCACCCATTTTGTTATATGGAAGTGAAGTGTGGGGAATTGAAAATTTAGACTTGATAGATCAATTTCAGTTAAAATTCTATAAACTTATTCTTCGGTTAAAACAAAGCACTCCTAATTGTATGCTATATGGTGAACTAGGGGTGCTACCTTTGTCTATTCATGTTAAGGCTCATATTTTATGTTACTGGAATAGAATTTTAAATGCTAAACCTGAGAAAATATGTCATATATTGTATAATGTTTCTTATAAGTTGTATAGTGATGATAACAATGTAAAACTACCTTGGATCAATTATGTACACAATTTATTGGACTCTCTGGGCATGTCAAATTACTGGATGTATAATATACCTTCTTCACAGCAATTGTTCAAGAACATTGTTAAAACTAGATTGAGAGATCAATATTTACAACAATGGCATAGTTTTGTGGCTGAGTCCAGTAAAAGCCTTAATTACAGAATGTACAAAGATTCCTTTGTTTTTGAAAATTATCTAGATACTTTGCCTTACCATTTGTCTAATGCTATTTTAAAGTTCAGATGTACGAACCATAGATTACCTATAGAAAAGGGGAGATTCTTTGGTATCCCGAGAGATGAAAGAACATGTCATTTATGTAATACAAACTCTTTAGGGGATGAATTTCATTACCTGTTTGTGTGTGACTTTTTTAAGCAGGAGCGTCGTAAATATATTTCAGTAAGATATACTAGTAATCCTAATACTTTGAAATATTCATTGCTAATGAATAGTACAGACAAAAACGAGCTTGTTAAACTTGCTGTTTATTGCAGGAAAGTAATGCATGTTTTCAAATGATAAACGAGGTTGTGTAATATATGTATACATTTTGATAGTAAATAGTATTGTGTAGTATAATATTATGTTTCTTAAGGCTAACATGTATTTTTATCACCTATGTGTTAGAAATGGCTCAGTGTCTGATATTGCTCAAATTTTGTCTGATATTGCTCAAATTTAGTCTGATATGAAAATTTTCTGTTTATCTAGTCATAGCAAATTTGTATCAGGTCATTTGTTCATGTTATATAGCAAATTTTCCTATGTGTTAGAAATGGCTCAGTGTCTGATATTGCTCAAATTTTGTCTGATATTTCTCAAATTTAGTCTGATATGATAATTTTCTGTTTATCTAGTCATAGCAAATTTGTATCATGTCATTTGTTCATGTTATATAGCAAATTTGTATTACGTCATTTGTTCATGTTTATCAGTTTAATATGTTGTGTTCTGATGCCTCTCAGAGGCCTAGAATTTGAAAATAAAAGTTCAAAGTTCAAAGTTAATTTGAAAAATGGTCGCTTTGGAACCAATTTGAATGTATAAAGTGATGTTTGATACACCTCTTTTATTTATCAGTAAGGTATTCATAAAATCTTATCTCTAATTTTATTATCATTCTATCTAAAATTAGAATTTATTATTTTTAAGTTATTCGTACTTGTAACATTTCGTACTGATGGAAACGCATATTTCGTCAAAATAAGTTTTGAAATTTGAATTGTATTTTTCTTAACTCATCTCCAGTATAAATATTTTTCTTAACTCATCTCCACTATAAGTTGCTTTGCTGTAAAAAATGTTTTTTTTTATAATACCTTCCATAACGAAACAATTCATGACATATGATTATGTCAATATAAGTTGATAATGAAATAAATTAATCATTGATAATTATTGATAATTTTTACATTGATTTATACATAACATAAAATTAAATATCCTATACATTATTGAAATTTGTTTTTAGAATTGATAGCTAGACAACAAAAGCTTGAATGACAAGTTGTCCAGAATTTGGCGCTTCAGTTATATATTAATCACACTTTACTGAAAATAATCAGTTACTTTAGATTTAGAATATATCCTGTATTTGCATATATGTGTGTTATTTCTTTGTCACCTGAGAGTTACCTCATACTTTGATTCTGTATGTACTTGTTGTGGTTTCCCAAAATGGATTCCTATTTTTCTACATTTAATTTAAGGCATATCTAATCATGACTTTAATTTTATTTCAGATTTGATATAAAAAAAATGGCTAGTGGCTCGTTAAAGATGGAGCATGATAAGATAGAGAGATTACGGGACCGTATGTTACAATGTCCAATATGTATGGATGAGTACAAAGACCCTCGTATACTTACCTGCCATCATACTGTCTGTCTTAGTTGTCTTCTTGACTATATCCATGCTTCATCATCTTCTGGCAGAATGTTCAGGTTTGTTTAAGTATGATCTTGATCATATTATAAACAGTTTGAGAGTCTGTGACATTTTGGCATGTTTAGTTCTACGTTATTTGCTATAAGAATCTATGTGTCACGGTTCAGAACTGTTCACTATTTAGGGGAGAAGATGTGTAAGCGGCCGGATAGCTCAGTCGGTAGAGCCGCGGTACGGTATTCCGAGGGTCCCGGTTCGAGTCCCGGTCAGGCTGCACATTTTTCTCACCCTGTGACATTTGGCGCCCAACGGGGACCGTGACTATATATAGCTTAGAGTTAATTCACATTGCTCTGCAACTGTAACTCTGTGAAATTTGAGGACGAATTTCAATATAGCAGGGGAGTATGTCACGGTTCAGAACTGTTCTCTATTTAGGGGAGATGATGTGAAAGAGATCGGATAGCTCAGTCGGTAGAGCCTCGTTACGGTATTCCGAGGGTCCCGGGTTCGAGTCCCGGTCAGGCTGCACATTTTTCTCACCCTGTGACATATGTATTAATAGTCACATAATAACAAGAAATTCATTTTACAAGAAATGTCAATTCATGACATGAAAAACATGAATGATACTGATTCTTTCCATACTCTAAGATCATTGGGCAGTTTTCTCACTTTAATGTAATTAAATAAGATAAACTATTATAAGAAATTTTAAAAAGCACCACTTTTGTCAACTTTTTTTCTAAACAACAAGAGAAAAGCATCTGAGATGTATGACTGACAGTTTGTACAAGTTTCCTGAAGCCTTACTCTGCTAAATGAATTCAGAAATTCATAAATAGGGAAGAAATTTCCCATTCACTTTAAAAAATAGGGTGATTTTTAAACACAAAGGGTGCAGATATGTAGTAATTGCATTTCACCCATTTTGTTTATATCGAGCCAGGACCAGTATGTCAGATATAGTACATTTGAAAAGAATAATGATTGATCAGCACTGGGTTTCTTTGGCATGATTCATCTGCTCTACACAATGACAGTTAAACTGACCCTATGAAATTCTTTGCCCCCCTCAACTTTTTCAACAGAAATATTGATCTCGTTAACCTTTCAGTCTCATGGGATTCTGGTGTTTGGAAATTTTATACTTAATGAAAAAGTTCATCAGACATTGGATTTTCAGATATGTGGTCACCTTATATAACTGAGGCCTATAAAAGATCTCTCCTTAATTGAAACTTACATCAGCTTTTTTTACTTCCCAAATTGGAAACTTTAATGATAGTTTTTTCCCAAAATGAAGAGGCTAAGGCTTCTTCCCGATTAAGGTAGAATAGTCACTGTGCCTCTTGTTTTAATTACATTTGCTGTTATACAGGTTATGGTAGTTCAATAATATCTTACTTTAATCACTCATTGTGTTATTCAATATAATGATATTTAACTTTTTGTCAAAATTCATTTACTTCAGAAAACACTTATCTTTACTATGCAAACTTAATTTCTTTTCAGATGCCCCCAGTGTAGGGCTGATGTGTGTGTTCCACGAGGGGGAGTGAAAGATTTCCCGCCAAATTTCTACATCAACTGCATCCAAGACGAGATTGGCTCCCGGCCATATTTTGGTATTTGTGATGTCTGTGAGAAGGACTGGTTGATGTCGCAGTACCGATGTATTGACTGTGACCTTGACATTTGCAAATTCTGTATCCACGATCACAGACTCTTTAAACACATTACCAGACGCCAGCCTAGTATCATTAAGATTGAAACAGGTAACTTGGGAATGAGCTTGACCTCAGACAGGTCATGTATTGATCATAAAGAAGAATCGCTACAGATGTATTGCGAGACGTGTGATGTTGCTATCTGTGTGTCCTGTGTTTGTGATAAACACAGAAAACACAACACAATGACACTGGTCAAGAAACTACAAGTTTCTCGTAAAAATCTACAATCCAGCTATGATCAACTGATATTAAAGGAGAAAGAGGTAAAAAGCACCCTTACAAAGTTGCATGATATTGAAAAGGAGGGGGACAAGTCAGCTGATGATGCCATTTCTCAGATCAAGGATTATACACAAGATATTGTAAACTGTATACAAAAATTGTCTGACGAGAAGATAGATGTGATTAAATCTAGAAGAGGAACACACTTGAAAGAAATTCATGATTACGAGAAAGATCTGTCCGTCTTCTTAGAACAGCTTCATAGGGGTTCGTCATTTCTTGGTGACCTACAAGATGAAGATATGTGCCTGGAATTGCTTACAGCATTCCAAAAATACAAAAGTGTCATAGAATCTACCCAAAGTTCTGTAGCAAACAGAAAAATAAAACAGAATAGCTTTACTTTCAGTCCTGGTAAAATTACTAACAAACTGGGTAATGTATGGATAAGTAGAAGTGCATTAAATAACACTGAGAATGAACATGTATTTCTTACCAGAGAGAAGGAAATGAAAGGTTTAAGAAGACTGGTTTCAGGAAGGATTTCTTTGACTGGTTGTTTTTTGGTGCTTGTTTTCGTGTTTTTAATGATCGGACTGGTACAGTTTGCAATATGTATAGCAGATAATGGTGCTAATGTGGAAAATGTCATGTGTACAGCTTTATATAGCTGCATGTGTTTAGCTGGGGTGTTTTCTTACAGAAAATCATAATAGTAAATAGCGTGACATTTAACAGCTGCTTGAGTTTTAATTACTTAGATAAATTCCCACCAATTTGCTAATTTAGTTAAAAATAGTAAGGTCCTCACAAAACCTTGCATTTAATAGTTGTGTTTTTTTTCTTCTTTTTTTTTTATGATCTTGAAGCTTGAAGGATATTTTTAGATATATGCAAATTTATTATGTTTTTTTATAGATTTTATCTACTTTTATAATAAATGCATTTTACAAACATTTACCAGTTATAGCACAAACTAGTTGACAGTCTGATGAAGTGTATTTAATATGCAAAATCAAATCACCTCAGATCACCTTTTTAGTAACATATGAACACTTGAATTTCATTTAAGGTGGATAAAAGAAATACTTTGAAGGATCTTTTGCAATTATGGAAGAATTCTAGAAATTAAAAGCATTTGTTATCAGACTGATTTTATTTAGTCATTTTATAACAGTATTTTATTTATTCAAAACTTAAAGGAATTCTTACTATTTATGCTGTTATATGTTTTGTTTGTGTAATCAAAATGTGTATATATGTAACACTCCTACAACCCTCCCTCCTCCAAAAAATATTGATGAATACTGTTCTAAGACATTATTGTAAAATACATATTTCTCAGTATAACTATAAGAGCAAAAGGTTATCAAAAATAGAAATAAACTGATCTTCTAATTACCCAATACCCACAAACTAAATGATTACACTCACACAGGGCATACATTGTGGGGAGGGAGAGGTGTATATTGAAGATGTTTTCAAAATTACTGTAAAGAAAATATATAGGTTGTAAAACAATGTACTTTTTTTATCTACTTAACAAATCTTATAAGTGTGCATGTATAAATGGTTTTATAGGTGTATCAATATTTACCCGATCATGCTGAAATTTTCAATAAATACAAAAAAGAGACATGTTATCATTTTTAGCTCACCTGTCACAAAGTGGCAGGGTGAGCTTTTGTGATCGCTTTTCGTCCGGCGTCCGTCCATCGTCCGTCCGTAAACTTTTACTTTAAATGACATCTCTTCATAAACCACTAAGCCAATTTCATCCAAACTTCACAGGAATGTTCCTTTGGTGGTCACCTTTAAAAATTGTTCAAAGAATTTAATTCCATGCAGAACTCTGGTTGCCATGGCAACCGAAAGAAAAAACTTTAAATATCTTCTTTTAAAAAACCCTAAGAGCTAGAGCTTAGATATTTGGCATGAAACATCTTCTAGTGAGTGTCTACCAAGTTTGTTCAAATAAAATCCCTGGGGTCAAAATTGGCCCCGCCCCAGGGGGTCATTGATTTTCCCTATATGCATATAGTAAAAACTTAAAAAATCTTCTTTTAAAGAACCCAAAGAGCTAGAGCTAAGATATTCAGCATGAAACATCTTCTAATGAGTGTGTACCAAGTTTGTTCAAATAAAAGCCCTGGGGTCAAAATTGGCCCCGCCCCGGGGGTCATTGATTTTCCTTATATGTGTATAGCAAAAACTTAAATAATCTTCTTTGAAAAAACCCAAATAGCTAGAGTTTAGATATTTGGCATGAAACATCTTCTAGTGAGTGTCTACAAAGTTTATTCAAATAATAGCCCGTGGGTAAAAATTGGCCCCGCCCCGGTCTTATTGATTTTCCTTATATGTGTATAGCAAAATCTTAAAAATCTTCTTTGAAAAAACCCAAATAGCTAGAGTTTAGATATTAAGCATGAAACATCTTCTAGTAAACCTCTACAAAGTTTGTTCAAATAAAAGCCCTGGGGTAAAAACTGGCCCCGCCCCAGGGGTGTCATTGTTTTTAACTATATGTGTGTAGTAAAAAAATTAAAAATCTTCTTTTAAAAAACCCAATGAGCTAGAGCTTAGATGTTTAGCATGAAATATCTTCTTATGGATGTCTACCAAGTTTGTTCAAATAAAAGCCCTTGGGTGAAAATTGGCCCGGGGGGGGGGGGGGGGGGGGGGGAAGGGGGCGGGGTGAGATCATTGTTTTTCATTACATGTGTGTAGTAAAAACTTAACATTGTGAAACATCTTCTAATGAGTGTCTTCCAAGTTTGTTCAAATGAAAGCCCTGGGGTTTAAACTGGCCCCGCTCCGGGGGCCTATATACAGGTGAGCGACCTCAGGGCCATCATGGCCCTCTTGTTATTAAGTACTTTCATTCAAGATACAAATTTAAGATTAAATTTTTAAAAAATGTGAATGCGGGTTGAAAGTCGATGTTGCAATATGATGTCCTGTGTGTGCCCACCCTGACTATTACAGCCTGGCATCGTCGTCACATCGATCTAACATACCGTTGTAGATAATTTTGGGGTTGGTGAGGAAGGTTACCAAAGAAGTTGCTCTGTACTTAATGACTAGCCTTCTTAGGTAGTTTGGTGTACACTCATGCCAGGCGCAACCTACAAATGATACAGACAATTAATTACTAAATAAAAATATGCATTTTATGTTTGTCTTATTTAAATGATTTTCGGCTTTTACAATGCAAAGGAATTAAAATAATTATTTAAAGAAATACATTTTGTAACCAACCTGTGTTTGGTGTACACCAGCGTTGACCAATCTTAGGGTTATGCCACGATGTTGTATAGATAATCTACCCATGTGGTGTTTTTCTGATATGTCGATCTCTATCGTATCCGAGATATCATGTGCAATCTTATTCCACCCATTCTCACAATTTTTTCGTGCATTGTGTAAATATCGTTCGTTCATGGTTGAACGCATCTCATAATTAAAATTGACATGCTTGAGCACATGAAATGTGTGGAAATGCAGCCAATAGTCAGAACACAAAATTTTGTAAAAATATATTGATAAACGAAAAAGTTACAAGGACATAAAAGGTGCACACTTATAAGATTTGTTAAGTGTATTATCTTGCATGGTATATATAGATATAAGTAGATTTACTGAGATAATGCTAGAGCATTGCTTTGAGTCAGTGATATTATATTTGTGTAATATTTAATGCTACCATTTTTAGCTCACCTGTCACAAAGTGACAGGGTGAGCTTTTGTGATCGCTTTTCGTCCGGCGTCCGTCCGTCGTCCGTCCGTCCGTCCGTCCGTCCGTCCGTAAACTTTTACTTTAAATGACATCTCCTCATAAACCACAAAGCCAATTTCATCCAAACTTCACAGGAATGTTCCTTTGGTGGTCACCTTTAAAAATTGTTCAAAGAATTTAATTCCATGCAGAACTCTGGTTGCCATGGCAACCAAAAGAAAAAACTTTAAATATCTTCTTTTAAAAAACCGAAAGAGCTAGAGCTAAGATATTTGGCATGAAACATCTTCTAGTGAGTGTCTACCAAGATTGTTCAAATAAAAGCCCTGGGGTCAAAATTGGCCCCGCCCCAGGGGGTCATTGATTTTCCCTATATGTATATATAGTAAAAACTTAAAAAATCTTCTTCTAAAGAACTCAAAGAGCTAGAGCTAAGATATTTAGCATGAAACATGTTCTAATGGGTGTCTACCAAGTTTGTTCAAATAAAAGCCCTGGGGTCAAAATTGGCCCCGCCCCAGGGGGTCATTGATTTTCCCTATATGCATATAGTAAAAACTTAAAAAATCTCCTTTTAAAGAACCCGAAAGGCTAGAGCTTAGATATTTGGCATGAATCATCTTCTACTGAGTGTCTACCAAGATTGTTCAAATAAAAGCCCTGGGGTCAAAATTGGCCCCGCCCCAGGGTGTCATTGATTTTCCCTATATGCATATAGTAAAAACTTAAAAAATCTTTTTTTAAAGAACCCAAAGAGCTAGAGCTAAGATATTTAGCATGAAACATTTTCTAATGAGTGTCTACCAAGTTTGTTCAAATAAAAGCCCTGGGATCAAAATTGGCCTCGCCCCAGGGTGTCATTGATTTTCCCTGTATGCATATAGTAAAAATTTAAAAATCTTCTTTTAAAGAACTCATCGAGCTAGAGCTAAGATATTTAGCATGAAACATGTTCTAATGGTTGTCTACCAAGTTTGTTCAAATAAAAGCCCTAGGGTCAAAATTGCCCCGCCCCAGGGGGTCATTGATTTTCCCTATATGTATATAGCAAAAACTTAAAAAATCTTCTTTTAAAGAACCAAAATAGCTAGAGCTAAGATATTTAGCATGAAACATCTTCTAATGGGTGTCTACCAAGTTTGTTCAAATAAAAGCCCTGTGGTCAAAATTGGCTCCGCCCCAGGGGGTCATTGATTTTCCCTATATGTATATAGTAAAAACTTAAAAAATCTTCTTTTAAAGAACTCAAAGAGCTAGAGCTAAGATATTTAGCATGAAACATGTTCTAATGGGTGTCTACCAAGTTTGTTCAAATAAAAGACCTGGGGTCAAAATTGGCCCCGCCCTAGGGGGTCATTGATTTTCCCTATATGTATATAGTAAAAACCTAAAAAATCTTCTTTTAAAGAACTCAAAGAGCTAGAGCTAAGATATTTAGCATGAAACATGTTCTAATGGGTGTCTACCAAGTTTGTTCAAATAAAAGCCTTGGGGTCAAAATTGGCCCCGTCCCAGGGGGTCATTGATTTTCCCTATATGTACATGTATATAGTAAAAACTTAAAAAATCTTCTTTTAAAGAACTCAAAGAGCTAGAGCTAAGATATTTAGCATGAAACATGTTCTAATGGGTGTCTACCAAGTTTGTTCAAATAAGAGCCCTGGGGTCAAAATTGGCCCACCCCGGGGGTCATTGATTTTCCTTATATATATATATGTGTATATCAAAAACTTAAAAAGTATTCTTTGAAAAAACCTAAATAGCTAGAGTTAAGATATTAAGCATGAAACATCTTCTAGTGAGTGTCTACAAAGTTTGTTCAAATAAAAGCCCTGGGGTCAAAATTGGCCCTGCCCTGGGGGTCATTGATTTTCCTTATATGTGTATAGGAAAAACTTAAAAAAACATTTTTGAAAAAACCCAAATAGCTAGAGTTTAGATATTAAGCATGAAACATGTTCTAGTAAGTGTCTACAAAGTTTGTTCAAATAAAAGCCCTGGGGTCAAAACTGGCCCCGCCCCAGGGGTGTCATTGTTTTTAACTATATGTGTATAGTAAAAACTTAAAAAATCTTCTTTAAAAAAACACAATGAGCTACAGCTTAGATGTTTAGCATGAAACGTCTTCTTATGGGTGTCTACCAAGTTTGTTCAAATAAAAGGCCTTGGTTAAAATTGGCCCTGACGGGGGTAGAGGAGGGCACATCATTGTTTTTCATTATAAGTGTGTACATCATGAAACGTCTTCTTATAGGTGTCTTTCAAGTTTGTTCAAATAAAAGCCCTGGGGTTTAAACTGGCCCCGCTCCGGGGGCCTACATACAGGTGAGCGACCTTAGGGCCATCATGGCCCTCTTGTTTAGTGAATATTTTGTGCTTTTAGGCTACTGATAAAAAAAAATGATAGAAATGGTGAAGAGGTGACTTCTCTACACTTCTGCTTGTATTTAAATGTATAACTAATCAGTCTAATGACATGCCTTGTGTCTGCAATAAATGTGTCTGAAAGTGCTGATGGAGTGTTTTAAACTGAATTCTATTATAATAAGTTGTTTATATAATTATAGAAAATATATGTTAACATGAATAAATCTTTATCTTTAAAATGTTTAAGACTGTTAATAAGAGTTTTGTAAAAAGTTCAAACACAATGCTTTTTGAAATTTTTTGGTAGAACATGTTATTTGCATGTTTGTTGTTCTTTCTGTCTTGTTAAGTCGTACTGTTACTTATAGTGCCATAATTTATTAACTGATACCATAGATAAATGATGTTTTGGTATCTTAGATAGACAATGAATAAGGTCATTGTGGCTAAAAAAATAACTTTTATAGGACATTTAGAACATATTTTTAACTTTAATCAGGCGCTTAGTGGGATTTCAGGTCAACTTGATTATGGTCAAGGTCACATAGGCTAAAAATAACCATTACCACAGTGCATTAAGATCATGTTTTAATTTTTTGAAAGTCACATAAGGAGTTTATTGTGGATGTTACTAATGTACTAGTTGGTTGTGAAGTAGGAGATGGGAAGTAACTACTGTGATGTGTTGGTGTGCAATAAATGTTAATGATGAAAATAACATAATAAGAATGGCTATATAAGATTAATAGAAATTGTTTTTATAAACACTGCAATATGAGGATAATTTGTACTATATCTACAGTGTATTTGTTTACTGTAAATATAGAATATATTTCACTGTGAAAATTGTAATATCATGGAGAGTGCAATAAGTAGCATGACAAAAATTTGTAAAATATATCTTAATTCATGAACAGGCATGAAATTTTATTTGTTGTTGCAAACTAAAATTGACACTGTCCTTTTTTCTGTGAGAACTAATTGTCTTGCATGACATGGTCTTTCAAATATGTGTTCACTTAATTAATGACAAATATTTTGATCTACTAATTATCCTACTAAAATGTATTCAAGTTTAATAGGCATGAAATAATATGTTTTTATATTTTATGCTCATAGATTAAAAACAAGAAGGAATTTTTACATTAAATTACAGACAGTTTGTGATTTTTGGATAAAAGTGATAATTGTCAAAATTTCCAAAGCAACATGTTATTAAATAAGTGAAATAAATCTTCATGAATCAAACTTAAGAAAAATACTGTTTTTAAATTATTTAACAATTGACTAATGTTTTACACATTAGGATCAGTTTTAGCTGTCATAAAATTAGCCCAAATCTAGAGATGTGTTGCTTTAAGTAATGACAAAAAGTCAGCAGTACATCAGTATATGATATTTTACTTAGTTGAATTAGTTGATGCCAACATAAATAAAGTGTTATTGTTAGAGAGTTGCAAGTATTTGCTTATTTCTTATTACATAGTATGTAATATTATATGTGATAAATATTTAAAGTTTTATATAGCTATGTCTTGTGAATTTCATGTTTTTGTTATGTTTTGTTACTGCTCTTTTTAGTTCCAAGATGCAAACAATAAAAATTGTGATCAATTATAATAAGAATATGAGTTTGTTGTTAATTATTTCAAACAGGGAAATTCTGCCTGAAACAATGATTACTAGTAACTAGTTTGTTAAGTGAAACTCTTGATTTCTTTCATTTCAAAGTAAATAAATCATTGTGAAAAATTATCTTCCTAGATTTTTACATGCCCAAAGGTAACTTTAGTTGTATTATATACTATGGTAATTGTGTGTCAGTCCATTAGCCATATTGATGTAAACTCAATTTGGCAAGAGTCAGAATATTTCCAACTGAAAAAGTATGCATTCATCATTCAGAGGTGTGGAAATCCTATGCCTGACAAGTGAAAATCTGAGCAAGTAGAAAAACTTCTATCCCTAAACAACTGAGACATGTATTGAGTTTCAAATGAAAACTAGGAACTTTTAAGTTCACAAAGGGCCATAATTCTCTCAAAATCATTGCTAGAGTTATTGGCCTTGGTGACCTCCTATAGTGATCTCAAATAAGTGTGTGAAGTAACAAGCAAATATCATCAGTGGTTGATTATATAATGTCAAAGAAGAAGTTGCTTGTACAAAAACTTAAACCACAGTGTTATGTTGACTTTTAGGAAAGTAGGAAAGCCCTATTCTTTGAACAGTGGAGCTAAAAACAACAATTTCAATGTATTTGCAAGACATTTTTATTGCTTCACTTTGTCAAGTGACTTACTGACATAAGATCTATCCTGGATTAATAAAACAATGTTGCAGCAAAAATCAAACAATTCAATACATCCATTTACAACAATAAAATTTACATTACAAGAACTCACTCATTCCTGTTTTTATTCATCTTCCCATAAAACATATCATATAAGTTAAATTTGCTCCATAAAATTATGCAGTCAACACAACCATTTTAATCTACAAGAACACTTTAAACTTAAACATAAAATTCATAAATCAAAAACTCAATAACAAAAACTTTAAGAGCAATTATATATATTTTTTCTTTGTATCTACAAGTCTTATATAGAAATTATAACAATAAAAGAAAAACAAAGCGTTAAACAAACAGAAAAAAAATATTATGCAAATAATTAATCAGATTTTATAAACACTAAGACATCAAAATTTTGTTCAGAAAAGCTTAATTTTAATGATCTCCTTGGATACATTTAATGTACTGTCACAATAAACAAAATCAAGTTATCATAATTTATAAGATACAGCTTGAAGGAAAAAAAACACAAGATTTTTAACAATCCAATATTTTATAAATCATACAAAATATTTACCCATTATAATAAGTGCTGCCTGACTGATATCAAAGCTCAACCATTCTCTGTGTATGATTGTAAAGCAAGTGAAATTATCAATACAGGATTTATCACAAAGGGCATAATCCAGTCAAAATCAATGCAAGAGCTACAGGTCTTTGAGAGTGACTTACTATTAGGCACTAAAAGACATATTCAAGGTTTCAAATAAAAACCTTCAGTGGTTTATAAAATATGAAGTTGAATGCAAAACTGGAACCAAGTGTAATGCTTGCAATGTGCGAGGATAGTTTCACCATTCTCTAAATAATCAAGCTAAGAACTGTATAAGCACCTTTCAACTGTTTTCAGATCTACTTTTATATCACACCTTATCAAATACAACCATGTATACATGGACTTGTTCACAGCTACAAAACTGTATCAGACTCGACTTATGTCTTGTCCAGTAGAATTCAATATTATAATAACCTCATATCATCACCATATATGTATATCACTTAAATATAACACTCGATTCATGTATTATGCTTTATGTTTAAAAATTAAAACCCCAAATGCAAGTATAAATCAATCAAAGTATAAGGAGTATCAAAAAAGTGATAAATTATTCAATGAAATCTCAAAATCTCTGAAGTTCATGTTAATCATTTCAATATCAATAAAGTGTACCCTTGGTTTTGAGAAAGATATTTCTACCTCAGTGTCATAACATATTCCCTACATCAGTTTAAAAAGTCCACTCCATAGAAAACAAGTATATGAAGATTGTATATTTTTTCAAGATTGAGGAGATAACCTGTGTCATGCTAATATTTCAAATGGACTTCTCCATTATTCATACTGGAGTGAATCCTTTTATCATTTTTTAGGAAAGTCTAAAATTGAATACAGACTGAATAATCCATGCTAACCAATATTGGTCTGCACTTGTCACATGGGAGGAAACTGTTGCCTCCAGCAGGCAAATAATTGAATACAAAGCTACAAGAGATGTTCTAGTTTTTACAAGTTATATATAATAACCCACCAGAGAGCTTCTAATTAAATTGTACATCATGGGACTCTGAAGTAACATTATGTTCCAGACTGTGAGACATACAGGATATGTAACAAGTATAGGTTCTATACTGAATTTATTTAACGAGTTAAATACATTGTAATGATATATGCGAGTCTATGGCTCAATTCAATAAATGTAGTCATCAACTTAAACAAACATTATATTCTATTTATCATGTGACCAAAATAATAACAGTTTATAAAGAACCACTCTGTAACTGACACGCTTAAACATGTACTTTAATGCTAACCTTTAACATGACATTATGCTATGTTTGTATACCGGTAATAAATGTGAAGTAAACTCAATAAATATGCATATGTGTGCCATATCATTTTTTACAGAGTAAGAGAACTGCACAGGCTATCAATACCTCATGAACACAACCACAATAAATAACAAGAAACACATTAGGATTCATCTTAAACAATCATAAATAGTCAAAAAGAAAGTATAACAAACCTTAAATCTACAGTTTAATTTTCATTTAAAATACAAAAGTGTTTTGGCATAAACATAAAGAATTCATGAAAGAAAACAAAACAAAGTTTACTGTATATCATCTCCAGAAAAACATGAACAATAATCAGGTGAACAGTAGTTTCTGCATAAAGAATAGCACGAGAATACATCAATATCTGGTTTAAATAACATCATTTACAGTACAAATACTTTAATGAAAACCAAGGCAGTCGACAAATTTGTTCTAAAACACAATTTTTTCCCCATTCCTACTCTTAATAAATACAAATATAAATTAGTAACAGTAAAATTTCCTTACTTAAATATTATTTTGAACATTAAAGTCATAACAGGCAGTCAAGGTTATGTTTCAATATGTCTATCAATTAACATGGAGGCATATGTTTAACAAAAACATTAGAGAATTTAGATACAGTATTACTTATTAGATATAGAGGAACCGTATAAAGGTGGAACTTCTAAAATCAAAGGTTCATTATGTCTACAAGTACAATCTAAAACCTTAATGTCATTTTCCCCCTAAATGTATGCCTATTTCATCACAAAAGTCACACAAATAAAGACCAATATTTATGTGCATATGTATGCAAAAAGTACTGAAAAAAATGTAAATCAGATTTAGAATTAAATGGTCTTTGAACAGAATTCTGTACAGTGCAAGACATATTTGGATTTGTACCATTGGGCTTGTACCCAAACTGAAAAACCGTATCAAACTATACTCTGGATACTTGTCTATAATGGTTTAGATCCGGACATCTGTCGTGTCCGAGTGGGGTTGTTGGTACACTGTGAAATAACCTGATACAAATGTAATTTACTGAGAAAAAATACTGATTCTCTAATACTTTGGTTCATTATCTTCTGCTAAAAAGTCCTATTATCTGAGTACATCAGCACTCCATACTTGTAACAGGTTATAAATTCTTCAAGGTTAATTTGTTAGACACTGTATTCTTTTTTAAGCTTATTTATGTCCTCTTGGCTGTATGTCTTGGACGGATGAGATTCCAGTTCTGTCATAACTGATTTAACATCTGTAAAAAGATAAGAATGAAAATGTTATTTAAATATAAAATATATTTTTACTAAGTTATTATATCCTATATTTTAAATTCTGTAACACAATTTTTTTATGGTTTTAAATCATTAATATGATGCTCAAATTAAAATTTATCAATATTATAGGTTCCAAAAAGCATTATTTATAAAGATATTACCAAACTTAACATTTCATGTAAATAAAGGGAGGTAATAAAATTTTTTTTTCTATAAACTTAAGTTTAAGTCAAATTTTACAATAAGAAATAAATGCATATACATGTATTTTAATGATAACATATAATATGCACAGATATTTGCAGTACATATTTTTCGATGTTTGAAAAAAATTGTTTTATTTGCATAATTATGTACATACATATAATTTTATTTAGTTTGAATACAACATACAGGATCTTTAATTATGGTCAAACTATCCATTAGCTTTATAAACAAAGAAGGATATCATTATCTCAGATGATCATAGATGCTCCCTGTCATTGCTTTAACAAAGCTTAATTAACTTGAGCTGTCACAGAACTGACCAATAACTCAATCACCCCTGACACAGGATTTAATATAGGTTTACAGAGCAGACAGGGTAGTGATTGACTGACCAAATGAACTGACAGGACAAAGTGATTCCAGTATAACTATGAGGAGCAGAAGAGTAACCATTTAACCAGCCTTATGTAGAAAAAAGAAGTTGATCTAAAACATAAAGTTTATTTGAACAAACATAAATCCAAAACCAAAGTAGGAACAGCCTATTGTCACAAGAAAGGGTAAAATATCTGTAACACATACCGTTCTTTTCTTTCTGTGACATAAACATTGACACAGTTCCAAATCTGGGCACAGTGGAAAGATTTTTCAGCAATTCATAGCTAGTATCTACCTCTCCTGTAAATAAATGAAACCTCATGATAAAAACATAATGTGAACAACAAAGATAATAATATCATGAAAGTTAATACATTAGCAAGTTCTGTGGAAGCATGATATACCATATCTAAACAATTAAAACTTAAAAATTAAATCAAACTAAAAAAAAACTAAAATTAAATCAACAACTAATTCTGCCCATACCACCAGGCGACTTGTCCATCTTTCAATCTGAACCCTACCTTTCATAATTTTATAGAAATGTTCAAAATATGTACTGACTGATTAGCGAAACGTGCAGACCATGATGAAAAGGCATAAATTTGCCTGATAGATAATCTTAATCTGCACTGATCACATGGATAAAAATTAAGTTGCCATTTCAAAGCTAAGGTGTAACCAAAAAGATTTTAATGTTTATTAATTTCTCAAGAGCTAGCAGATATCAATTTTTTTTTGTCCATATCTATAATCCCTGGCCATTTTGCACATCCATTCAATCTGACTAGCCTCTATACTGTCATTACTATAATTTTGAAAGCAGGCTCCCCTCAACTAAATCAATACACGAATATAACACAAATATAGCAGGATCAAGGGGAGCGGTGGCCTAGTGGTTAAGGTGTCTGCCTCTCAAACAATGGATCATGGGTTTGAGCCCTAATCGTTTACGACTATGTTTCTTATATGACACCAGTACTGATTGGTTCCAGGAAGAAGACTCGAAAGTGATTAATATAAGTTGCAAGAACTTGTTTCACAACCAAGCTTAAAGAAATATGTTTAAACACAAGGATAAATGGGTTTAACTTACCATTTGGCAAATAGTGTTCCGACACACATCTTGTTATTGTATTGAGCATATTCCCATCTAGTTTGTTTGATATCACTAAAAAAAAATAACAACAAAACATTGTAACATTTCACACACAACATGGACTGAGAATACACTAGAAATGTGCCCATAGGACATGAATGCACCCACATTCCACTGTTTTGTCAGTATATGGTCCAAAAGAATGATTGCCATTCAAGGGTCTATATACTGTCACCCTAAGTGGGAGCATTAAAATGAATGAATCCTCCATGACAAAATAACTGATTGTTATTATTATTACTATTACTATGTTATTTCAAGCCATCGAAATTAAAGGGGTTCACCAAATCAAATAAGGTTATTTGAACCTTTTCAAGTGTGGAAGCTACATCGGGCTAGCCTACCTGAAATCTGTGGTTCATGCTTGCCTAAAAGACTTGGAAATGATTTTCAGAAAGAGTTTTTCTCCTCAAGCAAATCTAGATATTCAAATGGTTTAAATAAAACTTTTTTAAAAATAAAATCAACCTTGAAGTAAAATGACATTACTGAGAGACTGTAACACTACAATACAATTATAAATTTGATAAATACTGTAGATCACACTTACCAGTTTTAATATCACTAGGTTTAATTTGTTTCAGTAGATCATAATATGGCTTCACATTCTCTGCTTTCTTTAGGGCATTCCAAGCTGATATAAACTCATATGGCGTGGCTTTGTCTAGTTTAGGTGCTGTCTGTGGTACACTAGGTAAACCTTGACTGGTTTCCTTTATTGTTGACTTCTTTTGACTGGATTTTGTATCTTTTTTGCTAGAACCAGACTGAGAATTGACTGGTTTACTACTGTCTTTTTGTTTTTTGACTGGTTTTGATTTTGCTTCATTTGTTTCAGAGTTTATAACTTCAACTTTAGGTTTAGAGTCTTGTCCTTTAACACTGGGCTTGGACTCTGAACTTTTGCTTGATATCTCTGTTAATGTTATAATAAAAGCACTTGAATTAACATATCCATTATATGAAAAAAGAAATATTTTTTAGATAATTAAATAAAAACTAGAACTATCACTAAATGTGATTAATACCCCCCGCAAGACTGCTTCGGAAATGAGGATGTTACTAGTAACAGAATACCTTATAAAGAATTGAAACAGAGTTGGTTGTGGGCAATTAAAGATAGTTGTGGTTCTTGTATGTTGCATTTCCTTTCAATGTGGTTGGCCATTGATGAAGTTTTATTGAATTACTCTGTAAGAAGTCCAGAAAGACAAGGAAAAGGAACAAAGGGCAATAACTCTATAAATACTGAAGATTGAGTTATGGCTATTGTACACTGCACTTCCTCTCATTGCGCTTGACCATTGTATGAAGTTGTATTGAATTCCAACTACTAGTTTTCAAGTTATGCACTGGACAAAAAAGTAACAAAAGCAATAACTGTAATAAGTCCAAATAGAGTTATTGTTCTTGTGCACTGCACTTCATCTCACTGCCCTTGACCATTGTATAAAGTTTCATTGAATTCCAACCATTAATTTTCAAGTTATGCACTGGACAATAAAAAGTAACAAGGGCAAAAACTTTTAAATTAGTCAAAAAAGAGTTATGCTTTCTGTGCACTGCGCTTCCATTCAATATACTTGACCATAGTATGAAATAATTTTGAATTCCAACTAGTAGTTTTCAAGTTATGCTCTGGACAAGGAAAAGTAACAAAGGGCAGTAACTCTGTAATTAGTCAAAATGGAGTTATGGTTCTTGTGCACTGCACTTTCTCTTATTGTGCTTGACCATTGTATGAAGTTGTTTTAAATTCCAACCAGTATGTTTTAAGTTATGCTCCAGACAAGGAAAAGTATCAAAGGGCAATAACTCTGTAATTTGTCAAAATGGAGTTATAATTCTTGTGCACTGCATTTCCTCTTAATGTGCTTGACAACTGCATGAAGTTGTATTGAATTCCAACCAGTAGTTTTCAAGTTATGCTCCAGACAAGGAAAAGTAACAAAGGGCAATAACTCTGTCATTAGTCAAGATGGAGTTATGGTTCTCATGCACTGCACTTCCTCTCAATGTGCTTGACCATTGTATGAAGTTATATTGAATTCCAACCATTAGTCTTCAAGTTATGCTCCGGACAAGGAAAATGCAACGGACCGCTGGACCGACCGACCAACCGACCGACCGACCGACCAACCGACCGACCACCGGGTGACTCCTATATACCCCCCCAAACTTCGTTTTTGGGGGTATAATAACTATGTCAACTATAAATATTCATTTTAATATCACTGTTGTATTGAATTCCAACCAGTAGTTTTCAAGTTATGCTCCAGACAAGGAAAAGTAACAAAGGGCAGTAACTCTGTAATTAGTCAAAATGGAGTTATGGTTCTCATGCACTGCACTTCCTCTCAATGTGCTTGACCATTGTATGAAGTTATATTGAATTCCAACAATTAGTCTTCAAGTTTGAGTCCGGACAAAAGAAAGCAATGGAAAAATAACAAAGGGCAATAACTCTGTAATTACTTTAGATAGAGTTATGGTTCTTGTGCACTGCACTTCCCCTTATTGTGCTTGACAATTGTATGAAGTTGTTTCGAGTTTCAACCAGTATTTTTCAAGTTATGCTCCGTACAAGGAAAAGTAACAAAGATGGAGTTATGGTTCTTGTGCACTGCACTTCCTCTCAATGTGCTTGACCATTGTATGAAGTTATATTGAATTCCAACCATTAGTCTTCAAGTTATGCTCCGGACAAGGAAAATGCAACGGACCGCTGGACCGACCGACCGCTGGACCGACCGACCAACCGACTGACCACCGGGTGACTCCTATATACCCCCCCAAACTTCGTTTTTGGGGGTATAATAACTATGTCAACTATAAATATTCATTTTAATATCACTGCACATTTCCCCAGATGCAAAATTAATGTATGGCAAAATTAAAAGTCTGAAAGTTTTGTTTACTTTTTTTTTCATATGATAAAAACTCATGGCTACAAATAAAATATATACCTTTCTAGTGATTGTAACAATATAACCTTGCACTTTAATTGTTCTATGATTTTTGTTATACTGCTTATCCAATTGTACAGAAATATAAAGTGACTGCCACAGACATGACATGTGTCAACACAGACTCCATTTCAATATACAAATAAAATGTCATATACACGAACTGTCCTCAAAGTTTTTGGAATAGTGCTAGGGAATTATTTTTTGTAAAAGTGTTTTGCAGGAAAATGTTATCAACTAAAGTTGAAACCTTTTGGATCACATTAAGTAAATCAATTTTATTCTAATAATTCCAAACTGAAACACATTAACCTTTGCCATTAGTAAAGAGTGTAGCTCTTCTGATGACTTCCCAACTTTGTATTTTCAAAATGATAACAAACAGTATAAAAAGAGAAAACTGGAAAAGTATGTTTAAGAATTTCAACAAGACTAAAAAATAAAGGATAGTAGCTAAAATAAAATTAGGCTGTGTACATGACACAGATATCTAAATGACATAAGCTTATTTATTTCAAAATCTTATATAAACACATACAGATTACACTGAATTACCTGGAATACTTTCCTCTTCACTATCAACTTCCTGTATTACCATACGCTTTCTTTCTTTTCCAGTCTTTCCTTTATCTGCTGATGAACTGGTCTTTGCTGTAGTACTTTGTGAATCAGTCTTTCCTTTACCAGACTGAGAACCAGGTTTTGATTTACCAGACTGGGATCTAGGCTTTGCTTTACTAGACTGGGAACTAGTCTCAGGTTTACTAGAGCAGGCACCAGTAACATGGTCGGTCAATTCTTCTTTGTGCTTTTTTAAATTGCCAATGTTTTTCTTCATGTTCTCCAATTCCTGTAATTATGAATGAGTTTGGTGTAGGAATAGGTATCATTTTTTATACTAGAAATCAATGTCTGTCACAATTTAAATGAAATATATTCCCATTACCTCATGTAGACAACTGTAATTAAGACATTTAATTTAATGTAATCATCAAAAATATTCAATGAAAAATGTAAACTGTCTTTCAGAGTTGATAATGATAACAAACATACAAACTACCTATATAAACAGTTAAAAATGTTTAAGAACCTGACATTGGATAGCTTATCATAATCCAACATAAGGCTACTATTCTGAACGCTAGATCTAAATTCTATCTTTACCCGGGTTTTTTTTCCAGAATTTCGGGAACATGACCATTCCCATGGAATTGGTAATTTAAGCGGTTTTGTTACAAAATGGAAAAAAAGCATGACTTAACTTTTGCAGTGATTAAGTAAATGGAAAGAATTACTGTCTAGGATGGCATCTTCAAACATTTAAGCACCATAACAGCGAAGAAACCCTTATTTTCAAAGATATTAGAATTAGTTATTCAATATTTTTTACTTTGTAACTTTCAATTGTGAATTTTTTCCTGTGGATTGGGAAAATAATATACTATTTTCAATTGGGAATATGACAGAATATCGGCTATAAAATAAACCCCAAAAAATCCCTGTTTACTATTGTTTTATATGTATAAATTCATATTCAGAATAACATGTATTGATGGAAGTAGATTAACCCTTATTTTGCTAGAATTAAAAGTGTTTTACTTTTGCCGCCATTGTGAGCCAGGCCAGCTTTCATTCCTGTGAAGTCTGACTAGGCTTTATACTGTTGGCTGACCAATTTAGACAATATTTTCATCTTATTATACTATATCCCAAAAATTGATAATGGACAGGGCTGGACAAGTCTATTTAAGAAACTCAGCATTTAGGTTTAATGTTCTGAACTATTTATGGAAGTATAAAAATTATATTAAAGTATAAATTAACCTCTCTCCAGTAGTTTTTCAGAAGTTCCATTTCCTTCTTTGCTGCCGTATTTTTGGGATCAACTTGAAGTAAATGTTTAAGGTCCTCGATGCCTTCCCTATACTGTTTTAACATCTGCAATAAAAATATATGTTAAGGTATTTTCATCGGTGGAAGCCATACGGTGATACCTACCTGTCGCAATCTTTTATTACATTTCTTAAGACAAGTTTCATCTAAGTTTATATTTGTAGGAGCAGTAGTCCAGTGCTAGGACGCGCGCTTAGGGATCGAGAGGTCCCGGGTTCGAACCCCACTAGGGGCACTGCTAATTTCCTTGAGCAAGAAATTTACCTGCGATTGATTCACTTCACCCAGGTGTAAATGGGTACCTGCGAGGGTGGTATAAATCCGTTGCGCCAAAGTGTCGGCTGCACTAAGCGGAGTTAAAAGACTCCCCAGGGAGATTGATAGATAGATACCAGTAGCCCGATGACCAGGGGTAATAGCTGTAAAGTCGGTGAACGTGCGTAAGCATGAAACTTAGACTATAAAATGCAATTACTATATGGTAAAATTCATTTGTTTGCATTCTTTCTTTTTCACTTGACAATATTTCACTTTTTGTATAAAAATTTTTCATGAAAATAAGCATGTATCTTGAGACATGCTGCTTTAAAATTGTAACTGGAATGCTGAAAGAATTCATATGATTGTATTTATACCTTTCTAGCCTGAGCCCTCCTAAACAAAGCCTTCACATTATCTTTCTCTATCCCCAGTGCCTTACTGCAATCTTCCTCAGCCTTCTTTCCCTGTATATTAAATGTTTACTTTCTCAGTTTAAGTTATATAATTGTCAAAAAATTAGTTTCTAGCCAATAAGTGCTTTATAATAATAATATACTTGTCTAAAGAAAACATTAGTTCAAATCATTTTTTTAAATTCAATTTAATTAGTACAGACTAAGTGACTGCAATATATTGTACATAGAAGCTGACAGTTGAAGCATTAACTGCATATCTGTTGTTTTGTACTTACCATTGCTCTAATACATCTATATAGACTTAGGTTCATTTAAAGATTCTATTGACATAAAACAAAAAGACAATGAAAGCTTCTGTTCTTTTTTTTTATCAAAGAAATGTATGCTTGTTATATTCTCTTCTCTCTCGAAATTTAGCAATTATAGTTGTTTTACAGCAATGATGCAGAAAGTACAAAAAGCACTTGCCAATTCATCAAGGAATTACCAAGACATATACTATAGCAGTAGGTATTTTTAAAAATTACAAATCAATTTGTTAAAGTAATTATAACAGCAGTTTACCTGATTGGTTCTAATAAAACACAAAGCTCGGTTAGTATAGACAGCAACCTGACCTGGCATTACATCCTCACATTTATTATAACATTCTATTGCCTCCTTAAATTTACTCTGTAAAAATAAAAACACCAAAAGATAAACATATATACATATCTTTTTATTCAAAGAACAAATTTAAGCCAAGTAAAGTATGAATGGTTTGACCAATCTAACAAACATTCCAATCCAGAATTATCTCAATATCTCTTTGACAAGAGCACTTAGTTGGACTTATGTGTATAGTAGAAAAATCTTTAATACAACAAATACAATATCATTATCATATTTGACAACATTACAATACAAGGCTAAAAAGATATAGACATTTATTATGTTTACAGGGCTGTCATTTATAAAAAATTTGTATTGACATATCAAAAGCCACATATTGATGATATAACAATATATCAAATATGCAAATAACATTGCTCATAGTCATATTTGTTGTTCAAAAGATTTTTTTTTAAATGACCCCAAAAAAGTGTTTAATCAGGCTAATAATTGCACAAAACTATAATTTTCAATTTTGTATTTCTTGTCTATCCTTTTCATATTGGTCCATTTTAAGTGTCCCAGTTAATCTATATATAAGAAATTCAAATTTTAAGTTTTTAGGATTTTATACCTCATTGGAGTTACTGTAATACATATGAAGTATGCAGTTTAAATACAAGATGCAATTTTGATCACTCGCAGCTGTTACTTATTGATCCAACAATTTACCTGTTTTACTTTCTCATTCCCTTCTAACTTAAATGCATCAAATTGCTCCTGTGGTGTTAATTTCTTTGACTCTGGAACTTTTTTACTCTCTTGTTTAGTTATAGGTATGTTAATTTCAGTTTTCTTAGATGGACTAGATGAACTCTCTTTTGATTGGCTGGTACAGGTTGATTGTGATTGGTTCATATTTATACAGGTGGGCTGTGATTGGCTGCCTGCTTGTAGTTGAGCATACATTGGCTGAGATGTTGATTTCCCATCAAGACCAATGATGTCTGGTACCTCGAATGGTGAAAATTTAGTTAGATGAACTTTTTCTCGCCATCTAGGTCCATCTTTCTGCAACAACATTTCCTGACATCTGTTATAGATAAATTATAATAGAATAAATCAAGTAAAAATTACCACTATTAATAAATTTTAATATTCCAAACTAGAATTCCACTCATACAATAGAACTCAGAATGGATATATCATGACAGTTGCTGGTAATGTTTTCAAGTTTTTAAGATATGTATAAAAATTTTACATTCCAGGTAAATCTTTCAGTATGTATTCTGCAAAGTATGACAAAATTTGAAATGTTTGTAAAAAGTAAGTGCCTCAAAATGGGTAAACTCACTTGTCTTGTACACATTATACTCATTAAAAAGAAACTTTTCATAAAAATAAACATATCTGGAGGTGTGCTGCTTAAAGCAGTGTTTACACTTTCAATGCTAGTGTTCTTGATTAGGTAAGAACTTAGAAACAAATTGATGGGCCTTGCTAAACTGTCCAAAGCATCATATAGAGCATTCTTGTTAGTTTTGCTGTAGATAAAATGGAAGAGGTAGGTCAAAAAAGCCCACTTATTCACATCTCTTCAGTGGCATGAAAACTCGTAAAAGTTTTTAATCATTTACCTTTTTGTCCCTAAATGAGCATGATCCATTTTAGAATCCAACAGTAGAACATGTCTGTAGTCAATATAAGCTGGGCGGAACCTGTAAAATATATATATTAAGGTATTATTATATGAAGTAGATTGGTCTATAATCAACATATTTTTCCTTTATATTTCAAATATTCATAAAAACAACAGAAATTTATCATATGGGTAATCTTATGAAATATTGCTGGAAAACAGTATCTTGATTCTAAAGTGATTTGGTATGAATATTTATTTCATGCTTTCCAGTGTTTTATTGTAATATATCAGATAATTATATTCTGATAAACCACTAGTGAAATTTATAAAATATAATTTTCACTGAAGCCGAACTATATCTGAATGCGGATGAAAAGAAAATCATAACTAAATGGAATAACAGGCAGAAATAAATGCCGTCATATGTAAATTTTGCTTCTTTAGGAAAAGAAAGTCCATGTCACCATACATCATGCGCGATGTTACGCGGCAAAATCAGTAAAAAGTACTTAAAATCACTTAAAAGCATGAAATAAAAAGAAAATTTATTGGTTTTACATATAAGATTGAAATATATTTCATTCGTGAACACCAGCTATTATATTTTCACTCGTGGCTACACCACTTGTGAACATATAGCATCTGGTGTTCACTCAGTGAAATTATATTTCAATCTTACATGCAAAACAAACAAATATCCTGTATTTAATAATATTTTGTTCTAGAACACTTCATTATCTGCTATATATTTATGTCATATCAGATCATGTATCCAACACTTACCAACATGCATATGTAATTCTTTCCTGGTTTGTTTTAACATGAGATACTGAATACTATCAACATAAATATTTATGATATTGTAGTTCTTCTGCTATAGACCAATTCACTTTAAGGACAATGCATTACTAACACAGCTGTGGGTCTGAGTCCTGCCAGGGACTTTTGATTATAATAAGTTACAAATAAAGTGGTCTTAAGAGATAATACACAAATAACATAATTGTCAAACCTTTCTAAATGTTCATATGCCATTGCTCTCCTTAGCAATGGTTTAACACTATGTGGTATAAGTTCTAGGGAAGAGTTACAATCTTTTACAGCTCCTGGAAGATCTCCTGTCTTCAAGTGACAGGCAGCACGATTACTGTACATCAATGACAGGTTTACAGTCTGAGTCTCATCTATAAAAAGATCCAATATCAAAACTTAGAGGTGCAAGAAATCTCAGAATTTCGCTAATATTCGTAAGGTTTTTATTCTTCCAATTTTTTAAGAAAATTACCATAGAATATGATTCTTATAGCCACAAAAATTTGCAAAAAATTGCGGAAATAAAGTGATTATTCAATTAGTAATAGCCACAAAGGATTAACAGTTGATGAATGATTTATTGTAAATGTGAAATACCTTAATATACAAATCTGACTATTACAATGTTATGCCAAATATGGAAAAGTTTGCTTAACTACATAAACTGGTGCAAGACTTAATGTGAATATTATAATACTTAAATAATGATAAGTAAAAAATCACGCTATTGAAAACTGACTTAATTCATAATCATTTTCCTACATAATCTTATAGTAAAACATGATGAAAATTGTCACCAAAAACCTGAGCTTCAGGCATATGCCTGAACACTTGCACGCATGTTAATATTACATTGTTTATAATTGATGTAGACATAAAATGCAACTAGATCTAATAACTTAAAATTTATTGTTTTTAACTAATTTATTTAGTTAGTTCCAGTTATTTACTCATTATATACCAGACTACATACTGTGGGCTGCTTATATAATCATACAAGTTTTTCATACTGAAATCTGTTAAAGGACCAATAGCAAGTTACAAATCCAAGTAGGAGTTACCCATGACACAAAGCAATAAAAAAGTTAAAATATTTACCATTTTCAAGTGAACTGATCAATTTATTGTATTTAAGACAAGCTTCGCCATATTGTCCACTTTTAAATAATGTAGTTGCCTCCTCTTTAATCACAGCTATCTTCTGTGGCAATTCTTTCATGTAGAATACTGGTCTCTTTATGTCATGTATAGGTACACTCTTGTCTTCTTCTGACGGTGAAGACTGGGCAGTATTTTCATCTTCATCAGCACTATCAGTGTCTGATTTAACTTCAGCTGCAGCTACTGGTGAGCTTCTACCTTCATCCGCATCATCATCTTTCTTTACTTCATTTACTATATCTTCAACAGTCTCTTCACTAACTTTATCTTCAGCTGTAGCTTCTTCCATTTCTTCCTTCACTTCAGATTGGATATTACTTTCTATTATATCTTCATCCTTGTTCGCTATCTGCTCATCTTTTACTGGTCCATTATTCACTTCAGGAATGTTTACATCATCATCTGATGCATTTCCATTCAGTAACACTTCACCTTCCTCTTCATCATCATCACTTTCACTATCAACTTCTACAATCTGCATTCTTCTCTTTGGTTTTTCATCAACTTTATCATCACTATTATTAACAGTGCCATTCTCTTTTGATTCATTACTTTCTTTATTCACAGATTCTAATTTAGAGTTATCTCCCTGTGATGACACATTAGAGTTCTCAGTTGTGTCACCAGTTTCAGCTTCTTCCTCGCCCTCCACTTCCTCTATTACCATTCTCCTCCCGGACTTCTTCTTCTCTATAGTATCTTTCTCTATATCTTGTAACAGTTCCTGTGATGAAATAGTTACAAAATTTATCATAAAAAAAATAATAACTCAAAGTATTTTCACATCTACATTTTAATGATCATGAGCAGAACCTCGCCAGCCTAATTCTGGAATGATGGTAATCTTAATCTTGTATATAAAGATACATTTCATTTATTTGTCAGGGTTATAAAATGGACATATGTGTGTTATACAAACTTAAACAGGATAAACTTTCCAATTTTGAACACCAAATCTTACTTTTTAACTTTATCAGACTTCAAAATTCTCTATCTGAATTTAGTATACAAAAAGTAAATCATTTGTATAAATCCATAGCTATTAAACACTTTGTTCCCGGTTATAATACATTTTAAAGTTACCTGAGCTTTTTTATTATTTGGTTCAATCTCTAACACATTTTCAATGTCCGTTTTAGCTTTCTGTAATTTTTTCAGCCCTTTATATGCTGTTCCTCTTCTCAACAAAGCTGAAAGAAAAACGCACAAACATCATCTTAAGTTATGATTTTAAGAACTTTAGACCAGTTTAACTTACATCTGTTCAGTTTTTCTACATCTCTGCCATAATTGTTTCTTACTTTGTTTGGACAAAAGCAACCAAATGATCATGATGGACATTAAATAACTCTACTGAAAGAAGATTGCCATAACCTTTAGCCAGAGATCTGCCAAGAATTTGAAAGTACTGGGCCCTGGGCCCACTTGGTCTGAAAATGATGGGCCATTTTTACCAAAGTATGGGCCTTGGGAAAATAAGTAAACATTGACCAAAATAACTGTTAAAAAGTTAGTAGATAATTGAATTTCCCTGGTAATAAAACTTAAATCATATTTTATGACAAGTGGTTCACTTATAATTCAGTACTTAACCAATAATTAAAAATTATGCTTACATGGTAACTTTTTAACTAATATTAATTGCAGGCAAAATATTTTTTAAATGGCTGCTCAAAAATTTGATATGCAAATTTATTCACATAATTGCTGGTTCTTACTTGTAATGTCTTATATTGTGCATTATCCATTTAATTGTTCATACTTTGCACCAAATGTCCCTAACCACTGTATATTGACGAATTTTATTGCCCCTTGTATGCCTCTGTGTAGACAGCATACATCAAAGACATTTGCCGACAGACCTTTTGATCATGAAAAAAGTCATGCACAATGTTTCTCTGATTGGTTAATCACCCTGTCAAATATTCTGATGACGAAATATACATCTTTTTTTACTCTTCATCAGCCAAAACTTGCGTGAACTTCAGTGACCTTAGGGTTGATCAAGTTGAACACCTGTCAGATTATACTGTAACTTACAGCATTTCTTAAAATAGCAACACTTTTTTTTCAGTAACCGATAATCATTTTAAATATTCAGTAGTTGTATAATTTGTTTGTTTGTTTTATTGGATTAAATTTACAGTAGTAGAAATGAGTATCTGTGTGGGAAAGGGATTATGAGAAGAAATGCGGTAAGTAGATAACATGGACAAAAGCTATAGGGGAATGGATAAACTCAAGAATATGCGTAATTACAGGAGCATGGGTAACATGTTGCTGTTGGTACCAGTTTTGACTGGATGACTAAATAACCCAGCAGACAGTTTTGTTTTCTTAGATGCGCCCATGCCCCTTTGCTGCTGATTTTCCTGCACCATTCTCATTTTTTTAGCGCCAATGGCGCAAAATCGCGTCCTCGGCAGATCTCTGCTTTAGCTATTTTTTGGGAAAGCCATAGATAAAATGAAATCTTTATGAAGGAAAGTTAGAAAATGATATACCCATCTGACTGAACAAGACCGTACCTTTCACATTGCCTGGTTCCAGCTTTAGAACAGTGTCTGTATCATTTATTGCTTTCTGCCAATCAGAAGTCTTTAAATCTACCAAAAATACACAGAAAATAATGTTATTATATATGCTTTTTCAATTTTTGACTAATAATTGTACTTCATTAAAGGTTTTTTCGTTGTTTTTTTTTATGTTAGGTTTCACATCTCACCAACACAGTATAGGTCATATGGTGACTTTCCTGCTTTTACTGGTGGAGGAAGACCTAGGGTGACCCTCTATACACTACTTCAAGCACTAACATGCATCTGAGTATGTTCCATAAGCAAGATGGATAGCTTCCTCACATGTATAACCTGACAATGCTTGCACTGCTCTAACCTACAGCTGTGAGAGGCACAGCAGAATATTATATTAATATCATTAAACTATACTCATATTTTCTGTGATCAACTGTCTTACTAGTGATAAGCAGTACTATATTCCAAGGAGCACAATTAAATTAAATGTTTAATTTTAAAATGGATTTGTCTACAATGGGTACATTTTCAGAATTTCAAATATTGATAACTACGCTAAATACAATAGAAATGTATCATTTGGATATTCATATAAAATATTTTCTTGAAAAAATGAAATATTGATAAAAGTTCTTTGTGATTTAGTGTGACCCTTTATATGATGAATAATAATATCTTGTTCTAGAACAATTCATTATCTGCTATATACAGACCATTATGTATCTCACACCAAAAACATCCATATACATGTACATTTGTATAATTCTTTCAGGGTTTATTGTCAATGTATGATACTAAATACTATCAACATTATAATTTATGGTATTACAAACCTTCCATTATAGACAAATTCACTTAAACATATTTTTTGAGTGCAACCCTTGATATCTAATGGTTTTTTTTCAAGTTCATTTAAATTCAAAGATATTTTTTTCTTACATTTTCTGTAAGTTTTATGATGTAACCATTTTAACTAACTGTATATTGAAATCATTTATCAATGCTATACAGATATGAAAACACTTACAAGCAAGAGCTCTATTGTTATAGGAGGCTGCAGTGGGCTGGAGTGATATACTTCTAGAGTAGTAGGTAATAGCCTCTTTAAAATCATTGGACCTGAATGCCTGAAATCACAAACATGTATGATATGGTTATTATTAAAACATCTTGCTCTGTGTTGGGTGTGGATAAGGCTTGCACAGATGATGAAGCACCAATTGTGATCCAGTCTCGCAAAGTCCCTGAGGCCAGCCTTAAAATTATCTTTCTTTTCCCTCCTGCGACCCATGCTGGTTTGGGTATGCCACTATGGTGGGCAGCTAGCTAGGTAAAATATTTTTTATCCAAAAGAATTTTTTTCTATCTAAAGTTACATTGATTTTTAAAACAAATTGTGAATGCTTAGCATCTTTTTGAAGTTTAGAGCCAAAGTTTCAAATTTTTTATTTAAGATGTATCCCAGTTTGTATACTTACAATTCAAAAACATGACATTGATAAAAAGATTCTTATCAACAGACCCTTTTTTTGATTTGGCATTTAATCTTTTTTGGAAACAAACAATATTTTATTTCAGGCCAGAGAATCTCGATTCTTTGATCAGAAATTGATCATTTAATCAATAATTGCCAGGAATTAATGTATTAATAAATAGCAAGGATACCATATACCAATTGACTCCTGTGTATTGCTAAGAGCACTGGGGCTTGCATCTGGTAAAAGTGTCGTGGAAAAGTTTATTTTAACTGAATATTAAGTTTGAAAAGTCTTTTTCTGGACACCTACAAGCAAGGTCAACATCCTGGAGAATCCTGAATGTCAGGTATGTGCATTAGTTTATGAAATGATTTGACCTTTGAGTTTTTCATTGACAAGGATAAATCAACGTTCAAATGCATAAAGACAAGAAGAATCAGTAGTTTGATATCCAAAACTCTGAATTAAGAAATTTCATATTTGCTGAAATAAAGTAAAATAAAGTATTCACTCAATTGGTACATAGGTTTAGGTATATCTTATGTTCAATTGTTCATAGATTATCATTTACCTGTTTGGTAAGCTAACATACATACCTCATTGCCTTTATCTTTTTCTCGATTTGCTTTCAACAGTTTCTCACTGTCTGAGAGACCTGTAACAGAATAAAATTGCAATTTTACTCAATTTTTTTCCCTTCAGTTACTGGTTAGTTATCAAGGAATGCTGGTTAGGGGACTGATCAACAAGATGATAGAACCAAAAACATGTTTAATTGATGTAAAAACCAGACTTCCTTATATGATAGAATCCTAGTATCTCTCAAAACTTAAACCTACAGAGATAAGAGGCAAACGGTTCAAAGTCAGCAACTTTAACCAATGCCCCCTTCCCCCCAACAACAACAACAAAATCTTTTCACTATTCCTGAACTATTTTCAACCATCATTAGTAAACAATGTTACCTTTAGCATCAATCTTATCTGGAATGTTTGTCACCTCTCTATTACCTATGACCGTTTTCTCTTTAGTTTTCTTATTAGGCTCGTCTATTTTCTCCAGCTCCTTTTCAACATCAATTCTGCAAAATTAATTACATGTTTTTATAATTAGATCTCCCAGACAAAATGCAAGAATTATTCTAACAATAAGAGTTTTGTACAAACTTATTCTGACATTTTAGTTCAATTTTTATGGATGGTTAGAGCTAAACTGTTCAATTTACATATTCTGTTAATCCTTTCCCTGACAAATTGTTATGACTTTGCCAAGAGTTAAATTTGGAACAGTCCATTTAAAGTTTAAGGGATTTTGATATCAAAATATACAAAAATTGAGCTACTTACAAGTATAAAGCCTGGTCAAGACTGCATGGAATTACACGCTTAACCAGCTCTATACTTGTGGCAAATGTTAATTAGATACAGTTGGTTTTGGGATTCAATAAGATGGTTTAATGGTGTTGTTTTATATAAAAGATCTGTGAAAAAACATACTTATCCCAGTCCCTGTACTCTCTAGGCATGGGTTTCTTCTTGGAATTTGTTGTTTGCTGCTTTACTGACTTTGCCTGACAGTAATAAATTGGATTGATATAGCAAAGTAAAGTATCAGTTAATTCTTAACTATTTGAAACAAGCATTTGATAGTATTGCAGGCAATACAGTAGTCCCCTACCGGTCCCTCAAAAAGTTCTTTAATTGTCATACACTCCTGTGTATTGCCATTTATAATGAATTTGAGGATGAAGTCTGTATTTGAAAATATCGACCACAAAACATAATAAAATAAGTTTGTCTATATCACAGTAATGTGTTAAGTTTCCATGCTTAGTAAGGAAATTATGTTTATACAACCTTGTCATATTATTACGATGTGGGATTTTAAAGTAAATCCTATAAGGAATGAAGAAGTTGGAGTGAAAATACCAGTTTCTCGAAAAAAATCTAAGTTCAAGGGGGACATAATTCTGGAAATAGTCTTGCTAGAGTATTAAACCTTCTCAAAAATGTCGAGTGATAATAAGAAACATATATATGAAGTTTGAAGTAGATACATTAGGAAATAAAGAAGTTATTTAAAAAAAGACAACATTTTTTCCCCTAAAAAATCTAAGTTCAAGGGAGGTAATACTGATATTTTTTGTGCTAGAGTTATAAACCTTGTCACATATGATGTGGTTGATGACCAGAAACTTATATTTAAAGTTTGAAGTAAACACCTTAAGAGATAAAGAATATATAGTGAAAAAGCTGAAAAATTTAAATCAGAAATCTTGAAATTCAGGCTATTTGTTGCCATAGCAACCAGAATTTTCAACATAGGAAGAAAAGAAAAAGATGTGCATAATCTCCAGACTGCCATCTACCCATATTTTAAGTTTCATAAAAATATTTTCAGTACTTTTTGAGTTATCACTGGATCCAGTTTATGTGTTAAATTTGCCATATTTTCAGACTATTTGTTGCCATAGCAACCAGAATTTTCAACATAAGAAGAAAAAAAAAAATTGCATAATCTCCAGACTGCCATCTATCCATATATCAAGTTTCATAAAAATATTTTCAGTACTTTTTACGTTATCGCGGGATCCAGTTTTGTGGACGGACGGACTGACGGACTGACAGACTGACAGACAGACAGACAGACGGACAGACGGACAGACGGACGGAGGGTAAACCTAAAGTCCCCTCCGGTTAAACCGGTAGGGGACTAAAAATATTTATCATATCTTTCATTAGCAACAATCACTTGAAAAATCTTCAACTTTTTACAATTGTGAAAAAAAGTTTTTATCATTTACATCAGATATATAACAAATCAGACTGACATTATTAGCCCTATTTAAGATTTTCAACAATCAAAAGTTTGCACAAATTATAGCAAGAAAAACGCTTACTCCGTCTGCAGTGAGTGTTATATTTCCTGATCGAATAGGTGGCAAATCGTCCTCATCATTGTCCATAAATTCAGATTGTTCCTCAAAGTTACTCTCAATATTCTTCATATTAGTAGCCCAGCTCTACAATGAAAATAACAGTAATCATAAGCCCTCAGTTTGTTTATCTAGTTTTAAGCCAATTTTAACACATCTTTGTTTATATCTCAACAGTTGATCATCCTTACTGCTCTCCTGGATAACTAACCAGTAATTAACAATTTTTCAGCAAGTGACTCAACTAATCTCATATGATTTCTGAATCAGCAGTGGGAGACAGATGACCATTCGACTCAATGTTGTAATGGAGAAATTTCGGCTCATCGGAGGATCAAACCAGTGACCCCTGGTGCATCAGCGCCATTCAAACATTCAAGTTTATATCTCAGTCAATGATTTCGCATTTACTTATTTTCGTATAGAGAAATCAGTTTTGTAATAGTTTTTAAATACTAGTGTGCTACTATTTGACAGATATATGTTTTTATAATGACAACACAGGCCATTATTGAAGTAAGCTCTGCTGTTTTTAAGTAGCATCCTGGGATGCCCAAATTTAAAATCATGTAACAATGACTTGAGCTGCTAAGTCATTAAGGTACATTTGGGTGTTCCTACTAAAAATAAAATATTTGTATGTATCATGACAAAAGGATATCAAATTACCTTAACTGAAATGATGATATCATTACTGACCTTTTGTTTCCTTATACAATTCATGTGTGTTAAATAACAGAAACACTTTTTAAAACTTGTGGATTATACAGTCTTTTTGAAATTTGTGTAGTATATTTTACAAGATATACCTTCACACCTTTTTAAAAAGAAACAACTTCAAATTCAAAGCATGAAAGATTCAAGTAAACAAATTAATCATGTTATGGTATGGCTTACCTAAATAACAAATTTAGAATATACAGAATATAATAACTACGCAACTTTGAACAGCATATAGTGTTCAATACTCCTAAAATTCAAAATCTTGGAAAATTATTTGGTACATGTATATATACATAACATTGAAATCTTTTATTTTATCACTGATGAATAATTATAAACATATTTTAATTCAACTTTGCAAGAGTAAATTATTTTATTAATAATAATTATTTCACCTGGAGATCCTGATCAAGTTCTTCCCTCTCCATTCTATCTAAATCTCCTTTAGAATAAAGTGGATTCTCCTTCCTTAATAGTCGGCTGAAATTTAAAAGAACTAAAATGAAATATCTGAAGACATATTTCTCAATGTTTTACAAAAAAACAGTCATTTTTTTCTTCAGCTATGGGTTATGTATGCCAATTTTTTTTCTCCGTTTTTGTTGGTCTTTTGTTGTTGGTCATATGACATCTTTCCAGCTTTTCTGGTGTTGGATAACTTCAGTTGCCCCTTCATGCATTATTTCAAGGTCTACCAACTGGGGAAATTTTTGTCAAATAAGGAAAAATAAGTCACAACAACAAGCATATTGTGAATGTAAAATAATCATTTTGGGAAAAATAAAAATTATCAGCAATTGCAAATTTGGTCTGTTTACCAGGTCTACCTAGAAAAAGCTAAAAACATTGGTTAATTTTCCGACATTGGTTTATACAGACTTTATTTTAGTTTGATTATGTTGGAAGCTTTACGCTTATACACACTTTCCAATCTGTTCTTGGAACCAACCAGTCCTGAGCAATGAGTGTAAAGTTTCTTTCTCGAGGAAACAATGATTTCCCCCTGACGGGATTGAACCAATATGGCTAGTGATCTTTAGATTACTAGTCAACTTGTTAACCACTCGGTCATATTCTGGACATATAGTTCATATTAGTTTTGTCTAATCAATTTCTGTATATTGATCCTAATACTTATCTCTTTGGACATCAAAGACTTCACTTGCCCAATTTTTCACTGCATCTATGAAACAATTCAGTTTGCATGTTACACACTAAATGTAAAGAGCTTTTAGTTATCATGATTTCAAACCAATTCTTATTATAACTTTACCTATTTGGGTGAAGCTCCTCTAATCTTCCTTCACAGCATTTCTCAAGCTGAGGATAAAAACCTTCCTCTTTTGATCTACAACAAAAATGGTAACAATCTAAATATGTAAGTCAGAATAATTCAGTATACAATTAATTAATTAACATTAGTCACACAAGAATCACTTATCCAGTCAATTTCTAAAATAAGCAAACACTTACAACCTGAAAATTTCTTGTATAACTTTTAGGTAGTTGATGCTTTCCAACATTTAAGTCAACGACGTTTCACTCATATTCTGCTGAAACCAAATGTGATGAGCCTTTGACACCAGTAGCAGCACAGGGCCAGGTCAGCTTGAACATCCATAAGTCTGACCAAACTCTATACTGATGGCAGTTCAACTTGATATATTTTGATACTGAAATCCCTTTGAATGGACTGTTCCAAATTCAAGGCAGGGAAAATTCTACAGGTTACCAGATGATAAGATGAATAGTTGTGTGACTTATGTCATTTTCACATGGACCTAATGTAAATAAAGAAGACCACAAGCCATGATACCTCTATTTTTGTCAAAACATAACCATTAAACCATTTTAGATTCTTGACCTGGTTTGAATTGAAATTCTCACTTGATATTGCTGCTAGCTCTAAAATAGTTTGTGTAAACACTACAGTTTTTTGTGTTAAAATAAATGATATATATTTAACATTCAAAACTTATTTTACCTCTTTCTAAGCAAACTTTAAAGGTTCTTACAGTAAGGATCTCAATGCTTTTTGTCTTTTGGGCTAATAATGCTTCAGAAAAATGTCTACACGAGTACTTACCTTAGAACTCGAAGAATTTTTTCTATATGTTTTACATCACTACATCCCTGAATGTAACCGAAGTCTAGGTGGTCCAGTGGAATGTCATGCTTTTTTGTATTACCATGGAAAAGCTGGGCTGCCTCCATACTGTGATAAAAGAGGAAATCTTAATTATATATTTATGGAATAGTAAATTTGATGGATAAAGTAAATGTATATTGCACTTGTTGCAACATCAGTTGTTTTGGATTAAAAAACAAGAGCTGTCGGTAGGACAGCAACGCTCGACTATTCTCAGTGCTTGTTAGTAAAAAAAAATTCTTGATAGAGTTACCTCCTCCTATTTACAGGTTGAGGTCATGATGGTGAACAAGTGTGCAAAGTTTCAAAGATATATGTCAATGGACTTTGAAAATATTTGAACTATTACAAAAACTTTAACGTAAATTCTAAGTCGAAAAAGGGGCATAATTCTGTCAAAATGCTTGATAGAGTTACCTCCTCCTATTCACAGGTTGGGGTCATGATGGTGAACAAGTGTGCAAAGTTTCAAAGCCATATGTCAATGGACTTTGAAAATATTTGAACTATTACAAAAACTTTAACGTAAATTCCAAGTCGAAAAAGGGGCATAATTCTGTCAAAATGCTTGATAGAGTTACCTCCTCCTGTTTCCAGGTTGGGGTCATGATGGTGAACAAGTGTGCAAAGTTTCAAAGCCATATGTCAATGGACTTTGAAAATATTTAAACTATTACAAAAACTTTAATGTAAATTCTAAGTCGAAAAAGGGGCATAATTCTGTCAAAATGCTTGATAGAGTTACCTCCTCCTGTTTCCAGGTTGGGGTCATGATGGTGAACAAGTGTGTAAAGTTTCAAAGCCATATGTCAATGGACTTTGAAAATATTTGAACTATTACAAAAACTTTAACGTAAATTCTAAGTCGAAAAAGGGGCATAATTCTGTCAAAATGCTTGATAGAGTTACCTCCTCCTGTTTACAGGTTGGGGTCATGATGTTGAACAAGTGTGCAAAGTTTCAAAGCCATATGTCAATGGACTTTGAAAATACAGTCTTCACGAAAAACTTTTAAAGGCACAGGACATTCGGGCCAGTAAAATATCAAATCTTACTGGACCTGGTGATTTTTAGCCGGACCAAATACATAGATAGGTAATAAATTGATGGGAACAGGAAAACACTTTATCATGCTTCCCTTGATAATTTTGAAAGAAGCATAATACGTCTTGTATTCTGGGCCATATGTTGACAGCTTTGAAAAATCTTTAAGGACCAAATGTTTAGGCAAGATTGACTACAATTGAACATGAACAATGCAATTTGCGTCAAACGAATCACTTTCACACAAAATATTTACTTAACTCAATAATCACAAAATCAAAGCTATATAATGACCATAATAAACAATGGTTTAATTTCCGTAACTGTACAGTGCGGTACAGAAGATATCCAAGAAAAAAAATGGCGGCCTCCATTACTCAATACAATTTAAACATCTCTTGCTGTGTTTTGAACATCTAGGACAGAATTGGTGGGTTTCATTTGCAAAAAAGGCAAAAAGATCAATCTTTTAGAGAACCCTACTTCATTATTTTGATGAATTTTTCTTATAATATTTTTTTCATGACAAAAAATCTACTGGTCCGTCGGACCACCAACTTTGTAATAATCACCGGACCGATGCTAAATTTAGTGGCCTCGGGCCTCGGACTGGCACTAATTTCGAAGACTGAAATATTTGAACTATTACAAAAACTTTAATGTAAATTCTAAGTCGAAAAAGGGGCATAATTCTGTAAAAATGCTTGATAGAGTTACCTCCTCCTATTTACAGGTTGGGGTCATGATGGTGAACAAGTGTGCAAAGTTTCAAAGCCATATGTCTATGGACTTTGAAAATATTTGAACTATTACAAAAACTTTAACATAAGTGGTTACGCCGACGCTCGGGTGACTGCAATAGCTCTACTTATTCTTATCGAATAGTCGAGCTAATAATGCCTTATGAATACAAGATTAGATAAAAACAGTTAACTTTTTAAAAAAAATCTAAATTAACATTTTCAGGAACAATTTATTTCTTTACTATTGGTTGGGTATAAGTTACATCATGATCAACAATGAAAGATCATCAGCAACTTTCCATCTCTGAACCCACAGCACTGATGTGCAAGTAATACCAAGTAAGCAGTGTTAACCACTCAGCCATTGGAACCATTTCCTTATTTTATGACATAACATCTTACAGTAACAGTACATTAATATCCCTCAATTTTCAGTTAATGAAATGTATAAATGTTGAAATGAATGTTAATCTTAAACAAAATATTGAATACATATTATTTTAATACTTTAATGGACAGTAATTTTGTCGCTGATTCTTATAGGGAGAATATTAATCTATAGTATTTTCAACATTATATTTACCAAACTAAATGATATTAAATTTATTATCTGTGACATTCAATAATGCATACTTTTAGCGTTTAAAAAAATTCAATAATGCATACTTTGCGTTTAAAAAAATTCTATCAAAAGAACATTGTCATTCATCCTCAGAGTCATACATAAATAGATTATTGAGAGTTGTTGGTTACCATAGAAACATTCTGAGCATCCACACCCAAGTTACACTATTATTCTATATCTAAGAATAAAAATATTAGCTGGCAGTTAATTTCCATAAAATCATATTTGAATATGAAATTTGTTCTTAAGTTTTTCTAACATTGAAATTTAACAGTTATATGAAACCTGAAGCCCGTAAAAAGACACAATTAACTGAGACATATGAATATGATGTAAATGTGTACAAACTGACAAATAAACTTTAAATTATGAATAATCTCTATATTCAACTTGTAAGAAGTCATTTTTATTACTCAATTATCAGTAAGGTCACTCAAATTCGAAGTAGTTCTTTCAACTATCAAATAGTGGTTTAGCTATCGCAGGAGTAACAGTGTCTGTGAATAAACCCTGAAAGTCATGAATTATGCTGAAAGTCGAAAATGAAAGTAAAACCCAGAGGTTAACCATTTGGGAAAAAGTTAAGGATTTGAAGCAATTATAAAAGTTACATTTTTTAAAATCATTATTTTTTCGTGCTTATCTGAGTACCTTTTATCTATATGTAAGTGGACTTTAATGGACAAGCTATCAACGTTTTAGCGTTCTCGTTCGTTCTTGTTTCCAAGCGGAAGTAATATACCGGTGCGCGCTCTTCTATTTCGGAGGTATAAAAATCACTCAAATCGAAGCCAAAGGTTCACATTAGCTGCAAAGATGGAATACATAACACTCCCACAAACTGACATCAAAGTGTCTCGAATTTGTTTAGGATGTTGGCAAATGAATGACAACAAGGCAAATGCCTCATGGGAAGCTCAAACTTACGAGGTAAACCATTTTTAAATACTATCATTCAGATTAAAAACAGATCACAGAATTTATTGTTGTTTTTATTTTCCTTTAAAGTCTACCACAATTATATTTTTCAATAAGAATTTATGTTTATACAATTATACAATTATTCATTATCACTAGAGCATATTAAAGCCTTATTTGGTGCGATTGAATAAGTCACTGAAAGTCAATTAATGTCTTTTAAGTAATGGGCTTGGACATAAAAAGATGTCAATTAGTAAAGTTTCATTTTATTGCAAAATATCAAACAAGAAATATATTGAAAGTCCATTTTAGAGCCAAATGAACCAAACCTAATTATTCAATTTTAAGACTGGATTGACCAATTTGGTGACTGCATTGATTTGGAACCGGGTTGACTGTATTTAAAGAGTTATTTGATACTTTCATGTATTTAAGTTTATTTATATACATGTATTCACTATAATTGTCTTATGATTTCACAAGGTTGTTTATAAAAACTAGAAATGTGTCCATAGGACACAGGTGCCTGGGCCACACACCACTGTTTTATTAATCTTATTTTTGTAAGTTGAATATTATTTGGGCTACACATGACACAAGTTGAAAACTAAAAATCTTTTACTAAGTCAAGGGCAAGAACTTTACAAATACATAATAAATCCAAAAGCAAACCCCAAGGTGCAAAAGTACAAATGCTGACCAACATTCCTGTAAACGTTCAGGCTTACAGGTCAAATACTTTTTGAGCTGTGCATGAACAAGTTGAAAAATGCAAATTTATATGAAGCCAAGGGCAATAACTCTAACAAAACTGAAAAAAAAATTCACAAGCAAACCAGCAGATACCCAGCTTCACAGTAATGTTGATCAATATTCAAGGAACACATAACACAACATAATGGAACAGTTTTTGGCAATTACTCTTCAAATACTGAATGAATCCACAATCAATCCCCAGGTGCAAAACTACACATGCCAACCAACATTTCTGTAAAGTTGCATGACTTAAGGTCAAATACTTTTTGAGCTACACACGACCATACTTGGAAATTGCAAATTTTTACTAGTTCAATGGCAATAACTCTAGAAATACCGGAAAAATTGACAAACAAAACCCAGGGTCACAACTACACATGCTGACCAACATTCCTGTTAAGTTTCATGACTCTAAATAAGTTTCATGACTCTAAATATTTGTGAGAGACACATAACCCAATTTGAAAAATGAAAATTTTTACTAAGCCAAGGGCATTAACTCTAACACCGCAAGCAAAACCTCAGGTGAAAAACTTCACATGCTGAACAACGTTCCTGTAAAATTTCTTGAGTCTAGGACAAATACTTTTTGAGGTACGTGCGACACAAGTTGAAAATTGCAATTTTTTTTTTTAATTCAAGGGCAATAACTCTACAAATATATAAATCCAAATGCAAATTCTCAGGTGCACACTCACTGCACAGCTACACATGCTGGCTAACATTCCTGTAAAGTTTCATGACTCTAGGTCAAATACATTTTGAGCTATGTGCTACACATCACGAGAACGGACAGACAAGGGTAAATTTAAATGCCCCCCTTATAGTGGGGGCACAAAAAATCGGTTAAATTGTCTTATGATTTACTTTTTCACTGCTGGAACCAGAATAGACCCAATGCCACCAGTATAGAGCCAGGCCAGCCTGCACATCCATACAACCTGACCGGGCTCTATACTGGCCATTTGTAACTTAAAACTTTCATCTTGAAATCAACTAAATAGATAATGGAGAGTTTCAAAAATGATAGCTGGACAAGTCCATTTAAGAAATTCAGCAGTTAAGGCCAGTCCTAAAGTTACCTTTGTTTCCCCTCCTGTGAACCATGCCAAATTGGGTAGGATAACAGAAACAAACAATATTTTATTTAAGACCTTTTATTATTTAAAGAACATGCAGTGTTAGATATTGAGTCTTCTTGCAATACTTCATGAAATAATTATTAGTTATACAAGTTGCTGACAAGATATATATGGGTGAATACAGCCTAAATGAGATCAAAATAACCCAAGGTGCAAGGCTATGTAGCCTTTGTTCTTCCATATATCCCTTCAGTACCTTAATAACAAATTTTTAATAACGCATATTGTTCATTACGACAAGTTCATGAGAAATCCCAGTAATTTAAGATTGTTTTCAAAGAAGGGTGGGAAAAATAGGCATGTAATCAAGGGCTATGCTAAAAGTATTTTTAAGTATCAAATTATTTAAGTAAAGACATTTGAATCAAGAAATTTGCAATAAAGAACAAAACCCTATGAAAAAAAAATTATTCAAACAGGTAGTTAGCTGTCTGCGATGTAGAAAGGCATTGACATTTGTGTTTGCATCAATTTTTCATAGTATATATGGCATAGAATGTATACATAGTGTTTAAGCTAATTAGAATTTGAGAATTTATTTGCTTTATTATAATATATTTTATATTATACAATGTATAAGTAATGCATATCATTGTTGTTGTTTTCCAGACATCAAAGGCCTGTGTAGATAAATGCCTGGAGCTGGGAATCAACTTTTTTGATACAGCTGAGGTAAGCCTAATTAATATTTAATCTTTCAACAGTCTGTAATTATAATTTATGCTGATATAACATTATGCAATATGCATGCTAATGACTGTTTGGTTTACATATATTTTATCTGGCGCATAAGAACATGATACCTACACATGATATTTACAAGCAACACAAAAAGGATTTCCCTGGAAGCAACCTAATGCTTATTGAAGTCTTTTCCCAGTGTGTAAAATATTACTATTAGTACAAGATATGGCGAGTAATTTTGTCATTTATTGACAAAGAAGGTGGTTCTGTTTCATCTAACATGCAAAAATAATTTATAAGGACTGTTTGGGAATATTAAATCAGTAGTTTCAAATAGATCATTTCAAGGCAATGATATATATTAATGATAGAGTGACATTGTATGAATTTCATATTCATATTTATGTAAATTTTGTTTTTAAAAAATTTTGTATATGAAATATGTGAAAGAAATGTTATGTTTGGGAATACATGATGGTACATGTGTATAAAAACATGTGGTGCATATGAGCTATAATTTGAATTTCACACATGTCGCTTGGTTTAAACTGAACAGTGGTAAAAGTAGATAATTAATGCAGACACATGTCACAATTTAAATATAGGGCATAGATAGTAGGACTGTAAATTGTGTTATAATTGTGATGGCTTAATTTTTCATTTAAGTTATCAGTTATATGATTACTTTATTGTTATTGGCACTCATCACAATTCTCATAAAACAAGCATCAGAAAAATACATGAGTTTTAAAAAGTGTATAAATAGTGCAGGAAAATATTTTACCAGTTAAAAAAGTGTATAGATATTGCCTCAATCATATTCATAATTTCTCGTTGATGCAAAAGATGACTGAATGTCCATGGTTTACTCTTTGTGTTAGTTTGGTTCTATAAAACTGATTTTAAGACATTTTTAGTCATATCTTGACAGCAAATAAACCTAACCAGCTTTCCTGTCAATAACTAACCAGTACATGTAATTACCAATTTCTTCTGAAGTGACCCACTACTAATTCCACATCATTTTTGAAGTAGAAGTAAGAGGCAAATGATGTTATTAAATGATATACATGTATAGTGACAGTTGGAAAATGCACTTACAAAAGTCAATTAACAGCAATATGCAAGTCAGGAAATAAAACAGTTAAATTGAAGTATATTGCAATATTTTTATAACTTATGGTATAAATTTTTCCATAGTTGGGAGATTTTATGTGGACAGGAAAGGCATTGAAATATGACAGAAATAGATAATGTCAGACTGGTTTATCTTCTTGACCCGGATAAAACCTCGTCTTTTATCTTCTTGACCTAGAGGATTATCTGCAGAGATTACAGTTTTTGACCTTGTTAGATACCTTAAAATTTCCAGTAGTTCTCACTGACTAAAGGTCAAATATTTGTTTAAAATCCTTATATGACTAATAACGGACTCATATCTTAAAAAGGTAGAAGCTATGCAAAAAGAAGAGTCTGTTTGGCAAAATCATTGAACATTATTATAATTTTATTTTCAGATAAAATATATATTTATTTGTGGCATTTTATATTTATAAGCTTGATAAGTCACTGATTAGTTAGGCTATTTTACTTGTGTGCGTGTCAGCATCTTGCATAATATTTTGTCGACATAAAATCTCCCAACTATGGAAAAATTGATATCATAAGTTTTCTCAGTTTTGTCTCAGTGCAACTTTATTAACCTGTAATGGCATTTGCTTGAAAATTCACACATAATTGCAATGATAATTGTTCAAAACCTGTAAGGCATGGATTGTTGAACATAGTTATAGGTCTTTATGCATTAGAAATTGTTTCATTATCCAGCTCTTTAACTTTAGTCAAGTCTGCCAGTGGGCGGGCAGATCTTGCTAAGATTTAAAGTAATTTATGTAAAACAAAAAGGATATATATCTTTTATAAGAAAAGTATGATTTTAGGGTTATGCAGGATCGGAGGAAGTGTTAGGGAAATGTCTACAAGGTCGACGACAAGATGCTGTCATTGCAAGCAAGTTTGGTTTCCGAGATGGACCGTCCACGCCAGCATACACCGCCCAACAAATCGATGAGTCTATCACCAAAGGTCTACGAAAAATGCAGACAAATTATATAGATTTGCTTCAGGTTTATACAGCATAGCATAATCAATTTATGTAGTTTTGTTTATAAGGGCTGTAGCTTTCTGAAATAGAAATAATAATATGTTATTTTCAAGCATTAATAATGTCCTTAGTTTTATTCAGTTTAATCTATTTTATTGAGTGGTACATTTCCAAAGATTTACTGAATTACATTTTAGTTCCATTTAAGATAATTTCAGGTATATTTCCTAAATTTTATCTAATTACTATGTTGGTTTAAATTTGTCTTATTTCAGGCTCATTTTCCAAGTTTTATCCAACTGCTTTGTTTGTTTAAATTTATATTATTTCAGACTCATTTCCCAAGTTTATCCAAATTACTATGTTGAATTTGTATTATTTCAGGCTCATTTCCCAAGTTTATCCAAATTACTATGTTGAATTTGTATTATTTCAGACTCATTTCCCAAGTTTATCCAAATTACTATGTTGAATTTGTATTATTTCAGGCTCATTTCCCAAGTTTTATTGAGAATACAGAGGAAGCTATTACTGAATTGAAGAGACAAGTTTCCCTGGGAAGAATCAAGAGCTTTGGTGTGTGTAATTTTGGACCAAAGAACTTAAAGTCATTGATAGATTCAGGATACATTCCAGTTTCTAATCAAGTAAGGAAACTTGCGTTAGTTATTTTTTGTAAGAGATTTAGGCTGTGTAGCAGTGTTCCATGTAAACCCTTGTGGCCAAGAAAATCTCTGTCTACTTCTAAATTGACCAGCGTGGTAGAATGGTGAACGTGTCAGACTAGTAATCTAGACTAATGATCGCTAGTCACATGGGTTCAGACCCTATCAGGGGCAAGCCGTTGTTTCCTTCAGCAAGAAACTTTACATTCATTGCTTAGTACTGGTTGGTTCCAGGAACGGAATTGATATAGTTTCAATAAGTTTATAGCTTCCATTTAACACAATCAAACTAAAATAAATTTGTATAAACTAAAATTGAGCGCTGCTCTGCTAAATATGCTTACTAATTAGCCAAACAATCATAGATAAAAAAAAGCTTTTAAATCACTGAAGAGTGAAGTGCTGCAAAAAAATCTCTCTGATATTTTCATTGGCTCCTTGAAGATTAACAGAGGGCATGCTGTAAAGTGAAAATGTTAACTTTTTATTCTGTCGAAAAACTGAATAGATGTCGAAAAACTGAATAGATATTATTTAAATGTATTTCATTACATTTGTTTCTTAAATGTTTCTTCAAAAACTCTTTATGCCATCTTTTCATATTAATTATTTTTAGATTTGGTTTGAGGTTTGTGAAAACATTTTCATTGTCATGAGTATGGGTGTTGTATACATAAAGTGAAAAATAAATTAAGAGTCTTTTATAGTGAATTCCTACAATTTATAGAAATGTCTATGGTAATCGATGGTTAGTATGCTATAACAGCCCTAACAGCAAAGGATTTTAGCAAAATTTTGATACATAGCATGTCTACATCCCTATATGGGGTTTGACATTATTGGCAGATAGATTGATAAATATTGACCATGGTCATTTTCAGATATGTTACAATTTACTATGGAGATCAGCAGAAGATGGTATTCTACCAATCTGCCGAGAGAAGGATATAGCAGTACTGGCGTATAGCCCTCTACAACAAGGTCTCCTCAGTGGTAACTATATGACGGTAGATGATGTACCTATGGGCAGGAGGAGAGGAAAATTATTCTCACCTGACAGGTAATGTAATTGTGTTGTACGTACATATGATATATTGAATATTGTTGTTTTTTCTCCTTACATGTAATGTGATATTTTGCTTCGTCTAAAGATGTAATATCATAACATTTTTATTATAACATTGTTTTCTCCTGAGGTTTGTGATTGTATATTTTTGTGTGTGTTTCATTACAGTTGCAGTTCTGGTCGACATGGAACTCCTGGATGTGAGAAGGAACTTTTTGAGGTAAAAAGAATGATTTTTAACACTGAATTTTTTTTGTTGAAAAATTCTAGTGTTCAGCATATATACATGTATATGCCCTAGTCACTTCATCTGTACACAGATTAAACAGTGGAATGTGAGGGGATCTGTGTATTATGGACACATTTCTAGCTACTTTTAAGTTCACAATACAAAATGTTGATGTAGAATATGTCACAAATTACTCCTGAAGCATTTTATGTATAGTCCAAGTGTCAGTTTTGACTTATGTCAATTTAGATGTTTTAAATGTTTGTGTTTTTTTTGTTGGTTTTTTTGGTGATATTTAATTGCAGTCTCATTTATATTTATAACTCATTAATCATATAAGATTTTAGACAGATTATATGGTACAATATAACAGTTGTTCCTGTTAGATTATATACCCAAAACTTGTTTGCATATATTGCAAATAACAGTTTATAATACGGCCATATAAACCTGTCATGAATCTTTATAACAAATTCATAATAGGGCAAACTTCCTTTTTTTACAGACAAAATTAAGTTTCTGCACAAATTAAAATCGTCACCATTATCCATTAAAAAACGATGTTTCAAACGTGCAGTATAATAAAATTACATATACATGTATGTGAATTATTTTCAGTCTCTACGATCTATGAAGGATATTTGTGGGAAGGCAGGTGTACCAATGGCGAAGGCAGCTATATCATGGATCATGCAGAAGGAGAGTAAATCTGTCGTTATTGTCGGGTGTAGAACACCCGAACAGGTTGTCGATAACTTCAATGTCGTTAAAATATCTGATGTAAGTATAACAATTCATCATCAACTTCGTTATTGATTTTTTTTGCCAATTTGGTTTTAAGTTGGCCATAATCGTTAAGGTCATATAATGAAATTCGAGCTATGCAAGAGTAAAACTATACACCATCCATATTGGTACCTTGTTATTTCATATCACAGTGAGACAGTATTTTCATGTAGGAATAAGAACATAAATATAGACGCCAAGGATCTTGCAAGTGACACATTTTCTCATGATAGCGAATGCTGTCACATTTATGAAAAGTTTAGATCAAGTTAAAGGTCAAAATTATAAAGACAGACTGATGAATAGATAGACAATGCATGCATGTTAAATACTAAATATCTTTAGTGTTTCTTATAAAATAAAATCAGTGCCACTGTTAGATGAAGTTTTCATATTATTTCTTTATTTAGGATCTTGTCAAGCAGTTGACAGATGCCACAGAAGCTGTGAAGACAAAAGTTGGATCAGCACTTGACCAGTGGGCAACTCCTGATAGATGTGAATAGACCACTTCAGTCATTACTTATTTTTTTATCTCTTTAGATTTATACAAAATCTTTATAAATCAAAAGGCCAAAAAATCAATGTCTGTTTCTTATTCTTTTCTTTCCTTTCTCCAAATTTTATTGTTGTTATGCAACATGTAAAAACATACAAGTATTACAATAGTATTTTGCCTGTATTTTTTCCCTAAAATAAACAGAAAAATGGAAGCACTGTCTGGTTATCTCAATAGATAGAGCGTTGGACTGTGAATTGAGCAATCGAGTTAAATTTCCAAAGGTCACAGGTCACTTTCGTTGCGATTATGAAATCTTTTCTATGGTCATTTGTACTTTACCTCTGCTCTGTCATGTACAGAAGTTTCAGTTCCTTGCCCAAATGAAGGCAACAAGTTCTGGTTAATTGCTTGACAAGCCTACCCAGGAAAGATGCAGTGGCTGAACTGTGCTCCGGTAAATTAAATGTGGCTTACTGCTGTGATTCTGAGTGAAAACTACCAACAGCATCAAAGGACTGACCATATTCTTTGGAGATTTGTACTGGAACATACATGAATTTTTTGGTCTAATTGTGTGAAAGAGAGCAGAACATTTATTTTACTTAATATATTTACAAAATTGATTATATATTACATGAATGTGATATGTAGGTCTTCTTTTTCTTTGTTTATTTGAATGATATGAGTTTAAATATGTACACTATCTATATAGATTTCGGGTAAACATTGCCACATTTGAAACTATGTGTGCTTGAAATTATCTACGCATTTAGAATAGAATGCAAGTTTTTGATTTCAAAAAATGGCAATACTTGTGCACAGAAATTTACACTATTGTCTTTGATATGATAATACAAAATGGAATAAAAACCTGCATTTTCTATTTTATCAAATAGTTTTATTGCAAATTTTGGATGTGATTATGGTGTTTTTATATTGGTTTACAATGATAATAGGGCGATTGTTATTTTAACAAAGAATAAAACGGAATCATTGTTAAGATTGAAAATATATGGAATTTATCTGTAGTTTGGGCAAATAAAAATGTATGAAAAATAAAGATTCCTTGTGTCTTTTACTTGCACTTTTAAAGAAGCCATTGTCTTTATAATTTAGTTTAGGATTTTTGTATTTTCTGATCGCAAGATCAGTAAATACATAGCTAACATCCACGGTCTAACACAAAATTTCCTAACAGACCTAACAACGCAAAGTAGTTCTCACTCAAAACTGCTTAAAAACCAGCAATTTAAAAGACAGAATAATTTTTAATGTAGGCATTTAACGAATTACAGTGCATTGAAAGTTCAGATTAGTCAATAGAAATATGAGGTTACAATCACAAGTTTCGCGGATGAATATCATTTTAATCAATGAAAATGCTATTTTTAGCTATGTCAATTACTGAATACTCCAGGGCGTAGTACACAAATAAATCGTGGAATATATACATGTCGGACTGTTTTGGCGAGAAGATTTTCGCTAAATTATTTTTATCAGTGTTAAACAGGTTTATCGTGAACAAAATACCTCGAAATTGATAAGGATTACAAACACGAAATGGAAATTCTCAATTTAGAATTACAATGTATTTGTTTTTATTCAGGCTACATATTACGTATTACTTCACCGTGGTGCAGGAGTATCGCGCCCGTATTGCGCTCGTTTAGGGTGTGAGAGGCCAAAGGTTCAAATCCTAGTCGAGGCAACTTTTTTTTTAAGTGTCTTTTTTAAGGAAGTAGCCACGATATGCAAGGATAAAGTGTGGCTGTCATAAAAAATGATTTTTGATGCAACTCTAGTCATGCAAAATTCCATATGTATCAATCTCAAACTGTTACAGAAAAAAAATCTTAACGCAGTCGCTGCGTAAGATGAATTATAGTATATAAAAAAAAACTTATATAGGAAAATACATACAGATAGTCAGTATGATTTAGATTGGAAAGATCAGAAAATACCACAGAGCTTGCAGCCCTTTGATTACAAATTGGAAGTTTGTACTTAACACTGGAGCTGTTATTCATACTATGAGTGACTAGATACAATAATGTGGTAATACATTGATCACATGACCACTTGACCCTGCATACAACACAGAGAGTCAAGTTGAGGAGATGATTGGGCATTTTATAAATAGATCTGCTTATTTCATATACACTATATCTATAGTTGTTACTGTAATTGTGATGTGTTTACAGAAATCAGATCATTTGTACAAGAAGTCAGAACATTGGCACTCAACCAAATTTAACTTGAAAATGACAAGGAGACAAGTTGACTCCAGTTTAACCCTTTCAGACTTTGTTTGCTAGGCTATATAAAGAGAACTGATAAATATGTTGAACTACATTGAGGGAAATGTATTTTTCATGGCATTTGAATTATTTATGTCATATCGTTCAAACATTATAAGATGTGTAATTAATCCTTTTAAATACTTATGTATATCATGTAAGTGCACTTGACTGCCCTGTTTGTTCAATAAGGGAATAGTGTTGAGCATCTTAGAAAAAGATGTAATGAAAGAAATCCTAAATTTTCAAAGTAAACATATTAGTTTAAGTACCATCTTCTATTTTGTCTTTTCTTTTGCTGAAGTTGAAACTAACATCCCAATGATTGTAAACATTATCATGAGAACTTTTCTTATATCTTTCATTCTAACACTATTTCCCGATCAAACAGAAAGGGCAGTCAAGTGCATTATTATACAAAATATGCATGACTTTAAAAAACGAATGCATATGTCATATGACATCAACAAACCTAATGATGTCAAGAAAATTACTCCCAGGCTCAATGTAGTTCAAAATATTTTTATCATTTCGCCTTTTAATTATCAGAGATATTAATTTTTCTTGCATTATAGTATAACAATGCACTGTTTATAGTTCATATGCTTTGCACTTAATCCCTTGGGCCTATCTGCCTGAACCATGCATTATTTTTAAACAATGCACTCAAAATTGATATCTATTTCCTAAGTAAGGGAGCTCCTTTTGCACTGTTTTTAGACAGTCTGTGAGATGTTCTAGTAATACATGCACTTAGTTAAAAATGCATAACAAAAGTTTTTTTAAGAGTAAACCTACAACTGACAAGACGGATAAATAAAAACAAGTGACATATAATATACAGTTCTTTTATTAATACACAAATTTGTTCTTATACATGTACAAACATATGGAAGAGAACGTTACACTGTGGAATGTCCAGTCAACACATAAACTATTAGCATATTTTGTGCATATTTTCCCTGATTATTATGGGATTTCAATAAGACACGATAAAAGCTGACGATATTTAATCAGCAAGTTTTACATAAAAATTATTAACCTTAGGTCTAGAATTTAAGATAATAGTATTGATATCTAATCAACAAGTTTTAAATAAAAGTTCTACATATAATTTATTAACCATAGGTCTAGATTTTAGTCCTTCATAATAGTTCCAAATGATGATAACTATTTTTCAAACTTACACTGAAAAGCTGTACAGAAAAAAAAATGCTTTTCTGTTACATTATGAAATTAAACCTCATAACATTTTATCATTTACATTAAATAAATAGCTGAAATTTATAACTTTTTACATTTCTGAGCTGTTTAAATCTTAAACTTTATTGTATAAAAATAAAATTAAATCATAATAATCTATCATTAATTCAATATATCTTAACTGTTAGCAATAAAAAGATAAACTGGACAACAAGAGCCCCTGCCAAGAGGTAGCCACACTCAACCTTTTCTTCTAAAGTCAAACACAGTACAAAGTACTCCTTGAACATATTATAGCAAAAATCAAGCAAAATTGAAACATTTGACCTTCAAGGTCAAGGTTATTTATGACAGCAGGTCAAGTTCAGTGTGATCAACTTGAGAGGCTTGTCCCAAGGCTTGCTGTGCCCAAGTATGAAGGAAAACCATTGAGAAATTAATGTTTTTTATAATGACCAACATCCAAGTTTTAAGACAGTAACAACAACACAGCATGACTGTAACAATATCTCATTTTTTTCTTCGAAAACAGCTATATGTTTAAATGTCACTTAAAACAGCATAGTTTACACATATGACATACAAAACATTTACATTAATATAAAAAATTTGATGCCTGTAACTAACAAAATGTACAATGCCCTGGACCCCAAACTGCCTGAGTTTAATTAAACAGTAAAATGTTACCACAACAAGATGTTGCAAGATCAAAATGTTTAAAAAGAAAAAAAGAAACATGGCAATGCCACGAAACCAGGTTTTCAATTATCACCATTGTAGATAAATATGTTGTAGTTAAAATACAAATACAAGCAACAAACAATGTTACTATGTGCAATGTAAATCATGAATAATGTAGGAGGTAATTTCCGCACAGAAGAAATTGTTCACTATATATTCTGTATAAGGAAAAAAACAAAGAGCCATAATTAGGTCAAATATTATACAATCACAAAACCCCGACAATGTGCGCCGGGGCACTTGATGACAAAGCTTCTGTGAAAGTTTGGTCAAAATCCGTTGAAAAATGTAGGAGGAGTTGCGCACAGAAGAAATTGTTCACTATATATTCTGTATAAGGAAAAAAAACACAAAGGGCCATAATTAGATCAAATATTATCCAATCACAAAACCCCGACAATATGCGCCAGGGCACTTGATAACAAAGCGTCTGTGAAAGTTTGGTCAAAATCCGTTGAGAAATGTAGGAGGAGTTGCACACAGAAGGAGCTGTTCACTATATATTCTATATAAAGGAAAAAAACAAAGGGCCATAATTAAGTCAAAAATTATCCAATCACAAAAGCCCGACAATATGTGCCAGGGCACTTAATGACACAGCTTCTGTGAAAGTTTTGTCAAAATCCGTTGAGAAATGTAGGAGGAGTTGCGCACAGAAGAAATTGTTCACTATATATTCTATATAAGGAAAAAAAACAAAGGGCCATAATTAGTTCAAATTTTATCCAATCACAAAACCCCGACAATATGCGCCAGGGCACTTGATGACAAACATTCTGTGAAAGTTTGGTCAAAATCCGTTGAGAAATGTAGGAGGAGTTGCGCACAGAAGAAATTGTTTACGACCGCCCGTCCGCCCACCCGCCGACATACCTCAATCTAATAACCAGTTTTTTCCTTCGGAAAACCTGGTTAAAAAGCAGATATTTGCAAAAAGAAAAATGAACTTCTTAGTAAATGTGAAGCCTCAAAATAGCAATTTCATTTTCCCAACTATTTACAAAAATTCATTAATTTTAATTTTTTTTTATATTTTTGTTATTAGCATTGTTAACTTAGAACTTACACTTTCAAAGTGAACAATCTTGAAATTCACAATAACTTGTGGTAACCTTTAATCTTCTGAAATACCTAATAAACATGTTCAATTTCCATTTAAATACACTCCCAGTATCAATTTCAGGGATATCACCATGTTAAATTTGGCAAATGAACCACGTCATGACAAAACCAACATAGATAATGACAAAACCAACATAGATAGTGCATTTGCGACCAGCATGGATCCAGACCAGCATGCGCATCCGCGCAGTCTGATCAGGATCCGTGCTGTTCGCTATCAGTTTCTCTACTTGCTATAGGATTTGTAAGTGAACAGCATGGATCCTGATCAGACTGCGCGAATGCGCAGGCTAGTCTGGATCCATGCTGGTCACAAACCCATTATGTTCAGGTTTTGTCATGACGCGGCTCAAATTAAACAGTCAACAGAACAGAGCCTGGTTGTGCAGCATTGAGTAGAGTGTGAAATGTTTAAATTACTTTCTTTGTTAATTTGACAATATTTTATTTTTAAATACATGGTGATAAATATTTATGAAAATTAGCATGAATTTGTTGGCATGTGGCTTTAATGTCTATACTGAACAACTGAAAATATTAAACATTAGATATTTAACAATAGAATGAGTATTATCAATAGACAAGAAAACTAGTAAAATTTTTCTAATTTTCAAATGTCCTAGAAATCACTATACATTGACAAAAAAGCACTAGATTGCAGCACGGCTTTGTAATTAAAGCTACAATTGTAGTTTTCACTTGCAAATAGCACTAGATAGCAGTATTCAAAGATAAAATACAAAACAGACCATTATCCCAAAAAGTAAGTAAGACTTCAGTATCCTTAAATCCTATTAGTGTAGATTGTACTGAGTAGTTTCTAAATTCTAAAACATTGAAAACCCATATACACCTGACAAAAGTAATACTAACACTGTAGCACATTTTTGTTTTGAAAGATTAAAAACAAAAAGCTATAAATATAAAGGATTTCTGTATAAAAGATTTAAGAAATTAATGGATGTCACAAGTCAATATCTTACATCATGGAATACAATGTAATACACAATGGCCACTGGTTTTCATCATGCTCAACAAAGAAACAATGTATCTGTCTTCATTGTCATGCCAAAATTAAAAAAAAATTGTAGTACAAAAGAAGATTGTTAAGTAAGTCTTTGGCATTTGGATATTGCTAATAACAGGGTTATAATGAAAATGCCGAGATAGTATTATTAATATTACAATGATAAAAGTTTAATGTTACTTTTTAGACATTGGTGATGTATCAACTAAAAGACCCCAAGTTGTACAATACTATTCAGAAAACGACTATTTACCAAACTGATTTGATAATTTAATAGAATGACCAAAATAACTTTCGATGGGATGTTCATAAACAAATTGCACTTACAAATTAAACATAGGCAGTATGTGAACTGTGATGTACATGTATAATATTAAAAAAGCATCGAAACACGATAATTTGATAATTTTGCATATGTTAATAAATTGTTTAGAAAGAAAAATATATCATACAAAATAAAACACAAGTCAACAAGGAAGACTAAAGAGTATTTTAAAAAAAGTTTTACAAATGGGAAAAGTTTCAATTCCAATTATAATACATGATATAATTTTATGTATATGAAATTGATACTTTTATTTGTATCGACTTTAGTGAATGCAAATTTGACTGTACAATTAATCATTATACCCAGTCTTAACCTAGTTTGTTATGTGCAAAAAAAATTGTAAAACTATTTTCTACTTTGAAGGTATAATATATTATATAAAAATTCAAAGATATAGTCCGGAAAATTTAAATATAAAAACATATCATCATAAAATGTGTTTTTTTTCTCCTACTTTGGTTTTGTTCAATTTTAATGAAACAATTTCATATAATTATTTTAATAAACCACTGAATACAATAACGCAAGTGTTTTTATAAAATCTTCCAAAAGAATATCTTTCTAAAAGAAGGTAAAGACAATGGTATGGAAAGTTATTCTTAAACTTTAAAATGTCCCCATGTATATATACATGTATATATATCAAAAGCAAAATTTCCATTGTACTGTCATTAACCAGTCTGTACTAACAAAAACAACCAACAACAAACTCCCAAATTTGTAACAAATACAAGAATTTATTTTCATGCATGCATAGTCAAGGTCAACTTTTGTATATACATGTACATGTGTATTTTTATATATTTTCACGTTCTCGAGACTGAAAAAAAGTTAATTGCAAAAACAGAAATGTTTATTTAAATCTATATTACTTATTTAATGAACATTTTCATAAATTAACACAGTATAACAAACAATATCAGTAAGTATTTTTTTGGACGTTGCCCTTTTACCCTTTTAGAACACAATGGGATAAATAATTAATTTTTCATTCTGATTCACATTGTATACATGTAATTTGTTCATAATCTCTCACACCTAGTATCAAACATTGTGAAGCTTAAAACTAGCAAAAAAGAAAAAAAAATGTTTTTCAAATATCTGTATTATAATCACATAAATATTAAAATTATTAAGGTCACATCTTTACCCAGTTTTGCATTGTGACCTTTAGCAAAAGGTGACTCTGTTACTATAAAGCTGCATGCCTCAAGATAAGCCAAAATATTTCAAGAAAATCAAACTTAAGATTTTAAGAAAAATATAAAGATTTAAATTATGATTTACATAAAAGTAAAAAGATTTTAAGTTATGATTCTCATGTTATGTGCAATCAATGACTGATTTTGTATTTATCACTTAAATTTCTACTGTATGAATAATGCAGAAAGGGTGAATTTTGCATATTTTTATCTCTTTTTTCGTAAAAGACAATGATTGTAAATGTAATTAGCAAAATGTAAATTACTTTCTTTCTTCACTTCACAATATTTTTTCTTTTAAATACATGTTTAAAACTTTCATGAAAATTAGCATGAATCTGGAGGCATGCTTCTTTAAACAGGAGACAAAAGCTATGTACCTGTAATAATTTTTTTGATAACATTTTTATAACTTTTAATTAAGCAAACAGTTGGACTGCTATATCTCGGACGTAATGCAATGATTTTGAGCATGCGACACCCACTTTAATAGAAATTATTAAACCCTCTTTCAATTGTGAGATTTAGTTTTGATTTTTATGGAGCTACTATCAAATAAACACTTTATTGATACACGACAGTCCATTATAGCTTGAAACCCTTTATGATATGTCCAGCAGAATAATGTAGTCTCCAATGGTTATATGTAGTCGAACCTTTTGCCAACATTTATATACAGTCCCTCTAAAATTGTTTTTTGTTGATGCCCATATAGTTGTTCTACTAGAAAGCTCTATGTTAACTGGAATACTTTTTCTTTCCATGCTCGTTTATGACACAGATATGCTGAAAATAAAAATAATGAACAAATATTTTTTCTTGCACCTTCAACCAGTATTTATGCATACAGCTTTGTTTGCTATTGTTTTAAAAAAACTTTTTTATTAAAATTGTGTTGTCTGATCATGATCTGCACTGATTGCTATCCAGTCAGAACTTATTTTGAAACTCTCTAAAACAGATGAATGGTTATGTCCACGAAAGAAATGTCAATTTCTGATATTTATTAGTGTCAGGATTAACCTGATGATATGCAAATAACAAAATTCTTTTATTATGCTTTCACATACCAATTATTACCTCCCCTGGCCACCATTATGGGGGTCATTCCAAATATATCACACGATTAAGGTAAGATATAAATCTTTTATAATTCTATTATCTTCAACAAAATAGATAAAAATTGTTTACATATTATTATAATATTCTGCTGCATATGTATAAAAGAATTTGAAAATCACAAAAGTTAGCTGTTCTTATTGTTTTTTTTACATTTTGTCAATTATATCATATAGAATATTAACCCCCATAATGGCTGCCACTTTTGGCAAGGGAGGTAAATATTGTAACAATCGGGAACTATCAGATCTGATCTGAAAGGAGCATAATGACAGTGTTACTTACATTTAAATCTCGGAAATATTCATTGTAATCCAGTGCATACCCAACAACAAACAAATCAGGAATTTCAAACCCTGCATCTGTAAATAAACAAAAATCTTTTTTATGAGGGATGTTCAGTATATAATGAAAAAAGTCCTGTAAATATAAAACCTCTAAATGCATAGAAATGAAATTAAACCAACAGAAAATACAAAACTAGAGTAACGTTTTTGGCGCTAACTATAATAATGACGTCATTAAGACATCATCAAAACATGGCATTACTTTTTGTTTGGTTCAAAATGGAAAATCACTAGAAAAAATAAAAGATTTTACAATTTTAAAAGGTTGCAGTTTTGAGATGAATAGAAGAAAATTTAAGATCAATTGCCCCACTCTGCCAGAAGTTTCAATCTTGTTGTTAAAGTTTCAAACTTTTCATACAGAGAAGCAACCCAGCTAGCATAGCTTAGGGATGTTTGATGATTCTTCTTAGGTGCCCACCTGTGCCTCAAATTTTTACCAGGACAAGCACTCAAGGTAAGAGAAAGCTGATACATGTATATGTTGTAACAGTGTTGCTGGGATCTAAATACAACCAGAGTAGGAGAAGAAAAAACAAGAGGGCCATGATGGCCCTGAGGTCGCTCACCTGTATATAGCCCCCCCCCCCCCCCCCCCAACGTTGCAGGGCCAATTTAACCCAAGGGCTTTTATTTGCACATTTTGGTAGACACCCATAAGAAGATGTTTCATGCTCTAGCTCATTGGGCTTTTTAAAAGAAGATTTTTTTAAAGTTTTAACTATACACATATAGTTAAAAACAATGACACCCCTGGGGCGGGGCCAATTTTGACCCCAGGGCTTTTATTTGAACAAACTTGGTAGACACTTATTAGAACATGTTTCATGCTAAATATCTTAGCTCTAACTCTTTTGGTTCTTTAAAAGAAGATTTTTTAAGTTTTTACTATATGCATATAGGGAAAATCAATGACCCCCTGGGGCGGGCCAATTTTGACCCCAGGGCTTTTATTTGAACAAACTTGGTAGACACCTATTAGAACATGTTTGATGCTCAATATCTTAGCCATAGCTCTTTGAGTTCTTTAAAAGAAGATTTTTTAAGTTTTTAATATACACATATAGGGAAAATCAATGATCCCCCGGGGCGGGGCCAATTTTGACCCCAGGGCTTTTATTTGAACAAACTTGGTAGACACTTATTAGAACATGTTTCATGCTAAATATCTTAGCTCTAACTCTTTTGGTTCTTTAAAAGAAGATTTTTTAAGTTTTTACTATATGCATATAGGGAAAATCAATGACCCCCTGGGGCGGGGCCAATTTTGACCCCAGGGCTTTTATTTGAACAAACTTGGTAGACACCTATTAGAACATGTTTGATGCTCAATATCTTAGCCATAGATTTTTGAGTTCTTTAAAAGAAGATTTTTTTAAGTTTTTACTATATGCATATAGGGAAAATCAATGACCCCCTGGGGCGGGGCCAATTTTGACCCCAGGGCTTTTATTTGAACAAACTTGGTAGACACCTATTAGAACATGTTTGATGCTCAATATCTTAGCCATAGATTTTTGAGTTCTTTAAAAGAAGATTTTTTTAAGTTTTTACTATATGCATATAGGGAAAATCAATGACCCCCTGGGGCGGGGCCAATTTTGACCCCAGGGCTTTTATTTGAACAAACTTGGTAGACACCCATAAGAACATGTTTCATGCTAAATATCTTAACTCTAGCTATTTGGGTTTTTTCAAAGAAGTTTTTCAAGTTTTTGCTATACACATATAAGGAAAATCAATGACCCCCGGGGCGGTGCCAATTTTGACCCCAGGGCTTTTATTTTAACAAACTTGGTAGACACCTATTAGAACATGTTTGATGCTAAATATCTTAGCCATAGCTCTTTGAGTTCTTTAAAAGAAGATTTTTTAAGTTTTTACTATATGCATATAGGGAAAATCAATGACCCCCTGGGGCGGGGCAAATTTTGACCCCAGGGCTTTTATTTGAACAAACTTGGTAGACACTTATTCGAACATGTTTCATGCTAAATATCTTAGCTCTAACTCTTTTGGTTCTTTAAAAGAAGATTTTTAAGTTTTTACTATATGCATAAAGGGAAAATCAATGACCCCCGGGGCGGGGCCAATTTTGACCCCAGGGCTTTTATTTGAACAAACTTGGTAGACACCTATTAGAACATGTTTGATGCTCAATATCTTAGCCATAGCTCTTTGAGTTCTTTAAAAGAAGATTTTTTAAGTTTTTACTATATGCATATAGAGAAAATCAATGACCCCCCGGGGTGGGGCAGATTTTGACCCCAGGGCTTTTATTGGAACAAACTTGGTAGACACCCATTAGAACATGTTTCATGCGAAATATCTTAGCTCTAGCTCTTTTGGTTCTTTAAAAGAAGATTTTTTAAGTTTTTACTATATGCATATAGGGAAAATCAATGACCCCCCGGGGCGGGGCCAATTTTGACCCCAGGGCTTTTATTTGAACAAACTTGGTAGACACCTATTAGAACATGTTTGATGCTCAATATCTTAGCCATAGCTCTTTGAGTTCTTTAAAAGAAGATTTTTTAAGTTTTTACTATATGCATATAGAGAAAATCAATGACCCCCCGGGGTGGGGCAGATTTTGACCCCAGGGCTTTTATTGGAACAAACTTGGTAGACACCCATTAGAACATGTTTCATGCGAAATATCTTAGCTCTAGCTCTTTTGGTTCTTTAAAAGAAGATTTTTTAAGTTTTTACTATATGCATATAGGGAAAATCAATGACCCCCTGGGGCGGGGCCAATTTTGACTCCAGGGCTTTTATTTGAACAAACTTGTTAGACACTCACTAGAAGATAATTCATGCCAAATATCTAAGCTCTAGCTCTTATGGTTTTTTAAAAGAAGATATTTAAAGTTTTTTCTTTCGGTTGCCATGGCAACCAGAGTTCTGCATGGAATTAAATTCTTTGAACAATTTTTAAAGGTGACCACCAAAGGAACATTCCTGTGAAGTTTGGATGAAATTGGCTTAGTGGTTTATGAGGAGATGTCATTTAAAGTAAAAGTTTACGGACGGACGGACGACGGACGGACGGACGAAAAGCGATCACAAAAGCTCACCCTGTCACTTTGTGACAGGTGAGCTAAAAATGTTACGTCACCTTACATTTTTTTTTACTAGAAATGAACTCAAAATATATAGGAACTTACAATCTGGTTTGTACCCAATGCTTCTCTCTGTTCTCTTCACAAGCAAACTGTAAATTTCAAGGAGGAATAATCCATTAGTGGACAAATAGTTGACAGATTCAATACAATGTAACATTAAAATTATATATTTAGCAAAAATATAATAATTATTTTCAAATTTAATAGCAGCACTAAGGTATTGTTTACTCTAAATTTGACTGGTACTTGATTAAATCAATTATCCAATAATTTAATATTAATCCTGCAATTAAATTTTAAACTTTGCATAATACAAATACTTTGAATGTTCAATTGCAAAAATCTATTTATGTACACTACAATACCTGGCTACCCTGACAGTCTTTGGTTTAACAGATTTTAGAATGTCTAACAATTTCATCATTGTACGACCAGTGTCTATAATATCCTCAACTATGAGCACATTCTGAAATTTATATACATGTAGATAAAAACATAACAGATACCAATTAGTTATCAATTAAATATTAATCACAAACAGAAGGAAATATATCTGCTATCTTTGTTTGTTTGGTTTTACAGCACACCAACACAATTTAGGTCATATAGTCCCAAAACAGAAAACATGATTTTAGTGTACAAATTTAAAGCAACATCAGCGGTTAAAACCACCTCACCTGGAGCTAATAAATGCATAGACTCCATTATTTAGAACCCATTTAGTCGCCTCATGCAAGGATTAATGGTGGCTACAATTCTGCCTCAGCCCTTAAAGGCAACCCCTCAGCCCCAAGGGGAGCTAATCTTAGTTCAAGACTAACAGAAAAAAAATCCAACAGCAGTAACTTGTAAGGGGCAAGTAGTTTGAAGTCATTGCCTTAATCCTTTTTGCCATGGACGACCCTCAATAAGTTAAGATATGACTTATGGACTAATACCCTATAGGTTATAACTTATTATCATTTATATTCATTTTTGTTTAAAATATGAGTACAGTTGTATATAACATGTACCGTAAAATTCCTATTAAACACCCCGGGGGCTAAACATTTTCCAAAAGGGGGGCTACAACACAGTTTTTCCTAAATCCAAAAATCATTGTAAATACATTAGTGTTAGCAAGTGTTGGTAAAAAGTGTTAAGATTTTAAAGTTCATACTATAAAATAAAATGGATTCTGAATGATTTGAAAGAAATTATGGATTTACTCATGAGTTCAGCACTGATGAGTAGATTGTTTTTCTTAGCAAAAGGCCTGGGGGGCCTTTATTAGGGGAGGGGCGTTTAATTGGATTTTTATGGTAATTAAAAATATTAAGTGCATTTTTTCCTTTGATCAATAGTCGTTTTCAATGATTTCTCTCACAAATTTACAGCAAGAATTCGATATTTCTACCAACACTTATCTTAAAGCTGTATGCTTTCCTTTAATTGTAATTGATTAGTTCAGATATATTTTGTTTAGTTTCATTTTTATGTATTACTATAACTGAAACAGACAATGCTTTTATTACCTTTCCTTTCAAATTCTCTAGGTTGTCTCCACCTATAACTTCAATTTTACCTGACTGCTTGTCATCCTGTAAAACAGAGAAAATATATTGTGACATTAAATTAACTCTTAAAGTGTTTTTTTTTTGCCATTAAGGGACTGGAAATAATTTTTCGAGAATAATATTCCATTTGATGTAAGTTTAGACCAAAAATATGTGTGCAAAATTTCAGATCATTCCCTCACTACTTTTGGTCAGAATAATTATTCTAATTGGAATAAATGACCAAATATTGAATGTCTTGCAACACTTTTCACTCAAATGGAGCTAAGAATAGCACAAAATATGATTTTCAATTTATACTGAGTTATTTCTTTAGAACTACCTTTTGCTTATCAGTCTGTTTTAAGTGACCCAGTTGATCTATGTAAGGAATTGAAATTTTTAAAAAATCATTAGGCTTTTGGACATCAGTGGAGTTTAATATGATCACTTGAGCCAAGTTAAAAAAAAAAATCCTCAAACGAGTTTTGGATTCAGAGAAAAGACACAGTAAAATTGGCTCTCTGGCATTCAGGTGTAACTTTGACCTGGTGACATAGGTATTGTACATTGCCTTGTTTAGGTTGATATTTGAGCCAAGTTTTAAGAACATTTGTGACAGACAGGTCATCAGACTGACTGAAGCCACAAGGTGATTCCAGCATATACCCTCTTCGTTCATTTGATGAAGCCAGAAGGTATAATAAATATGGGTGAAATAAATTAGTCATTTAAATACAGAAACTTATAATAACCTCTTAAATAAATCTAATATAATTATGTAACAGCAATTACTCACCACATAACTTTTCAATCTGATAAAGTCTACAGCAAGTGGTATGGATTTTTCTGTATTTCTGTTCAACATTTTTATTCTGTCTAAAAGATCTGTGAAGAATTTGTAGCCTCCCTTTAATACACACAGAGCCACTAATCCCTCATCATTGAACTCTTGTGTGATATCACGTGCTAATCTCTCTATTCTTGTTTACATAAAATAAAATAAAAAATATATAAAAACAAGACATAAAGTTCTACAGTAAACTTAGCTAAAATCAGATATATTGTAATTTGATGCATATGCTAGCTTCTATCATAATCTTAACTGATCTACATTTATCAATTTCCGTTTTAAAAAATCAGCTGAATTTTTTTATCCACACTATGTTTCCTACCACAAAGGGTGTTGGCAGCATTCCCAAAATGCTGAAAAAAGAATGTACATAGCTGGCTTAAACATTTATTTATCTGTTTGCAGATGTTTTTCAACACATGTAACCATGCAATAATCATATTAACTTTAAGATATACTTTGGGACCCTACACTTCTAGAAAGGCTAGCATTTAATCCAGTCTTTCACATATATGCAAGAAAATAAAATATATATAATATTGTACAATGTTTTAACCAACCTGTCTGTAATGAGGCCAGATGGTATAAGAATGTTCTCTAAATCTTCCTCATAGTGTTTTGGAATACAAAATAGTTCCAGTCTATAACCATCATAATTGTCATCTATCTGAATATGAAACGATATAATTATCATATATTTATAAAAAAAAAAAGGTCTCAGGGTTTCATCCAAATGTAGGAAAGGGGTCTTTCTCTTAAATTTGGAGAAGTTACTGTGTAACACAGTAATTTTGAAAAAGGGGAAGGCAAAACTTTATGTAAAATGAACTGAACGAAAAAACTTGATGAATTTTCTTGTTGGGGGGATGTGACTTTTGCCATGGGTGCCAAACTATGCTACAATAAGCAAGTTGGGGTCTAACATAACTTTTGCAAGCTGTCTTTTTAACACTTAACCTGCTGAATTTCTAATTAATGGATTTGTTTTAACTGTACATATGAATTTTGTTGATATCAAGATGAAAGTTTAAAGTGTCTTGTAAGGCTGCACAGATATGCAGGCTAGACTGGCTCTATACTACTGGCTGCTTATCAGAAACCAAGTGCATATGTCATTTGTGAACAGCCTGGCTCGTGTCTGATGGTGAAAATGTCACGGTGAGAAACAATGTGCAGCCTGACTGGGACTCAGTCCCGGGATCCTTGGAATACCATACCACGGCTCTAGCGACAAGAGTTATCCTGCTGCTTACACACTATCTCCCCTAAATAGTGAACAGTTCTGATCTGTGATATACTATCCCACTTAAGTGACTAGTCTAGAGTCATATCTCCGTACCCATGAGTAGTTTGACATTAATTTGAATGGAAGATAGATAGATATTGAAATTTGTCCTTGAATTTCTAATGGGTACAGAGAACAATATGAAATTGGATTGCCATCACGGTCCCCAGTTGGATACCAAATGTCACATCATGACAACATGAGAAAAATCTCCAGTCTGACTGGGACTCAAACCTGGGACCCCAAGGATACTGTATGATGGCTCTACAGACAGAGCTATCCTGTCGTTTATATACTACCTAATCTAAATAATCTACAGTTCTGATCTGTGACATACAGGTACTACCACCCAATATTGAAATTTGTCCTGTATTTTTTAATGGATTACGTAGAATTTGACTCTGAGCTTTATACCATCACGTCCCCCGTTGGACAACAAATAGTGAACATTTCTAAATTATGACAAATAACAAGCTTTCCTTATCAGATAAACATTCATTTATAAATCAAATTTGTGTTAATTTAGATCTATAATACAAAATAATCAGATAGCCTGATAAACAGTCCATGCATATTACTATTAACTGTATTATACTCACTACAATATTGTCATTTGATGACATGGTTGAAAATCTACTCCTTTTGGGATCGTTAAATCTGTGAAAAAGAGGAATTCAATGTTTAGACTACTTAAAGAGACCTTGAATACCAGTAAATGTCAACAGCAAAATGTCATTTCACATGTTAAACAGAGTTAATGAACGCATGGATTAAACATATGCATGCATCCTCACGATGTAGATTAGATTAAGGTCTGGCAGAACCATTATATTTTAAGGCATAAAGGTACTAAATACGCTTCCTTTCCATAATATTTAATAAAAATTATATAATTTATCTATTTATTTATTAATTAATTTATTTGTGTATTTGTTTGTTTGTTGGTTCATTCATTTGTTCGTTCGTCCGTTCGTTCGTTCGTCAATTCATTTATTTATTTATTTATTTATTTATTTATTTATTTATTTATTTATTTCAAGTATATAAATTTATTATTTATGTCAAACCACAGGGACCCAGCACAGTGTTGGGATAGTGTAAAAAAGTAATTTTTAAATAAAGTTTCCTTTTAAAAGGAAAGGCTTGCACAGTTGTGCCTTCATCCCAACCCTTTAAAATTGTTCTTTTTTTTGGGGGGGGGGGGGGGTTCAATTTATTATCACATTTTTTTTTTTGAATTACGGTATTTGTATATCATATGTAAAGGGGTAATAAAGGGATTATTTAGTTGGTTTTTTTGGGTTTTTTTTTTGAAAACCGAATATGTTTTTGTCAAAACGATTTAGATCTATTCTCTATTGTATAAAACTAATAAAGAAAATGATCAATCGTAAAAATATTAACGTGATACTGAAGGAAAACAAGTGTGCACATCTCATTTCCCCTTTTTCGCAGCGAAATCATTCCTTTGATTTATAGACAAGTAAATGCACTAAAATACTTCGTTACGTGGTACCAATTAATAAGCATGTATCAACTATGATAGTGGCAAGGTTAATGATATGCATTGGCTATTTTAGATTACCTCACCAAGAAGTTGAATTGCGTTCAATAGATCTAAATATAACTCGATCATGCGAGATTTGGTAAGCAGGACCACCCTTTGAAGACTGAATAATACTACAGTCACCATTCTCTATACAGACAAAAAACAATTATAAAAGAAACTAACTTTTGCGTCTTGAAAAACAAATGAAACGGAACAATTTCGTTTATAATTTATTACGGTTTAAACCGATAAACCAAGTAAAAATAGAAATCCTATTTATATACACAAACTGGGATTACCAAAGTAACTAAATTAGCTTAGATTTCCGTAATATTACTCCGCAGTATGACGGAATCCCCCGAATTGTCACGATTGCAATCGGAACTAAAACGGCTATTATCATTAATCCGAAGACTGGCGGAAAAGGCCGAAAAGTTGCGATTGGCACGATTGCAGCTGGTTTCCTGTTCAATCATGCACCAACAGATGTAAGCAGGAAACCACCTAACCGGAACAAGTTTTCCAGATGAAATGGCTTGCAGCCGTGGCTGCAAGCCAAAAAATATATATATTGTATATATAATATATAAAGTTTTTTTTTCTCTAGAATTACTTTTTTACACTATCCTATAACACTGTGTCGGGTCCCTTTGTGTCAAACCGCTTGTAACATGGATTTTTTTGGGTCGGAATATTCGCAAGACAGGGTACATATTGAATTGTATAGGCTCGCAAGAAAGGGTACAGTGATTGAGTTTATATACTGTGGATTGATGTAGACATGTTGCATTTGTGTGTCAGCTGTCATTTAAAGAAAATAATTATTACCTTATAAAACATCCAACTATTCTAACTCCTGATCTCTTGATCAGAATTTTTCATGTTTTCTTTGGTCTCTACCATACGTGTATCTCGTTGTTGTAAATAATGTGTGTGTTGGGGGGAAATATTGAGTGTGAGATGTGCAACTTTACTTTAATAGCACTATAAAGAGCTAATTATTTTGTTTTGATATCTCTAAAAAAAATCATATCTTAATGTTAAATCTAAGTCATTTTAAAGTAGGAGCTCGTATGTCCTTGATGTTCAAAATTTAGGTGCTTTATCAATTTAATTCTGCCAAGTTCGTGATTATAGTTGTCCTACTTTACCTGGCTTGTGTCTGTAAACATTTTTAGGTTTAAGCGTACCCCTAGCTGTAAATGTGCAATTTACATACTTACTGTAATTATATTGCAAAAAGCAAGCTGGACAAAAATGTTAGTGTTCAATATTAGTTTATCACAAAACCCGTGCCGCTTTTGCCACTCCGCAAAACTTATATTGTATGTTCGTGCATATCCTGTTACTTGACGTACCATGGTGACGTCATTTGCAGTTATTCAAGGCGGCTAAATGTTTAACAGTAATAATAACAATAAACAAATAAAAAAACCTCTTCATTCAAGGTGAATCGGTCTACATTGGGCACAATAATATAATACATGTTTTTCCATAAGTATTTCAAATATTGATTAAAAACAAAGTATGAACATTATTATGATGAATATTAATATTTTGCTCTTGAATATTTTATCACGGATTTATATTACATCCGTGATTTTATTGACTGATATATCATATGATATCGTTTTATTTATTGGAACATGTATCCGTGATGTATCTCAGGTACATTTCTAACACCATAACAACATCCATATAATTCTTTCATTGTTTGGTGTTATGTGTAATTATTTATTGTACGATGTATTTCTAATTTCCTATAAGAGACCAGTTCACTTTAATGTTAGTAAGTTATTATAAAACAATGCTATCGGTTTAATTAACAGTCTGCACTATTTCAAGAAACAAAAAGGAATGAGGGGAATATATTATAAATTGGCATGTGTGCGATTCATTAAACGCCGGGTACGTCTATCATATCTTTTTTTTTTACTGTTTAAGACTTTATGTATTCCGACACAGACTTTAATCAGGGGGTTGAACGTATAGCGGTGCGATACTTTTAAAGCGAGGTGAAATCGTGCGATACGGAATAATGGCGGATTTTAGACTGTAAACACACGTTAGTTTGTTTGTTTGTTTGTTTTGGGGTTTACGTCACATCGATACAGTATATAGGTCGTATGGCGACGTTCCAGTTTTACTGATGGAGGAAGACCTCAGGTGCCCTTCCGTGCATTATTTCAGGCACGAAAGGGTACCTGAGTAGAACCACCGACGTTCCGTAAGCTAGCTGGATAGCTTCCTCACATGAAAGAATCCAAAGTCCCTGTCGGGATTCGAACCCACAGAGGTGAGGGGCAAGGGTTTGAAGTCAACAACCTTAAATTAACACACGTTAGAGTATATTTTATAAAAGTGTAACAGTCATTGACTATTAAAGTGGAGGATGCGGGGCTCTGACCTGCATGTCTTTCCTCAAAATCATAGAAGTTTAAAAGTTATTGAAGGTAAGTTGGCAGAAACTGATTTTGTGTCCGCGACAAAGTCATAAGTTTAAAGCAAAAATTGTGAATGTTAAATTAAAAGTCCGTGACTCTGGTTAATTCTTAAAAAATAACGTATACAAGAACAAATTATATTGAAACTGAGCTACTTTTATGAAATCAACTGTGTTAATTTATTGATTGATCTATTGCAAATTATAAAGGGGTCAGAAACAACACTGGCAGCCGGCTGTAAGTACTTATTCATTTTTACTATAGAAAGAATAACCTTTAACGGAAATCTAGTGTCAGCCTTCACCCTTAAACTTCAAGTTTAAACTTATATAAAACAATATGAGGATTGTGCATAAAATCTTTGTTGATTTTGGGAAGTCAGCAGATGTTTTAACCGAGACCTAATTACATAGATTACAAAGCGTGTTCCTAGATGACACTGGAGGGCACCGTCTGATATATATAGACTCCGTTCAGCAATCTGTGTCTTGACACTATTCAAACTGCTCCAGGTAGGTCACTTCATGTACTTATTTTGGCAGTGATTTAGCAGGGTCTTTAATTTGAAAGACTCTAGATTTAGTAAGTCATAAATATACAATTTCTTCATTGTTTTCTAGCATCCATTTTCTCTTTTTTGACAATATATGTACAATATTTTTATGTTAACATAATTGTCTATAAAATTGTGTTATATTGTATCATTGTATATATGTATTTTTGTAGCAAGAAACGTCATTTTACGTTACCAAAGGAAATATTTTGAATCTTGAATCTTATAAATAATGATACAAAAAAAGAGGAGAAAAAAACACATTATTTGTTTGTATATAAAAGAAACTAGATAGATATTTTTCCTGTTGTTTTTTTTTATATAACTATAAGAGGACTGCATGATTTCATTCAGCAATTATGCTTTTTATTAATATGTACTATAAATAGATCTGCTGGTAATATATATGGCACTTATTGTAAAGTAATTTTTTATGAAGTTATTTTACATTGTTCAGTACAATAATGAATCATATTGGACTGTCAAAACAAATTGGACGAGGTGCTAGTCGAGTCTGATATAGGTTTTTGCAGTCATGTACGAGTGCAATATAATCAGTAGTGTTCTCAATCATGTTTTAATGACTTCTTTATTTCATACGAGCATTTTTTTGACAGAATTTACTTCATTTAAAATAAGAATTTGATATGGATTTTTAAATGAGCTGCGTCACTGCAAAATCAACATAATGGGTTTGCGACCAGCATGGATCCAGACCAGCCTGCGCATTCGCGCAGTCTGATCAGGATCCGTACGTGCTGCTCGCTTTCAGTTTCTCTACTTGTTAAAGTGTTTGTAAGCGAACAGCATGGATCCTGATCAGACTGCACGGATGCGCAGGCCGGTCTGTATCCATGCTGGTCGCAAATCCAATATGTTGGTTTTGTCGTGACGCGGCTCAAATCAAGATGATGTATGATATGCATTTGATAAAAATGTTTTTGGGTTTGGAAATGAAAACGAGGCTATATAGGGTGTGTTATGGATTTGATATGGGTTTTTTCGGACTCAGGACACGAGAACAAGGCTAAATTTATCCAGTAATGATTTATATTAGAATATTACGTGGTGTAAATGCTGAAAATTCATTGGTATACTTTTTTCTTCGTGCCAAAACTAGAACTGTCACGTATATACATGTACTGATTGTTAAAAATTTATAGAAAATGAAAGCTGTATATATCGTGCAGTTTTTACAATTGATATCTCGAACGCCCTTCAAAAATTTTTACAAGTAGCATTATAATGGATAATTTGCTTCAAAATACACGTGTATCTAGGAAATGGCGACCATAACATTTCCAATATTCTTTAAAATATTTCAGAAAGAAACATTATCATTTAATCAAATCTAGCTGGTGAAGACCATTATACCAAACTTTGATTTCTCTTATTTTACATGCAAGGTAACAACAACAACAATATTTTGTCCATGCAATAATTCGTTAATTGATTTGTTTGTTAAATAGAATCATGAAGGTGTTAGCACTCTGCTTATCTTTGGTTGGCTGTGTGTTCGGGTAAGTGAACTAAATAATGTTAAGATCATAAAGAATCAGAAATATAAATAACTTTTACAATCTATACACTATACGAGTAATTAATGATTCGGATTTGTAATCTGCAATGTGTAAATTATTATCTTTGTTCACTTCACAATATTTTACTTTTGAAAACATTTTCAAAATTATAATGAAAAGTAAGATGAATCTGGATGCATATGATTATGCTGCTTTACTATTTAGATAAAAATGTACAGTTCAAATGTTGTAAACACCAGGCTCGTGGTATTTCGCTAATATGCTGGCTGATTTGTGCCATGTCGTATTTTCGCTCCGCGGGCCACAAAACAAAACACAAAAATACGACATTTTGTGTAGAATACATGAATTCGCCTGGCGACCCGCAGAACGAAAGTGCGACAAAGAGGTTACATAGTCGTAATTACGTGTCTTTGACTGGTTCCCCGAGGAAGGAAAGGCAATGAAAAAAAAGTGAAAAAGCACAAAAGAAAGTACGACAAAGTGATGACTTTTTTCTATTTTTGTGATTTCGTCTCGCGCCCTGCAGAGCGAAAGGCGAAAAAACGAAATAACGACAAAGTGTCGTGTTTGAAGGAGTAAAATACGGCATGGCACAAATAAGCTCATGAGTGGTAGCTTAATATACGTAAGATCTTCATGCACCTTTTGTTCTGGTTCCTCAGAGTGACACACAATGATTTGGCTACGATCGTCAATATGGTGATTGCAGACACCGACGTAGATATGGACGGTTTCATATCGGAGGCTGAACTAGCTAATGAATTTCAAAATAGATTTGACGCTAGTTAGTATTTTTTGTCAGAATTTTGGATTTTTTGTAATCATATACTGTTTTTCAAAGTATATCATATTGATTGCTAATTCAACCATTACAGTCCAAACTAAATGAAAGTTCGTCGGTAGATCATTCTGCATACGAGATAAAGATAAATATTGGACTTGAAAACAAGCCATGATTGAATCTCAAAAGAAAATGTTCAAGATTTCCTTTTATAGAAGGGATAACCTTTTTTTGTGCGGGGGATCATAATACTTTGACCGTGGAGGGGGGGGGGGGTCATAAAATTAAGACCCGGGAGTCAATATTCTTTAAAAGATTTATACATTTCTGTGGGTCACTTTACTTTGTTACCTTGGGCGAGGACGCTTTCGTAAAAATGTTGAATTTTGATATCTTGCATCTATCAACTCTACTGATTTTTTTTTTAAATTTCAGATAATGATGGTATAATACTTAAGAACGAGTTTATCCATGGCTGGACAACAAGATACGGTGATAAACATCACCACACCGACATTTTTTTTGACAATATCGATTTAAACGGAAATGGCATGATTGATTTATCTGACATCGAGGGAAATAAGGTCCTTACAGATACAGACGGTAAGACTGTTGAAATATCTCAATGTATATATTTTGTAACGTAATGTCAAAGTATATTTTGTAATGTAATGTCAATGTATGTTTTGTAACGTAATGTCAATGTATGTTTTGTAACTTAATGTCAATGTATATTATGTAACGTAATGTCAATGTATATTTTGTAACGTAATGTCAATGTATGTTTTGTAACTTAATGTCAATGTATATTATGTAACGTAATGTCAATGTATATTTTGTAACGTAATGTCAATGTATATTTTGTAAAGTAATGTCAATGTATATTTTGCTATGTAATCAAGTTTAGATAACTCTTGAAATGTGGTTCCACACATTGTTGCGAAATGTTGCGGCGGTGTGGCCGAATGGTACGTTAATGTCCCGGACTATTAAGGATTGCTGACCACGTGGGTTCAAACCCCGTCAGCGAAGGGCAAGCCGTTGTTTCTTCTAGCAAAAACTTTACACTCCTTGCTAAGCACTGGTTAGTTCCAGGAACGGATTCGAGAGTGTTTCAATAAGCTTATAGGTAATAACACAGACAAACTATAATAAATTTGAATAAACTTAAATCTTGCGAAAATCATAAATAACACATTTATGTTAAGAAAATCTTTACTGTAAATTGTACTTGTGTCTTTTAAACAAGAAAATGAAAGTTGTTGATTCATCATATACTGAATTTGTGTATTAATTTAAAAATATTTATTAATTAATTTATTAATTAATTAATTAATTTACTTAATTTTCATAAGGGTCTACCAAGTAGAAATATTTGAAAACCCCTGTTTTAATTTATTTAGAAAACTATTTATTTCTTTAAAAAATGTTTATTTATTTAAAATTTCCATCTATTTATTTATTTCACTTATCTAAGAAATATTTATTTATCTATCTGTCCGTCTGTCTATCTGTGTATTTATTCGATCACTTGACAAGTATATGTGTGTGTATATATAAACTATACTGTTTACGTAAATAAAATTTTCTGTCTGTCTGTCCGTTCGTCCGTCCGTCCGTCTGTCTGTCTGTCTGTAGAACACGATGCTTATATCCCATGGTAAATTAAAAATTATTTAATCATATGAATAGAAATTTTATGGCTGTGTGCTTTATCTCCAATAAAAAAGAATTAAGGAAAATAGGTCATTTTTTATTAAGTTATCAATGACTCAGAAACTTGATTGCAACGTGTAAAATCTAAAATAATTTTAACTTGTTTTCAAATATCATCTTGCAGCTGATGGCATGGTTTCTGTTGAGGAATACAAGGCATTTATCATGGCGGTAATGACACATAAAGGATATTCATTTATTTTTTTGTATTGATACAGGGTTTATTGTCATCGAGTGGTATGAAAATAAAAAGTTCATGAGTGACAGTAGCAACGAGTGAAATATGATAATTTTCATACCACAAGATAAAAAGAAAAACCGTATTAATGGAAAAAATCTTGAATTTTCTGTATATTACATATTTTTTACTTTTTTAATCTTATGATTTGAAAGAATGTCCTTATAATTTTATGTAATGAATTAATTTAGAAGAAAGTAGTCCGGCAAGATACACGTACCAGTGAAAATACGGAAAATATGCCTCATAGTAGTACAAATATTTTTACAGTGTATATACGGAAAACGAATTACGCATTTTATTTCATCTATATTTCTCAATATTACATTTATAAGTATATAATAGATACAAATGTATATATCTTAAACTTGTTAAGTAGTTGAAATCTAAGTTACGAAAGACCATTAGGGACGTTTCATAATCGTGAATTCGCGTTATTGAAAATAAAAAAAAACAACAGCTTTTACGTCAAATCTATGCGACCAGCTCTTTTTAATTAAAGCATTTCTTTTCCATGCTGTATAAATATTTGTTTTTCCAGAAACATCCTTGTGGAGATCATGGATTGGATTGCACAGCTTAGTTGGAGTCTCATCAAAATGCTTTGAGTTATATTCAACGAAAATATTCAAAAAAAAAGAGTTTTTTTTTATATTAAAATACGTCTTCTTATATTGCATTTGTTTTTGTCCCCTCCCGTGTTTATTATTTATTTTTCTGTGTGGTTGGGTGTATGTAGTTTACTTGGCGGAACACGGGTAAAAACCACTATGGCTTTACCAGAGCACAGTTCAGCCATTGCATTTTTCTCATATTATTACCGATATATCCATTTACATAATACAATGTATATCAGCGTATTAAACATTCCCCATTCTAATGGAGCAAAGGCTATCAAGGTAAAATCAAGTATAAATGCTCTTATATGTATTTAAAAAACAACATGTACTTCACCAGAGTATATGTAACAAAGCTATATCTTGTATCCAAAAAAATGGGTAAATATATTTATAACAGCATTGCCTATATGGTAAATATATAGGAAACGCAGTGTTACATTACATAAGTCAAGAAATAATGTTGTAGGTCATTTGACTCTTATTGTTTAGATAAAATTTTAACTATTTTTACCAATATTAAAAAAAAGAAATACTATATGGAATGAGCAAAGTGGCATGTTCCTACCGGCATTCCATAAAATACAGTTTGAATTACACCCATACATTGGAATACAACGAACAACTGCTAAATTTCTATTCGGTCTTTTCTAAATTTTCTATCTTTTTTCATTATAGCAAATTTAATATAGTATGTCGCACTTCAATGAATGTCTGTCTAATAGTTACATTGAACTTGGGAAATACGAACCAAAACACACACGCAGGCACGCACACACCAGCTAGGCAAAAATCGCTTTAAAGCTTTGAAAATGAGTCTACATCAAAATTTAATCACATGCGAATCGTTTCAATATGTAGTTTACTGAATTTTATACATTACAATATTTATGACCGTATTTGAAACATTTTATAATTAATGTAACTGTCAACATATGCACATGATAACTAACGGCAAAATTATTATATTGTGTTGAGTACAGTACTGGATTTTATTGGACGAGTACACAGTTAATGTTAAAATTATATTGAACGAGCTGATATAGGTTTTACAGCTGAGTACAGTTTTGTTCCCAACTATGTATAATGATCCTATTTATTCACACCACAATTTTTTATCATTATTTTTTCTTTTTTGTCAAAACATTTTTTAACTTCAAGTACAAAGATTTTATATATGGATAATTGGATTCTCAAAACTGAAACCGAGGATAGATGGAGAACGCTATGCATTTGATATAGATTTATTTTGGAAGCTGAGAATTAAATCGAGGATATTTTAGTTATGATATGCTTTAAACTTTTTGGACTTTTGAAATAAAAACGAGGCTATATTGGTTACGATATGTAATTGATATAACCGTTTTGGACTCTTTAAATGAAAACGAGGTTGAATCGATAAGACGTACTGGTTCAAAGGAACATCACGTGTTGCAAACACTGAATGTTCATTGGTTATACGGTTTTTTATAAGGTAAGCCTGTTGTAGTGACTTTTAATCAAAATTGATTTGCATACATATTTAGCATCAAACAGTGATTTACTAAATTCAAAATCGGGCGTCCGTGGCCGAGTGGTTAACGTCGCTGACTCTAAACCACTTGCCCCTCACCGCTGTGGGTTCGTATCCCGACAGGAACTTTGGATTCTTTCATGTGAGGGAGCTATCCATCTAGCTTACGGAACGTCGGTGGTTCTACTCAGGTGCCTGTTTGTGCCTGAATAATGCACGGAGGGGCACCTGAGGTCTTCCTCCACTAGTAAAGCTGGAACGATATGGTACATACATACATACATACATACATACTCACATACATACATACAGCGGAAATTCACTTACTGAGGAAAAATATTCGAAATATGTGCAATTTACTTGTTTGACTTTATCAAAATATGAAATCATTTGTCAATATACATATTTTAAAGTAACATACAAAATGGTCGTTGTTTATGGTGGCTGATTTGAGCCTTGTCGTACAATCTGCGGGGCGAAAACGCGATAATACGACAAAGTCACCACTTAGTTGTATTTTCGTGTTTTCACCTTTCGCTTCGAGTCAGTTCAGCCATCATACTTGTAAATTTCACCCTTGGTACTTTTATATTTAGAATCATTTTAATACAATTGAGGGGCTTTTGTCTACCGGTAACCTTTCGATTGGATACGGAATTCCATAAACGACAGTCTACTGTTTACTGTCAACTGCCTACTATCAACTGCTTACTGTCAAGTGCCTACTGTCAACTGCTTACTTTCAGCTGCTTAATGCTTACAGCAACTGTTTATTGCTTACTGTTCATTGATAAATGCCAACTGTTACATCTGTCAAATACCCGATTAATGTTGGCTTTTTACGTACTTCTTCCAATGTGTTTATATGTTGCGATGAGGCCGTAGAGGCGTCCGTGGCCGAGTGGTTAAGGTCGTTGACTTCAAACCACTTGCCCTCACTGCTGTGGGTTAGAATCCCGACAGGGACTTTAGATTTTTTCATGTGAGGAAGCTATCCAGCTAGCTTACGGTACGTCGGTGGTTCTACTCAGGTTGAAAATGTGTCACAGTTAAATCGTATACATATACATGCACAGTGCGTTAACTGGAGTGCAGGTATTAGTTATCCGCACTCCAGAGCATGTCCTTTGATTGGCTCATTTTTTTCTGTGGTTTACTTATTGTGACGGCAGATAAAGGGAAAACGACAGGAATATGTTATTCTGATGCTCGTTCATTGGTTACTTTTTTCCGGGGTTTCATATTGTGACAACAGGGAACGTGATATAATGTTTGACTATGATACAAAAGAGAAAGAGCATCGAAACACTCGGCAATCTGATTAATACTCGTGGGCTACGCCCCCTCGTACAAATCAGATAGCCTCGCGTTTCGATGCTCTTTCTATTACAAAAATGTTATCAAACAAAACATTTCAAGATTTTTCTGTCATTAAATCTTGTTCGGTAATTTTGATTTACCAAATATAACTGCTTGCTTAATTATTTATACATGTATATCCTTGTTCAAGCTTGTAAAACACAGTCATTTAGATACATCTACCTTTTAACATGTATATTATTATATTTGTTCGTTAAATGATACTAACCCTACCTTATTTTAAACGGAGGCTTTGTAATGTCATGAACGTCGTTGTTTTACAACGGTCAGTTTTATGTTCGCATTTTGAAAATAATGCCATAATGTTTTGTTCAAAAATAATATAGATAATGGTGCCCAAAACATAGATATATAGATTTTCAGACAAAAATATAATTATATACCAGTCACGTTTCAGATTACCAGTAGTTTATTCACGTACTGTGAAAGTATACACACTTCATAGTTCAAACCATACATGGACCGTTTAGTTCTATCTAAACAAGAGGGCCATAATGGCCCTGAGGTCGCTCACCTGTATATAGGCCGCCCCAACCCCCCCCCCCCCAAAACATTGCTAGGCCAATTTAACCAAAGGGCTTTTATTTGCACAAACTTGGTAGACACCCATAAGAAAATGTTTCATGCTAAACATCTAAGCTCTAGCTCATTGGGCTATTTAAAAGATGATTTTTTTAAAGTTTTTACTATACACATATAGTTTAAAAACAATGACACGCCTGGGGCCGGGCCAGTTATGACCCCAGGGTTTTTATTTGAACAAACTTTGTAGACACTTACTAGAATAATATTATGTTTCATGCTTAATATCTAAACTCTAGCTATTTGGGTTTTTTCAAAGAAGATTTTAAGTTTTTGCTATACACATATAAGGAAAATCAATGACCCCGGGGCAGGGCCAATTTTGACCCCAGGTCTTTTATTTGAACAAACTTTGTAGACACTCACTAAAAGATGTTTCATGCTTAATATCTTAACTCTAGCTATTTGGGTTTTTTTCAAAAAAGATTTTTTAAGTTTTTGCTATACACATATAAGGAAAATCAATGACCCCCGGGGCGGGGCCAATTTTGACCCCAGGGCTTTTATTTGAACAAACTTGGTAGACACCTATTAGAACATGTTTGATGCTAAATATCTTAACCATAGCTCTTTGAGTTCTTTAAAAGAAGATTTTTAAGTTTTTACTATATGCATATATAGGGAAAAATCAATGACCCCCCCGGGCGGGGTCAATTTTGACCCCAGGGCTTTTATTTGAACAAACTTGGTAGACACTTATTAGGACATGTTTCATGCTAAATATCTTAGCTCTAACTCTTTTGGTTCTTTAAAAGAAGATTTTTAAAGTTTTTACTATATGCATATAGGGAAAATCAATGACCCCCTGGGGCGGGGCCAATTTTGACCCCAGGGCTTTTCTTTGAACAAACTTGATAGACACCTATTAGAACATGTTTGATGCTCAATATCTTAGCCATAGCTCTTTGAGTTCTTTAAAAGAAGATTTTTTAAGTTTTCACTATATGCATATAGGGAAAATCAATGACCCCCCGGGGCCGGGCCAATTTTGACCCCAGGGCTTTTATTTGAACAAACTTGGTAGACACTCACTAGAAGATGTTTCATGCCAAATATCTAAGCTCTAGCTCTTATGGTTTTTTAAAAGAAGATATTTAAAGTTTTTTCTTTCGGTTGCCATGGCAACCAGAGTTCTGCATGGAATTAAATTCTTTGAACAATTTTTAAAGGTGACCACCAAAGGAACATTCCTGTGAAGTTTGGATGAAATTGGCCTTGTGGTTTATGAGGAGATGTCATTTAAAGTAAAAGTTTACGGACGGACGGACGACGGACGGACGACGGACGCCGGACGAAAAGTGATCACAAAAGCTCACCCTGTCACTTTGTGACAGGTGAGCTAAAAAGGTAATACTTGTTCTGGTGATTGTAGACCGTACAATTATACCTAAAAATAGATAAATACAGAATCCCTAAAGAAAGCCCAACACGGCAAAATTGAAAATGTTGCAGGCTCGGTTTGATTGAGCCTGTTCATGGACGGTACTGGAAAATTCTACAAAGCTCAAGAAAATGTTACTTTAGTTGGTTTTAAAAAAATATTCGACAGAAGCATGTTGACTTACATGTCAATTATTGTGTTATTCATTTGTAATTGGAAAGTCGATGCATAATAAAATCATTGAAAGATCTTTGAGTTACGTGGGCATTATTTTTAATACAAAGGAATGTTAGTATTTGTTTAACGATATGATGAACTGCGGTATCCTAAATTGGAGTCAATGTAATGCTTTCCGCATGTAATTTCTTAGTTTTTGCAGTGTTGCCTGTGTTACTTTCTGATTTTTATAATTTATGATAAAGGCATAAAAACTACCGGGCCAAAAACAGATTAACCAATTTATTGCTGTACGGCCGTCTTTTTATTTCATTGCCTTTAAGATAAGAGTGTTTAGTTTAACTTTTTTGAAGAAAAAAAATCAGTAAACTTGCCAGATATTGGAGCTTCAGATGTATTTCTTATGGAACTTATAATTTAACGTAATTTTCATCTTCCTAATACATACGTTTTGCGATCCCATGCTTTTAAAATTGATGGACTAAGACACTATTTAAATGTGGACAATGTTGAAAATTGTTTTTTCCTACTTGGTCATGTTACAACATTCAACAAACAAACTTTGCTTTATGGTTAACATATATATAACCAATTTTAATTTATTTTGTCATAATTTTGTTTTCCGGGGAGCTAAACATAAACAAAATTACAAGAAAATTATGATATTCTATTTTGAAAGAAATTTCTTATTTACAATTAAAACGAAAAACAAAATACACTTATTGATTATAACACCACATAAAAAGTATGTTTTGTCGCAATAATGAGACCAGTAAGCTAATATTTTCTTGTATACACCGTTATTAAAAAATACAAATTATGACACGCTTGTAAAAAATCAAAATCTATATAAAATATTTGTAAAGTTTCGGGGTAAGTAATTAATATAAAAGCAGAATTATAATTAAAAGTTATGTTATGAATTATATGATTGTTATGAGATTATATTAATTTAAATATACTCTGCAGTATAAAGTGATATACACGTTGTAAGAAAGGTAACTTAAAAATGCTTCATATTATACCATAGAAGCTCTACACTATCACGATGTCTTAGAACTGTTTACCTTAGTTGTCAAACCTCTAGAACCCTGATACAAATAGTAATGACTTTCATTGGATGATTCTGGCAAATACGAAGGCAGATTTGCTCATTGGCTTTACTTGCGGTATGTAATTGCAAAAAGAAATAGAAAAAATAATCAACCTAAAAGTTCACTTTTAAGTGTGTTTGTTAATAAGATGATTATAAAAATTATATAAAAGATGGATTTTAAACAAACACGTCAAAATATATTGTATCATTATCATGATCATTTTGTCTATTAGAAATTTTTAAGTAAATTCAAATAGTTAAGAATCTATTATTTAGAGTTTTTCAATAGCACAATTGAATTTCAACAAGAGAATAACGATGGCTTTTCATAAAAGTAAAATAAGGTGATCCAAACTGTAATTTATCACTTAATTTCATGTTTGCACTCTTTATGTCATTGAAATATTGAACGTTTTTGAAACAATAAACAGCCAAGTTTGTTTTTGTTCATGCTTTCAGAGTAGTCCTTTTCCTCTTCCATTGTAATTTCAATATTCTCATACAGCTGTATTGGTTCTGTTACTTGTCTGTGATGTCAATGAAAGTATAAGCTGTTCCTCCATTGAAATGTTTCTGTCAGATTTATCATCATCTGCACTAGAATAAAATTAAGTCTATAATTAACCTTCAAAGCACATATCTTATCAAGAGTGCAATCAACTTAACAAAAATGCATAACATAATATCTAATAAGGAATTACACATTTATAAGCTATAACTAACAGCCAATGAAAACTGAACCAAAATGATCTCGTAAATGAACTCACACATTTTTGATTATGAGAGAATGTTTAGCCTAAATTTCACCAGTGATTGCACCAGTATATTACAGATATTCTTCTAGAAATGGATTACATTGTCAAATGAAAGTTTAATAAACTATGAAATTCTAAATAAAATAAGGGAGTGTTGACATAATGGTCCAGATCTCCGCCTCCCAACCGAGGAATAGTAGGCTGACGCCCGTCCATGTTGATTGTTGAACACAGATTCCCTAAAATGAGTCCTATATTTGACAATTTATCAATCACCTGTGCAAGAGGCACATGGAACCATTTCATAACATAATCAAAGCAGTGTGCAATGGTGGGACGTACACAAGTCATTGCAATGAATTCAAAATTACAAATTATTAGGCTTAATCATAAAATAATCCTTTTTAGCTCGACTATTCGATAAGAATAAGTAGAGCTATTGCAGTCACTTGAGCGTCGGCGTCGGCGTCGGCGTAACCACTTATGTTAAAGTTTTTGTAATAGTTCAAATATTTTCAAAGTCCATTGACATATGGCTTTGAAACTTTGCACACTTGTTCACCATCATGACCCCAACCTGTAGACAGCAGGAGGTAACTCTATCAAGTATTTTGACAGAATTATGCCCCTTTTTCGACTTAGAATTTACGTTAAAGTTTTTGTAATAGTTCAAATATTTTCAAAGTCCATTGACATATGGCTTTGAAACTTTGCACACTTGTTCACCATCATGACCCCAACCTGTAGACAGGAGGAGGTAACTCTATCAAGTATTTTGACAGAATTATGCCCCTTTTTCGACTTAGAATTTACGTTAAAGTTTTTGTAATAGTTCAAATATTTTCAAAGTCCATAGACATATGGCTTTGAAACTTTGCACACTTGTTCAACATCATGACCCCAACCTGTAGACAGCAGGAGGTAACTCTATTAAGCATTTTAACAGAATTAGGCCCCTTTTTTCGACTTAGAATTTACGTTAAAGTTTTTGTAATAGTTCAAATATTTTCAAAGTCCATAGACATATGGCTTTGAAACTTTGCACACTTGTTCAACATCATGACCCCAACCTGTAGACAGCAGGAGGTAACTCTATTAAGCAATTTGACAGAATTATGCCCCTTTTTCGACTTAGAATTTACGTTAAAGTTTTTGTAATAGTTCAAATATTTTCAAAGTCCATTGACATATGGCTTTGAAACTTTGCACACTTGTTCACCATCATGACCCCAACCTGTAAACAGGAGGAGGTAACTGTATCAGGCATTTTTTTTACTATCAAGCACTAAGAATAGTCGAGCATGCTGTCCTACCGACAGCTCTTGTTAATTTACTTACCATTGTTTTCCCATCAGATTTTTTCAACAAAATGGCGGGCGCACATGTGTGTACATTCGGAATACTTCTATTTGATCCATACATAGACTTAGAAGCAGTTAGCAGTAGGCATTGAGCAGCAGGCTGTCCAGTTAGCAGTAGGCAGTGAGCAGTAGGCTGTCGTTTATGGAATTCCGTAATTGGAAACTGTTTATTTTGATATTTTTTCACCAATGAGCGTTTGCAATATATCGGCTCTTCCCGGTTACTTTAGTTAAGACGTAAAGCCTGCGTCACATTACACTCCGACTAGGTTTATGGTGGGGTTACGATGTCTGAAATTGCCTCCTCTGTAGGACTCGTCTGCATGGACAGCCGATTGCGAGAATAAAGAAACTGAATAACACAAACCGACACATACCCTCATTCAGAGTTCTGCGCTTTCACACACGTCAACGGTTCGTAAAGTTTTTTATTTTCATTTACAATCCTTTGTCGAAACCTTTGACTTCAAACTGTAATATGCCTTCCAAAACAGCCAGCAAAGAAAGGGGAGAAAGAAACCATGGCAGAGGGGAAATGGGCAAGAACTAAACCCAGAAAGCATGGAAAAGGCCCAGCAAAAGAAGGGGGTAAAGAACGGCAGGAAAGATGGAGAACATGCCTTCGACAACCGATATTATATCGCACGTCTTTTGCTCGTATACTTTACAGTCACGATGGTTAAACCCCGGATAACGGAAGGCCATTGGACATTTATCATACGGTTGTCTGCCGAATACGTTCATAGGTGTTCGGCTCGTTGATTGGTCACTAAACCCTACCCCCACCCTCCCTCCTACCCCTCAAAACCATGTTAACTACAGTATTTAAAAAGACACCAAAATGAATCTTTTTAAATAAAAACATTGCCATTTTAAGGCTTATTGGCCTTTTAATAGACATATTACCAACACTGATAGCAGTGGCTCGTTACTTTACATTCATTTATTCTGATGATTTATTATATTAGAAAGAAATATGGGTGCAGGATTAAATATAATTGAAATTAATCTTTTTTAAAAAAAGTCTATGTTCTTTCCTGTCCCCTCTCTTTTTGGCAAATCATAAATGGGTCAAAAAGCAAGATGTGCATACTTATTGATCTCTTCTATGTAAAGAATAACCTATATCAGGACTCTCAATGTCAATCTTGCAACCTTCGTCATGCACCTACTTATATAAAGCAATATCAGGATTGCGCATAATATCTTGGTTATTTTGGGAAATAAGCAGATGTTTTAAACATAGATTACAAAGCGTGCTCCTAGCTGACACAAAAGGGCACGCGACAGATTATATAAAGTTGTGTTCCTTTGCTCTCCATTATTTCACAGTGTACAGTTTTTCAGGTAGGCCACTTCATGTTGTTGAGTTGTTCCAAAAGTCAATAAAGCCTTTTTGTTCTCTTTTCTTTTAATTTTTTTTATTTTTATTTTTTATTATTCTATTTTTTTATTTTATTTTTTTTTATTTTATTTCATTTTTACTATTTTTTATTATTGTTTTTTCTTTAATTATTTATGAAAATACAGCGAATTGAATTGAATTCAGTCTAAATGTTGTGGGTGTTGATAGGAAAACTTATATTTGAAGTTTGAAGAATAAAGTAATTATCAGAATAGATCTACAATCAGGTAAAGGTAAGCCTTAAGAGATAAAGAAGCAAAATGTAGCAACATTTACTAACATTCAAAGTTCAAAGTGGAAATAATTTTGGAAATATTGGTGCAAGAGTTATGAACCATGTCACATATGATGTGGGTGATGATAATGGACATATATTTGGAGTTTAATGTACATTACTTCAGGAATACAGAGTAAAAAATATAAGTTCCAAGGGGATATTAATATGGAAATAATTGTTACGAGAGTTATGAACCTTGTCTCATTTGATATGAGTCGCGATGTAATATATACAAAAATACAGGAGTAGGAGTAAAACAACATTTCAAGGAAAATTCTTTAGCACCAAGGAACCTTCTGAAAATATGGGTGCTAAACTTTTTACAAACCTTATCATATACGACGTGGGTGATAAAAGTTTGAAGTAGATACTTTAATAAAGCTGCATGCCTCTAGATTCGTGTTAATTTTCGTGAAAATTTTCAAATTGTTATAAAACAAAATATGCAAAAATTTTAGTAACATTGTAGAAAAATATGGTATTGTATACAACAAAATCAGTCACTAATTGCACATAATATGTAAATTATTACTTAAATCATGAATCTATTTACTTTTCTTAAATTTTTAGTATGTTTTTCTCAAGTTTTATTTTCTTGAAATATTTTGGCTCATCTGGAGGCATGCAGCTATAAAGAAGTTAAGTATAAAAATATTACTGCACAAAATCTTAAATCAGAAGTCTGCACGCCGGAGTGAATATGATGATCCTCATTATATTTTCTATCGAGCTAAAAGTAGTTCGTCCTTATAAATCATTTATTGACATGTTTTTGTTTGTTTATAGAATCATGAAGTCGTTAGCACTCTGCGTTTCTTTGATTGCCTGTGTTTTCGGGTAAGTGAAATAAATTAAGAGGCATTATCCTGTGAGTGACTGTAATCAAAAAAGTAAAATACGAGTACCCAAATGAAGATAAATTTAATGTAATCTTTCCAAAATTCCATAGTAATTATTTTTGAAAAACAATCACTATGTAACCTTTCAAATAAGTTCTTTATTTGTAAATGAACACGGCAAACCAAGCCACTTTTTTTAATACTAGTACTCGCATATCTATCATGTGCGCACGTGTAGCTTTAATTCTGTGCGGATTAGCCGACCGAATTCTTTATCAAGGACTAGCTGGTTGGTTTTAAAAAAAATACCACATTTGTTTATCTCCAAGGTTAACCTGAAAATTTTGCATGTTCTTACACAGCTTCTTTAGTATATTAAAAAAATTATGCCGTACTGTTCTGATTTTTCAGAGTAACACATAATGATTTGGCGACAATCGTCGAAATGGTGATCGTAGATACGGACGTAGATCGGGACGGTTTTATATCGGAGGCAGAACTACAAAGTGAATTCCTTGGTAGATTTGACAGTAGTAAGTACGGTGTTCGACACCTTCGTTTGTAGAGCTTTCTGCTCGGTCCTTGAAGATTATATGTTCGTTAATAAATAGGTAAAGACTATAATTTTGTTATTAAACCAAGCTATCACTTGCCCCCCATCGCTGTGGGTTCGAATCCCAACAGGGACTTTGGATTCTGTCATGTGAGGAAGCTATCCAGCTAGCTGACGGAACGTCGGTGGTTTTACTAAGGTGCCCGTTCATGCCTGAAATAATGCACCTGAGGTCTTCCTCCATCAGTTAAGCTGGAACGTCGCCATGTGTGTCGGTGTGACGTAAAACTCAACCCGAAGCTGCTCATGTCTTTGACATTGGGCTTGCGCAAAATAAAAAATAATAAAACATAACAATCTTATATGCTGAATAATTTGGAATACCTTTTTTCGATAGATTTGAATCACCTACTTTTAGTACAGAGTGTTTCCGCTATGATTTCATTGTTTGAAATATCAATATGGCGATCATACTTGAAAAATAAAATTAGAAAACACATTGATAAAGACTCTAAGATATGTAAAAAATGCAAGAACAAGAAAAACAGGCGTTTTTATACCCATGTATTAACTTTTTATTTGATGCAGTATGTCCAAAAAAATGCGTAAACATTTGTCAATGGTCAAAATAAAGTACTTAATGGACTCATAAGAAAGTTTTGTTAAGAGTCACTAACTATGGCGGTTGATTTGGACAACATTCGAGCGTCGTGTTGTCGCTAGCGACAGCACGACATACCGCAAAACCGCGCGTTGTCCGACTATATTCTTGTTGTCCTGTCGCTAACGATGCATGCCAAAGTGCGCGTTGCCATGCGGCGTGTCGTCGCGACGTCACATTGGTGCTACGCTAAAATCGAAGGATTGTATTTGTATAAATATTAGCCAGGCGACAGGGCAATATTGCGACAACGCCCCGTAGACAACGCGCCGTTTGGCGTGCCTCGCTAGGAACAGGACAAGACATCAGTGCGACAACGCGCCGTTTGGTGCAAAAGCGATAACGATAAAGGTTATCAGCCACCATAGATAACACCTGTACTTGTTGTTGTAAAATTTTGGACACACTGAGATGATTTCATAATTTGTATGAAAATGAGAACTTGATTTCTAGGGGCCACTTTCTTGTAAAATATACTTTTTATTGATTTTTTTGGCATTGTGTGGTGAATGAATTATTTCATACAGATAATGATGGTATAATAGTAAAGAACGAGTTTATTCATGGCTGGACAACACGATACGGGGATAAACACCACCACACCGAAGAATTCTTTAACAATATTGATTTAAATGGAAATGGCATGATTGATACAGCTGACATCGAGGGAAACATGGTAGTTATTGACACAAACGGTGGGTTGTCGTTATGATATCTTAACGGCTATCATTTTCATTTGTAAGCGCTTAATTTTGAAAATAATGTACTCAATGATTTTAAAGGCACATTATGCCTTAAACATTCTTTACTTTTTTGGAAAGGACAAGCATGAGGTTTATAATTCTTATAATGGTTTTTGGAGAAAGTTGGATGCTTATTACATGAAGAAAGTAACGATAAAATGGAAATACTTCGTCGTTAATGTAGCAAAATCTAAACAAAGTAGTATTTTGACTTCCATACAAAATACATAATTATTCACTAAAAGTATACTTATTGCCAAAAAGCAACAGATGAAAAAGATGGTTCCGGTTATTGGCCAATGCGTAAAATTTTTAAATTCTATAAAGTTCACCAAAGTTAAAAAGCCTTTGAGGAATAAAAATAAAAGCATTTCCTAGGCATAATGAGCCTTTGAATAAATAATAGTCAAACTAAACGAAAACGATCTTAAAGCTGGTTTTTGAAAAGTTTAACCGGAAAAAAATACATCCCTTGCATTTCGATACGGAAGACATTTTTTTTAAATTTTCGGTTAGATATAGGAGGAAATGACGTCCGTGGCCAAATATAATTGGACGGAATAAGCTGGATAAAGTATGGCATGCAAATAAAATGTAAAGACAAATTGGTCAGAAATCAACAGTTCCTATAAAACGCTGAATAATTATTTTTATAGGTCCGTCATTCATTCATTTTATTCTGCTGACAATTTAAAATGGACATCAGGGGCGGCGCCATTTTTAGATGATCATTTTGGTTACAAAGATTCGCTTGATAAATAAAAAAATAACATCTCTTTTCCGATTATATTCAAGAGCAAATTCACATTTAATATTTTTCAGGTTTTGCATTTTGCATCGCATACTATTCTACAGATACATTTTACAGCTTCTCAAAACTATGTTCATTGCCTTCCTTTAAAATTGATCATATATCAGACTTTAAGAATCAAAGTACTGAAGTACAGATGGGCTGGCTACTGTTTTTACTACCAAACTTGTTTTACTTTTAAAATAAAGCTATCTTCTGCAATAAGGATACTTATCGCAACCTGCATTGCAAACGACATGAACGAGATGGAATGAATAAAATATGATTATGGTCATTATTCAATTAAGATTTCAATGACATTGGAAAAAATTATTTCAGCATGTAAAATACAAAAAAATCAACTTATTTCAAATAACAACTTTCAGCTGATACCCTTATCTCCGTTGACGAATACAGAGCATTTATCCTTGCGGTAAGTTAAATAGTAATATACGGTATAATAGTTATATACGGTACAATAGTAATATACGGTACAATAGTAATATTCTGTACAATAGTACGTGTAATATACCGTACAATAGTAATATACGGTACAATAGTAATATACAGTACAATAGTAATATACGGTACAATAGTAATATACGATATAATAGTAATATACGGTACAATAGTAATATTCTGTACAATAGTGCATGTAACATACGGTACAATAGTAAAGCACGGTATAATAGTACTATACGGTACAATAGTACTATACGGTACAATAGTAGATATAATATACGGTACAGTAGTAGATCTAATATACGGTACAATAGTAGATCTAATATATGGTACAATAGTAGATCTTATATACGGTGCAATACTGAATAGTAATATACGGTACAATAGTACATAATAGAAATTATGGCAACTATTTGAGATTTGTTTTTTAGCCATCATATTTTGATTATTTGATATGTTACTTTGAAAAGATGTAACAAATTGCTGAACATTGTATTCGGCTTTCCTACCTGTCACTCACATGGTGTTGAAGTTCTTATAATGTAAAAATATTCTAAGCAAGGCAGGTTTATGATTTATTATACAGTCAGATAGGGACGCCCAACGAGTAACCAGATTATTGTGTACTAATTGAAAGTCAGAGTTTCGGTTTATAAAACTGTTACTCCAGTACTCGAGTGTAATTTCATTTTGTTGCCTTAAATGTAATACAAGAAGTTTTTTTCTTAAATATCTTTTCACGTTATACCATTTAGTTACATTGTAATATACTTGCATATAAATTTTTTCGTATCCTTTTCCAGAAACACCCATGTGGAGATCATGGATTGGATTGCACTGCTTAGTTTGAGTCTGTTTTATATTGAACAGATTATAGTAAAATACAATGCCAAAATATATTGCATTTATTTATAATTGCAAAAGCAGAGAAGAAAATAATTCCACATGCGCATGCGTTAACCAAGTGAATAAGTGTTTTTATAGACTGCACAGCTAAATCCCAATAGCAAACCGTTAAATAACATTACAAAATAGGTTCAAACTTTGATTCCCAATCATCTTAAAAACTAGAAATTGTCATTCCTGCAAATACAATTCACTCAATGCCCTATCATTATTCAAATGAGGGTCCTTTATTACCAATAAGTTGAAGTAATAGGCTATACGTACGTGTTAAAGGCACATTATGCCTCAGAAAAAAAACCACATTTTTTTAATGCTTTAGAAATCTCAAACATGTGTTAAATAATGAATGAGAGCAGGCTAGAAATTTAACAACTGAAGGAAGTAGACTGAATGTGCAATAGTATGTTGTAAAGGTAGCAAAATGTGGAGAAAGTAGGACTTCCATACAGAGCAAAAGAAACAAACATTAGCCAATCTATGTGGCAAATGAGTAATTTTTTTAAACTAACAAATTTCCAAAAATTAACAGTTTGTAAAAATTTTTATAAATGACCGCATCTCTAAGGCAAAATGGGCCTTTAAACAACAATAATGGTTTTTTAATCTGTCAATAAACCATCGTTTTGTCACATAACTGGTCAAATATATCATATTTCATATGATATATCATATTTCATATGATATATTCTGTGCTCCTCATGGTAAAGAATGTTAAAGCAACAAACAAATAATTTATGAACACTTTAATGACCGTAATGACATATTAAAAGATTTATTACAATGCACATTTGTAAACATGATTTTCATTGGATAGTCATGATGTTTATATCAGTTATATACATGGCTGAAGTGGACAATATATTTTGTATTCAATTTTAACCAAAGTAAGCATTTTAGAAGTGTTATAAATTTGTAATTATGGCTTAGCAATGATTAAACGATCATTAACAGTTCGAGAATATAAGTTTATATCAGTACAACAAGCTAAACCTATTGTTACAGATAAAAATACATTTGTAGTTCATTTTTTTTAATCAAAAAGTATTTCATCAACATAAATTTCCCCAAGTCACAGTATTTGCATATAAACATAAATCCGACTACAATGTTTTGCAACAAAATTAGTTGTTTTCTCCATACATGTATACTCAATATGAAGCTGTACTATTCTCTTTATGCTGTAGAATGGCTTAAACAACAGCTGTCCTTAGGACAGTGCTATTCTTAGTGATTGACAGTACGAAATGGGGCATAACTCTGTAAAAAGTGTAACTTTTAACTCAGACTTACAGGACCTGTGTAGATACATGTTATATAATCACAGAGAGAGAGAGAGCAAATGTGTGATGTTTCAACCCATTCCCTTCAATTGTTTTGGAGATACCAAACTGTGAAGGTGACGTCAGGACAAGTACAGTACCTCTCCCTATTCTTCAAATAGTCGAGCTAAAAATAAGTCTTCTAAAAGTAGGTCACTATAGACTGTGTTAAGTGAAGCAAGTTTTACACCACTTGTCACTGAAATCTCTAAAGTTGCACAAAAATATCTGTAAGACCCATGTAAGACTCCCTGATGTTGGTATAAAAAAGTGATAACTATGGCCTTTTTATTTGGAAAAGTTAAAAAAAATATCTGTTATTTGCATCAGTAACATTGACTGAATCGCCTCTGAGACAAATTCAAAGAGTTACAGATCAACACACTTCAAAAAATCCAAGATATTAGTCAATAAATGATCATTAAATCTTTCTTATGACTCTTAACTTACATAGAGTAAGCACATGTGATCAAAGGACTTAAAGGAAAGAACACACATGTAACTATATACATGTACTCCACTGAAATATTTTCTGGAAGCAAAATAAAAAGTAACAAGGAACATCGCAATGCGATGCAACCAGGTTTTCAGCAAAATATTTCACAGAAGCTTTGTCATGAAGGGGCATTTGTTTTTAATTGAACTTTTAGGAGAAATTATGGCTTTTTTAATATTCCTCAAACAAAAATGATTGAGAAATTTTATGTTGTCTATTCGCCTTTTTTTCCCAAATGTTTTAGAAAGGTAAACAGTACTTTATTTTTGCTTAATTTTTGCATTTTTGCGTCTCTTGTCATTTTCTTTTGTCAACAATATTGGCGTGTGGTGTTTTGTGCGATATCAAGAAAAGTATGTTCACAATTTTAAAAAAATACTTGAATGATGTCTTGGAAGAAACATGGGAATTTAGTGAGCGCCAGGGCACTTGATGACAAAGCTTTTGTGAAAGTTTGGTCAAAATCCATTGAGAAATGTAGGAGAAGTTGCGCACTGTAGAAATTGTTCACTATATATTCTGTATAAGGAAAAAATATACAAAGGGCCATAATTCGGTCAAATATTATCCAATCACAAAACCCCGACAATATGTGCCAGGCACTTGAAAACAAAGCTTCTAAGAAAGTTTGGTCAAAATCCGTTGAGAAATGTAGGAGGAGTTGAGCACAGAAGAAATTGTTCTCTATATATTCTGTATAAGGAAAAAATATACAAAGGGCCATAATTCGGTCAAATATTATCCAATCACAAAACCCCGACAATATGTGCCAGGCACTTGATAACAAAGCTTCTAAGAAAGTTTTGGTCAAAATCCGTTGAGAAATGTAGGAGGAGTTGCGCACAGAAGAAATTGTTCACTATATATTCTATATAAGGAAAAAAAACAAAGGGCCATAATTAGGTCAAATATATACCAATTGCAAAACCCTGGCAATATGTGTCAGGGCACTTGATGACAAAGCTTCTGAGAAAGTTTGGTCAAAATCCGTTGAGAAATGTAGGAGGAGTTGCGCACAGAAGAAATTGTTCACTATATATTTTATATAAGGAAAAAAAAAACAAAGGGCCATAATTAGGTCAAATATTATCTTATCGCAAAACCCCGACAATATGCGCCAGGGCACTTGATGACAAAGCTTCTGTGAAAGTTTGGTCAAAATCCGTTGAGAAATGTAGGAGGAGTTGCGCACAGAAGAAATTGTTTACGCCCGCCCGCCCGCCCGCCCGCCGACATACCTCAATCTAATAACCAGTTTTTTCCTTCGGAAAACCTGGTTAACTTCGGAAAACCTGGTTAAAAATTGACACAGACAACTGTTGCTGCTATTTTACATGATCAACGTGAACGTTTATAAGAAATGAAAAAGTCTATGAATGTCTTGTGATGTACATGTGAGGATCAGATACATAAATCAGGGCTTCCAGAGTTTCAGTAAACCATCCTCACTGTATGTAGCCAGGAGATTTTGATGTGGATGATGGCTTATACCTATAACATCTTTCTCGTGAACCTGAAAATACAGACAAAAAGTGTTGTATTAAAAACATCTAATGATCTTAATCATTTGAATCCAGTAAACAAGTAATAGTATATATCAAGCATCTTTGCATTTAAGATAAAGACATGGAGTAATTATCTACATTCAAAGTTAACCTCACATATTTTCTAGCTTTAAATTAACCTCCAGTATTTTCTTGGTTTAATTTAATCTCATGCATATTCTATGTTAAAGTTAACCTCATTTATTTGCTAGGTTTAAGTTAACCCAATTTATATTTTCTAGGTTTAAGTTAACCTCATTTATATTTTCTAGGTTTAAGTTAACCTCATTTAAATTTTCTAGGTTTAAGTTAACCTGATTAATGTTTTCTAGGATTAAGTTAACCTCATTTATATTTTCTAGGTTTAAGTTAACCTCATTTATATTTTCTAGATTTAAGTTAACCTCTTATATTTTCTAGGTTTAAGTTAACCTCATATATATGTTGGTTAAAGTAAACCTCATATATTTTTTCTAGATTTAAGTTAACCTCATATATTTCTTGGTTTAAGTTGTCCTCATGTATATTTAGGTCAGTTAACCTCATTGAATTTACGTTAAAGTAAACCGCATATATTTTCATAATTTTACAAATTTTTTTTTATTATTCATTGTTTTCTATGCACAAAGCATGTGTTCTCCTGCAATACAGTGGAAACACTAAACCAACATATAAGAGCCGCTTCACAACAAAACCAACAAAGTGGGTTTGCCACCAGCATGGATCCAGACCAGCCTGCGCATCCATGCAGTCTGATCAGGATCCATGCTGTTCCCTATCAGTTTCTCTACTTGTTATAGGATTTGTAAGCGAACAGCATGGATCCTGATCAGACTGCGCAGATGCCCAGGCTGGTCTGGATCCATGCTGGTAGCAAACCCATAATGTTTGTTTTGTCATGACGCGGCTCATATAATATACTTACAGTGAGAGTTCTCTCCAGTTTACCAGTAGAAATACTGAAGCAATATAAAACCATATCTTCTCCCACACAATAGATCCACTCTCCACGCGGTGATATTGTACAACATATAAAATCTCCACCTTCTCTCTTACCACTTGAGAAACTTCTTACAATCTGCAATGGAAGCCAAAGAAACTATTTAACGTTTTATAAAACTGATTTCCAAATATGATACTAAATTTACCAGTCCTTCTGACTACATTATACAAATGTACATATAATAACATATTTGTCCTAAAACCTAACTGCCCAAATTTGCACTATTCTTTCATTCAACATTTTACAATTTCAACTTTATATAATAATAATGCATTTTCAGTAACTTCACTAAAAAAGGACCTGCAATGGGAGGGATTCTGAATTAAGGCAGTGGTAAATTAAGCAGCTGACAGTATACACACAATGTATCCTTGAGTTCAGATTGGCATAGCTTAATTATATTTTTTTTGATTGGGTTATACTTCCCACCAACACGGTATAGATCAAATGTCGACTTTCCAGCATTACTGATGGAGGAAGACCTCCGATACCCTTCTGTGCATTATTTCAAGTACAAACGGGTACCCAAGTAAAACCACCGATGTTCCATCAGCAAGCTGTATAGCTTCCTCACATGAAAGAATTCAAAGTCTCTGTCGGAATTCGAACCCACAGTGGTGAAGGGCAACTTGTGCATAGTTTTATACTCATGGCATAGGCTATTCATTATAACTTCTAGTGTTTAAATGAGAATAAAATTTGTAAGTTTATAATGTTTGTATAATTACACTGTTTGATTCTAATGCCATGTAAATAACAATATTTTCATTCTTCAACACAAAACTATTAATATTAATAACATTCTTCACAATATTGATGATTTTCATAAAAAAGCCTTTCAAAAGGAAGCTACCATATTAGGACTTTGGACAAAAACGTTCCAATTATAAACATAGGTCACTCACATTTTTGTAGGTGTTGCAGTGCATTGCTGTTTTATCAGAATATCAAAATACTTAACATGATATAAGATGCACCAGTATAATATAGGATTTCCTTGTTGTCAATTACTGCCTGGCATTTAAAAATTTCACCATCAAAACATTAAAGGGACTCCACTCAGTCCACAGAGGTTTTATTTGACATGACAAAACTTGAAATAATTTTTATTCCATTTGATGTAGGTCTAAACCAATATTTTGTGTGCAAAATTTTCAATCATTCGCTTCCACTTTTTTTGTGCCCCCACGTTAGTGGCGGGCATTTAGATTTACCCTTGTCCGTCCGTCCTTCCGTCCGTCCTTCCGTTCACTTTTGTGTCGCACGTAACTCAAAAAGTATTTGACCTAGAGTCATGAAACTTTACAGGAATGTTGATCAGCATGTGTAGTTGTGCACCTGGGTATTTTCGTCTGGATATTTTTAGTATTTCCAGAGTTATTGCCCTTGAGTTTGTAAAATTTGGCAATTTTCAACATGTGTCGCTCGTAACTCAAAAAGTATTTGACCTAGAGTCATGAAACTTTACAGGAATATTGATCAGCATGTGCAGTTGTGCACCAGGTATTTCCGTTTGGATTTATTAAGTATTTTTAGAGTAATTGCCCTTCACTTAGTTTCTCAAAAAGGATTTGACATAGTTATTAAACCTTATGGGCAGGTTGCTCAGCATATTTTAGATTTGCACCTGGGGTTTTGCTTGTGGATTTATCCAGTATTTGTAGATTTATTTCCCTTGACTTAGTAAAAAGATTGACAGAACAGTGGCGCGGTGGGGGCACCCGTGTCCTATGGACACATTTCTAGTTTTTCTCAAATATTATTTTACTTGTGAAAAATGAATGAAAATGCAACACTTTTAAGTCAAATTGGCTTAGAATAGGATAAAAATACAATTCTAAATTTATTCTTAAGTATATTTCTTAACTATCATTTACAAACTTTTCTTTTTTAAGTGTCCCATTTAATCTATGTAAAAAAAATCAAATTTTATATTAAGTTTTTCAAACCTCGGTGGAGTTCCTTTAAAACACCTTTATATATTAAGTTCAGTTACATAAATAATAAAAATATACCTGGCCCTGCATATTGATGATAACCACCGTGTTACTACGGTTACACACCACAAATTGTTCAGCATTTCTAGGTAGTGGGTGTATACTGTTCACTGTAATATCTGTGCCAGCCTGACCACCAAATGATTTAAATGTTGACTGGCATTCTTGTGTTTTGAAATTCCATACTTTTATAGTTCCATCTGAACTGGCACTATAAGTGTATAAAAGAAAACATTGTGAAATGTTATGTGCAATTAATGACTGATTTTGACTAAAGCAGTAAGGACATTGTTTGCATATTTTGACACATTTTTGGTAAATGACTTGTATTAAAAGTGCGGTTTGCAATGTGTAAAGTATATTCTTTTGTTCACTTCATACTATTTCTTCTTTAAATATGTTTTTATTTGATGAAAATTAGCATGAATCTGGAGGCATGCTGCTAAAATCCTGAACCTACTTATTTGCTAAATACCCTAAATGTACTTGTCCAGACTAAACTAAACAGTTATATTTCTAGGGAAAATTTCAGAATATGTACTGACTGAAAAACGAAACAGTGCAGACCATGATCAGATGGCACAATTATGCCAGCTTGGTTTGCACTGGTCACATCGGTAGATTCTGTAGTCATCGGGCAGTCTAACAGTTAATCTAAACCAGAATTTCTCCAACAATTAAATGATAGAACATCATATACTGTGAATTTGCTTAGTTTCATGGACATGAAATGTTTGTGGTTATGTCACAAAAGAACATTTTTGTGGGTACTTAAATCCATCTACTGTTTATTTTTCCTAACAGTAAAATGTTAATAATGTGGTGCAAATAAACCTTACAACAGACAAAACAAAATTTCATTGGATATTAAATTCATGGATTGATCAATGAAAATTTACCTTTCCAAGACAACCATGAAAATTAGTGCCCCACGAACAATGATTTTACATTAGTGACATACCTGATCACATGGTGTGCATCTTGTGTGAACACAGCGTCATTTACAAAAGACCCATGACCTGTGAACTCTTTTAAAGTTTTTCCTGACTTTAGGCCATGCACTCTGTAAAATAAAACATTGCAAATAAATGCCAAATATGGACATTCTCAACATCTGTAGCAAAAATATATATTTTTTTACATTTATGTGCCTGTTCTTTACATTGAAAAATACAGCAGCAGAAATGGGATGACAAAACACTTAAAATTTTCAGTACCATTATAATATCATAACTGAAAGGAGCTTCACTGAGATCAAAAGGCCTATAAACACAATGATTTAAAAATCTTGGACAAGTTCATGATACGATTTCAGCAAGATAAGGTTGAATGTTGTATAAAGTGCTCTAAGAACTGCAATTACCTGATAGTTTGGTCAAATGAGGCACTCAGAAGTTGGCCATTATCTTTAGAGAAATTTGCACATGTAACTCCTTTAGCATGAGCTCTTTCAAACTTGCGTAGACACTGTCCAGTCAATATCTTCCAAACCTGCGCGAGGAAAAACATTAAAATGTATAATATGAATAAAAGTCTACTACTATCTACTCTATATCATAGACAATTCTGCAACAATATTTCCTTTTCTTGAGCAATCAAATACTGTTTAAATGGATATTTCCGCATCTCAAAAAGTTTGCAAATTTGAAATTCCAGTCATTTCGTGTGAGGAAATAATATTGTAAGTGAATGGTAGAAAATAATGACAGGTTGATAGATGTTTAAGCTAGAGGGAAATTTAAAGATTTTTGTCAAGTCGCAAAATTCGCCAATATTTACTTGTAGTTAATTTAACCACTTATACAGTACTACAGTGATTTTACCAGATTAAATGGGATTGACTTTTACAAAAAGGCCTGTCTTCGTTTTTTATTGTATACATTTTCTGCTGCTGCTGATTATCTCAGACAAGTTTATAATAATAATTGATTTCCTGAATGGGATGAAGTGTCATTTTGAAAAAAAATTTTGTCTTCAAAAAATAATTAAATTTTTCAAAGCAAAATAATCTATTAAAAAAGATAAATTTTCAGATCAGATTACATCAATTAGACTTTTCAGACATTTTGAAATCTTTTGTGAAGTCTACATCAAAACAAATTCATATACCCTGTACAATTTTTATAAAAATACGTCTTACTCCTGACATACAACTATCTTATAAACTAAACCGAGTAAAACAGTAAATCAAATACCTGTATAAATCTAAATCTACTCCTCTCAACTTACCTTAATTTTACCGCCTTGGTCCCCGGTCGCTAACATTTCAGAATCTCGGCTAAAACACATACATAATACAGCATCGTCCATCATCATAAAATTATCCTGTATAATAAAAAATCGCAAATTTATATAGCAAATTTACCTTATGCTTTTGAACTGGATACAATATTTAGTCTGTACATAATTTATTTAAGTTTGATTGTGTAAAAAGCTCTAAAAAGCTATAAGCATTTTGACAGATTCTAAAATCTGTTCCTGAAACCAACCAGTACCAGTAGATAAGTGTAAAGTTTCTTGGTCAGGGAAACAATGGCTTGCCCCAGATGGTGTTTGAGCCCTTGCGGGCAACGGTACTTAGATTACTATTGTGATGCATTAAACACTCAACTATATTGGTTAGATAAAAACCATATCACTTTGTTTGAAACTGAGTGACATAGAATTTTTGTTCCCATTTATAGATTGAAAGACAAACTCTAAAGATGAAATGATTTTATTTTTTTTACCAGTAATTAAAATTTACACTGCACAAAATCTCAAAAACTAATTTACCTGTGCCTGGTACCGTAAATCTTTTCTAATTTTTCCCGTGGTAAAATTCCACACCTCTACGAACCCATCAACTGAGCCAGTAACCAGATACTGACCGTCTGGTGAGAACTTGGCGCACTCAATGTGAGCTTTCTGACCAAACTATAAATAAATACAAGAGATATTTCTAAGAATTAAATGTATGTATTGTCAAATTTCAAAATTGACAATTATCTTTTAATAATATAATTTATACTAATATAGTATATATCAATTATTATGAATATAATCTTTTAATCTGACAATATTTCAAAATAGACAATAATCTTTTAATGATGAAATATTCATTTAAAAAAAAATCATTAATTTTTCAACAGTGTAATATTTATTGCCAAAATAGAAAACATTCCATTGAAATATTCATTCTCAAAATACAAAATATTCTATTTAAATATCTATTCTCAAAAAGTAAAAAAATAGAGGACAATAACCTTAGAATGGAGTAATATCTCAAAGGCTATTTACTATATTCAGAAAATATTCCTTTGTCACATTATAATAAAAGACAACATGATGGATAAAACAGAACTACATTAACTTAGCCATTGTCTGCCTCCATTTACTCAAACATTGTAATACTTTATGTTTCACTAATGCTTGAAAAAAGAGAGAAACATTTGACCAAAAATTACACTGGAAACACACCTTAATAGTTTTGTTAAGCTGTGTAGGGTATTTTTCTTCTTCTTGTTCTTTGACCGCTGCCTTTCCTCGGAACACATCAATAGTTGTTCCTGTTAAAATACAGTACTTCATGAACTTTTCACCTTAATATAAAATTAAGGGCTATGAATGGCCTCTTCAAAATATAATTTTTCTTTGAAATCATGCAGTTTTTCCAAAAATCTGCAGTTACACTACCTTTTTTCTTCCCAAATTGAAAATTTTAGCAATAATTTTTCCCAAAATCAAGATGCTAAAGCATCTTCCAAAATAAGTGAGAAAAATCACTAGACTTTAAAAGAACTCAATATCATATCCTACATTCATAAATGAGTCTATGAAAGTGTTGAAGTGTTATCACGTAAGCAAGCAGTTACATGTAGTTTGGTTATTTTATGTTGTTTTCTTTTTATGTTAAAATTTTACACAATTAATGGTTCTATCTCAGCATTTGATCCATCTATTCGGTTTTCTATGATAACTAACCAGTAATAAAATCATTAATCTCACCATTAGATTCAATATATATTGTCACAAACAAATTTCACCATGCCTGAGGATCAAACTTGTCGACCCTAGTTTACAAATCTAATGCTCTCCCTACTGAGCAAAGTGGTCAGCCTATGTAAACATCAACAATGTCCTGCTTTTAACTATTTAAGTATGATGTGTATTTAAAAAAACAAAACAAAAAAAAAACCCAAAAAAAACCAAAACAAACAACATCTCTGCATTATAAGACATGACAAAATAAATCTATGCATAACAAAGAAAACTGGCATGACAAAATAAAACGTAGGCAAAAGCAATGACATAAAATTCTGGAAATGTTTTCCAATGACAGTGACCATTTAAATGTCCTTACAAATAATGTTTGTTGAATTGTTCTTGAATAGTTCAGCAAGTCTTGTCTGATTATATTATGCATTATCTATTATAATTTTTAGCTTACCTGGGGGTAAGAGACCTTGATGTTGTTGCCACTTTAGTGCCTGACCTAGCAAGGCCAACAAACGGGAAGGTGGTACAACATTTACCTCTCCTGACAGGGCAAGAGCTATAGCTGTTCGTCTTTTCTCCTTTGTCTGTCCTTCAGGGTAGGCCTAGAACAATTTACAACAATAATTTTAATCTTTGTAAAAACTTAATGATCATGTAGATAAATTAAAAGCAAATGTCAACAGGGCAAGAAAAATGTACAACCTGATATGGTCTCTGATCCGTAACCTTAACAAAACCTTTCCATAGCTCTATTTATTAAATCATCCTGCTTATCTCCTACTATTTAAATTGGTAAGTTCTTTGTCATGACATAGTCTCTTAATGAATTTTTGTCCTAAAATTTCTAAACAGGTCTGAGATGAACATGATCTGACACAGACCTAAGTTCCATCACAGGCCAACATTTTCAACAAGGGTGCCATAGTCACAAAATACGCCCGTTTACGAAAAAGCTTTATATGGAGATGGGGGCATTATGGATAAGTGTTATCTAGCAAGCAAGTTTTTATTCTTGGCACTGTGTTGTTAAATGAACCTTAAAACAAATCAATAGGGAAGATATGCACAGAATGTGTGACCTTGACCTTGGTCGCAGGGACCTGAATTTTATGCACGGCACTCAGCCTCACAATGATGAACATTTGTGCCAAATTATATTGAAATCCCTCTATGCATGTAGAAGTTTTGCTCCAGACAAGTGTTTTTCTATGAGCTCTAACTGTGACCTTCACCTTTGACCTAGAGACTTGGTTTATGTGCAGGGCACTACGTCTCATGGTGGTGAACAATTCTATAAAAGTAACATTAAAATTCCTCCATGCATGTAGAAAATATGCTCCGGACAACATCTGGATATTTAATCATCTCCAGTGACCTTGACCTTGCAAATATTAACCTAAATTAAATGTGTAACACCTGTAGTCATGATAGTTACCATTTGTGCTACAATCCATCAATAAATGATGACTAAATGGTCCCTATAACCATCTTCAAATTTTTATCTGAACTTTGACCTCTATGTGTAGCCTTGACTTTGGTCGCAGGGATCTGAATTGGAGATGGGGGCATTATGGATAAGTGTTATCTAGCAAGCAAGTTTTTATTCTTGGCACTGTGTTGTTAAATGAACCTTAAAACAAATCAATAGGGAAGATATGCACAGAATGTGTGACCTTGACCTTGGTCGCAGGGACCTGAATTTTATGCACGGCACTCAGCCTCACAATGGTGAACATTTGTGCCAAGTTATATTGAAAACCCCCTATGAATGTAGAAGTTTTGCTCCGGACAAGCGTTTTTCAATGAGCTCTAAGTGGAACCTTGACCTTTGACCTGGAGACCTGGATCATGCATGGAGCAATACATATCATGGTGGTGAACATTTCCATAAAGTATTATAAAAATTCTTCCATACATGTAGGAGATATGCTCCAGACAAAATCTGGATATTTCACCATCTTTAGTGACCTTGACCTTGCATATATTGACCTAAAGTACATGTGTCACAGCCGTAGTCATTATAATGACCATTTGTGTTACAATCCCTCAATAAATGATGATTAAATCGTCCCTATACACATCTTCATATTTTTATCTTTTTTTAAACGGGCGTATAAAAAGTACATGTAATTTAATAACTAAAAAATTCTGATTTAAGATTTTATTCTAGGGAAATACATTTCATTACAATTCTTAATCTTTGAATGAGCTGAACTGATATTTACTTGAAAATTAAAATATAATTAAATTTCTATGAGAAAGTATTTACATTTGATAAGGTAATTACTGTATGATCTTTATGAACAAATACCAAGTCTACAGAACACCATAGTTATCACAGTTAAGAATCTTGACCAATGAATGAAACATGTGTAAATAAATGTTACATTCTTTAGAACATACTCAAGTCCAAGAAAGAGGATTATTTTATGCCCTTTGATTAAATTCTATTTTTAGAATTGAAAGTGAAAGTAGATCAAGGGGAGTAATTGTGTAAGTCATTTATGAACAAAGTAATAACTTTGTTGTCTCCCTTTGATTAAATTCTATTTACAAAATCTGGATATTTCATCATCTTTAGTGACCTTGACCTTGTATATATTGACCTAAATTATATGTATCACAGCCATAGTCTTGATAATGACCATTTGTGTTACAATCCCTCAATAAATGATGACAAAATGGTCCATATACACATCTTCATATTTTTATCTGAACTTTGACCTCTATGTGTGACCTTGACCTTGGCCGCAAGGACCTGAATCTTGCACACGACACTCCGCCTCACAATGGTGAACATTTGTGCCAAGTAATATTGAAATCCCTCTATACATGTGGAAGTTTTGCTCCGGACAAGCATTTTTCAATGAGCTCTAAGTGTGACCTTGACCTTTGACCTAGAGACCTGGTTCATGTGCGTGACACTGCTCCTCATAGTGGTGAACATTTATATGAAGTTTCATTAAAATCCCTCCATACATGTAGGAGATATGCTCCGGACAAAATTGGACGCCGCCCGCCCGCCCGCCCGCCAGGGGCGTTCCCATAATACGTCCCGTTTTTCAAACGGGCGTATAAAAAGTGAGATATCTGCAGTCATATTGTTATTTATATATGAACCTCTCAAATACAATTCCCCAACTCTTATCTATCAAGCTATCCAACCATTTGGGTCTAAGTGGTCAAAAATTTCCAGAGTGGCAAATGGCGTACTGAAGGGTACCGTAATGTATTTCAAGTATCGAACAGACACAAGGTCTCTGTTAGAAATTTACATTGCATATTATGAAAAATACTGAATACAAGCAACTTTATACTTGTAGCAGATTATGACAAACATTTTCTCTATCCCTTTAAGATTATTATAGATCAAGTCAGTGATCAATTTTCTATACTAGCAACTTGATTACTATTTTAGTACTTTGTTGGTAACAAAAGAACCTCACCTCTCTGGGGTCAAAGTAGGACCTGGCAAGCATGTTCTCTAAATGTATATATCTATCAGCCTGGTTGTGTTTTAACATAATCATTGGATCTGTCTGACGTAAAAGTGACCTGGCCGCTCCCAGTTCCCGAAGCTCTATCAACTCTAACACAATCTGGAACAAATAAAGGTGAATGTTTCAATAATATAAATTAGTTTACCTACCCCAGCACTATCAGATAAAGATGAAAATAATACAAAATGTATTCAATGTGCAGTATACATAATTTTCTAAATAAAATAAGAACAGAGAAGTAAACAACATAGCAACACAAGAAAGTCTTCTATCAAAATTTTCATCAATATTGAACAAAGTGGTCACTTAGTCCATGAAACGATTACAATAACTAATCGTAAAACATATACAGCTTTAACAATGATGTTTGATTATATTATTATTATAATTATATAACCCTGTAATTATTATTTATTATAATTACAAAATTTTAGTTACAAGTTAAAAACAAAATACTGCTGAAAAACTTGTCAAGATTGAATAATCATGTCAAAGTAAAGAAAATATGACAAAACATCACTAAATGCCAACATTTCATTTTTTGCACAATTATTGTAAATAAATATACCTGTATTTAAAGGCCACCTGACTTAAGAATACTGTTTGTTTTTCTCAAAATCTAAATTTCTATTCTCAAAAACAAGTCTAGTATTTCTGATATTTCTGAAGGCACATAGACTAAATAAAAATGTATATAAACTTTTAAATATCAATCTAATCTGTTAAATGTTGCAACATAAAACACTTAACCTGCTTGAACTGGCTGTGATCAACCTTTTGAACTTGTATTAGACAAAATATAGAGCGTCGCCTGTGTGCACTTTCATAAAGTTTGACTAGATACTAAACTGTTGGTAGCTCAATATCTAAAAACCCCTTATTGAAGGGAATCTTTTAAAAGCAATGCTGACAAGTAGTCAAATATGGAAGGTTAAAATCTTACATGTAGGTAAAATTAGCTTCCATCAAATTGCCTAATCAGACAGAACTTTGTAATTATATTTAACATTTGTTTTTACCTGCTCATAAAGATCAATTAGTTTCTGGTCTGGCAGTTTGAGTGATTGAATGGCCTGAAGAACAGTGTCCCAGTGACCACTGGTAATATCTGAGATAAATCCATCTACAGAGTCTACTGTGTTGAGAGATATACCACTTTCTTCCTACAAGTAAAACAAGCACAACATTATTAAATTCGGTTTTAAAAATGAGTTATGTTACTTATGGAATGTTTGTTTACATCTTTTATTAATGTTTACTTTTAACTCATTATTTATTTATGTCCACTTTTTAGCAATAACATAAATAAATGATGTCAAATGGAAAGTTGCACTTTCTTATATTCCTGCCATTAATAATATTTGATAACAATGTATCAAGTTCCTTACAGAGATGAACAATAAACAAAACAACTATTTCAAAATAAGTATATAAGATATGTGTAGATATCAATGGGTCATTTTATTAAAAACGTATCTATATACAGTACATTTTCATGATTTAATATTTAGTTATGATACAATTATCTTTTCAAGCTACAATATCCCTTTTTGTCCCACTATTTTCTTATTATAAAATAAATCTTAAAAATATTAAAAATATATATATTTTATCTTTATTTTTTTTTATCTGTTATTGATAATTTCATTTACAGGACACATGTTTAAATATTGAAAACTTGAAAGTTTACCTGTAACACTGTAAGTGTTTTTAGAAGATTGTTTTCTTTCAGGTACTGTTCAATCAAACGCACAACACTGAAACATAATCGTAATACTATTACAAAGTCTGAATTATTAATATTTTATATTAATTTGTCACTTTGCCACATGACATTTAGTGATCTAAGATTGGCGGTAAACCATAACTCAAGACCAATCAGGAAGTCTTTTCTTTTCTAATTTATTGTAATATTTCATTGTTTTTATAGGATAAAACATAGTGACAGCGATTTTTTAAAAAACTTTTCTTGAACCAGCCAATGTCTTTAAATTGGGTAAATTATACTCGGTTAATATCGTCAATCACAATATCTCAAAATCAGCATCCATAGTCTCATGGAGCTAAATTTAAGATGGAGAAGAGACTGTGACGTCACACAGTTAAAATCAGTATCGGCGGCATTGTGTTCCCGCAAGTTGTTATATGTCGCGAGATTTTATGCATCCTGGGTAAAAGTAGCCAAAAAAAACGCCATATTGACTTCCCGGATGTACATCAACAAAAATGACTAAACATTTTTTACTTATATAAGAAGCAATAGTTATTTATTCTAAAACATACAAAACACACTTTTCCACACAAATATTTCTCCGATGAAAATCCATGTCGGCAATGGAAGCAATAATTCACGGATATCGCCGAAGTTTAACGATAGCGTGAAAATCGGAGACTAGCGGGAATGCCCGATTATCACCGAAGCGCGCCAAGGATTGTGGGTCTGAATCGGACTCTTGTCTATTTTTGGAGTTTCCTATCCGTTGTTTATATATCTGTGATAGTCTGATACATCGGTTTAAAATTTTCGGAAAGAAATTTTCAAAATGTGGGGGAATTTTTAGACTTTAAGGAGGAAAAAATTAGGATTTGCAGCTGGAGGACTTTGCTAATATTGAGCAACGTTTAAAAAATATTGAAAAAACTCTGTTAAACAAAGAAATTTTCTGGACCAGATAAATTTTGAATGAGACTGAGAGCAAAATTTCTACAAATCTTAAATTTTTAGGCCTAACAAAAAAAATGTTGTGTTTCTGGTGGCCCGACCGACCCTATTTTTTAGCGCCGACCCAAAGTTTTTTATCGATGTACAAAAAAAAAAAATGGCGCCCGTACCGACCGTACCGAAGACGGGTTTTAGTATTGCGAGTCAACAACGATGTGAGGCACAGACGATTCGGGTTCCAATTACGTATTAACGCTCACCGGCTAATATGGCGGCACAACAAGCAGCCGAAGTGTCACTGCTGGCGATTTTCCGACCTACCGACCCTACTTTTTTTCGCCTCGCCACCAGAAACACATCAATTTTTTTTTTAGGCCTTATGTAATTTAGTACACACAAACAAGATAATTTTTGCCCAAAATTTAAATTTTTGGCAATCTCCTGGAATGACCCCTATGTATATTTCAGAAGTAAAACTTGTATATACAGTACAGATAACGAGGAATATGCAAATTTCTGCGAGTATCAAGTAATCTCAAAAAGCGTGACTCCGAGTGGATTATAAATTTCTCGTACACAAAAGAGTGACTCCGCGTCGATAACGAGTGACAATTAAGTCCGCGGGACTCCGTGAATCTCCGAGCCAAAAAGAGTGACTCTGAGTAATGGTATGCTATATTTATTCATTTTATTAATATATTTTTATGCTTTACCTCTAAACTAAAATCCTTGAATGCATGTATTATTCATTCAAAATAACAAGAGCGTTCAGTAATCACATGTGTCGCCTCATGATGGCCAATTTCATGTTGGGACAAATTTTGTGACAGACAGACAGACAGACGGACAGTGCACAACTAGACTTGGTACTGATCATTCCTGTAAAGTTTGGATAAAATTGCACCAGTAGTTTATGAGGAGTAGTCCGGACAAGCTTTTGCGTATCTGGCAACACACAGAAAAAAACACCTTTTTATCAAAGGGCCATAACTCGGTCAAAAATCATTCAACCGGAAAACCCGTGCAATATGTGCAAGGACTTGAGCTACAGATCAATCCTGTAAAGTTTCATTGAAATTGCATTAGTGGTATAAGAGAAGTAGTCCGGACAAACTTTAAAAATAAAAATTATCAAAGGGCCATAACTCTGACAAAAATCATTGAACCGGAAAATGCTGACAATATGCACAACTAGACTTGGTACTGATCATTCCTGTAAAGTTTGGATGAAATTGCACCAGTAGTTTATGAGGAGTAGTCCGGACAAGCTTTTGTGTATCTGGCAACGACAGAAAAAAACACCTTTTTGTCAAAGGGCCATAACTCGGCCAAAAATCATTCAACCGGAAAACCCGTGCAATATGCGCAAGGACTTGAGCTACAGATCAATCCTGTAAAGTTTCATTGAAATTGCATTAGTGGTATAAGAGAAGTAGTCCGGACAAACTTTAAAATTAAAAATTATTAAAGGGCCATAACTCTGACAAAAATCACTGAACCGGAAAATGCTGACAATATGCAAAACTAGACTTGGTACTGATCATTCCTGTAAAGTTTGGATGAAATTGCACCAGTAGTTTATGAACAGTAGTCCGGACAAGTTTTGTGATGGACGGACGGGCAGACAGACAGACAGACAGACGACGGAGAAGTGATCCCTATATGTTGCCACTACTCCGTAGAGGCGACACAAAAATGTTGTCAAATATTCTTCGTTCATGTAAAGTATCACAAGTGAAAACGAAAGTAGACAACTTGATTCATTAATATCAAAAGGAAAGAATAACCGATGATTTCCCGCAATTCCCGTGTCATAATGACAAAAACATTTGTTTTCTTTAGGAACTGTCGCAGTGATTTAATAGGACTGGAGACATTTAAAGATTAATGAAGTTTATATAATCTGAATTATTCTTATTTCATAAAGAAGTATACAAAAAAGTTGGGCCGTTATTATATGTTTGTTTTTTTTATCGTTTTTTGTTTTTGATAGAATTTCAGGTTCCTGTGGTTATTGCTACTGACCGAATTAATTGGGATAAAAATAAACTTGATGACGCTTACGGTAGTGTTTTTTCTAATCAAATGTACCTTTCAACTGTTTCATGGTAAATTGAAAACAACAACGGTAAAAATCATCTTTATTTTCGAATCGTAATCTAAAATGAAATGTAAAATGAGATTGCACTTGCATTTATTTACACCAGCTAGACACGACATGGAGACACGGAGTCACGCGCTCTTATTTTCGTCTCAGAGTCACTCTCATCACACGTTTCTCACGCAGAGTCACTCGTTTTTATGGACAAATACTCTCGCGGAGTTGCGAGTGGATTCCTCGATCCTCCGAGGATTTTGCATATTCCTCGTTATCTGTACTGTGATAGCGAGCTCGACGAGCTATCCCGAAGGGCCTGCTCGCAAAGCGAGCTTTACGGTAACGCGAGTACCTGCTAAGTGATGGTTTTGAAAACTTTCGTCCGAAGTACCGAATTGGACACATCGCAACCTTTCGAATTTAATGATAACGACAAAAACTGAGGAATTCTGACTGAAAACGGATGTGTAGACTGGTCACCCGCGCACGTCTATGGGAACCATAATTGGACAGGGAACCAGAATAACGGAAGCTGTGTATAAAATATCGAATGATAAAATGAAAATTGAAGGCGCCATTTTGTTTGAAATCTGATAAATAAAACAAATTTTTTGTCGAATTTTGTTGTGAAAACTATCTAGAATGAAAGAAAATGGTCTAACTAAGAAAATGAATCCGAACACCAATATCTTTTATTCAGTCGTTAATGCTGTACAGACGTTTAAAGTATTGTTTACGTGACGTCACATGTAGCGCCAAACAGCACGTGCAAAACAAACAAATCATATATGCTATTTTAATGTCGCAAACGTTTTAAGTTTTACATTTATTTCACTTTAAATAATCTTTATTTCGCTTGAAAAATTATAGAGTGAAATAAAATAAACATGTTTTATCAACGTTTTCAAAACTCGTTATTCATTTAACCAGGGCTCTAGCTAGACTAAAATTTTAGGGAGAAGTGACTTCTCCCTCAGCTCCTATCAGGGAGAAGTTTGACGACATAAGGAGAAGTGAAAAAGTGCTTAGCACATTGATTTGATCTATAAAAAGGAGTTTTACCTATTTATTGATAGTGATATTTGAAATATAATTTCTAAAACCTTGTATCATCAGACCATTATATACTGTTTTCTTCCTGATTCACTCCACACCCCTCCCCCCTCCATTAAGAAAATATTCATTGTACAACACATACTGGCAAATTCCTCAATCTAGACTGATGTAAACAATACCTTAAGTAATTTTAATCAATAAACTACATTTAAAATACTATTGGACACATTTTTATCAAAACAAATTTTCCTTTTGGTTACTTTATTTTTTTTCATCGTAAAAATCGGCATCGCAAAAATATGTGACAATTGAGAATTTGTTTATTTCCTGCAGAAATACTCGCAATTCTAGTTGTTGTTGATTTTGATCATATCAAGTTAAATATTTTATGATTATTTTTAGATTGTTATTCATCTGCAATTGTATCAGGCATTGTAAACCATTTGTTTTAATTTGTAATTTACGGCAAAATTTTCCAATGCTGATGCATCTTTTTGAAGACGAAGTTTACTACTGTTTATTTGACTTGTCAAAAATTGGTCTAATGTGGGTCAATGTTTTTTAAGTTCTTTTATAGGTATCAAAATATTTACTTGTGCTTCTGTGTGTTTTAATTTATATGCAAGTAAATTTACACGGTCTGTGTGAGGTTGCGTGTAATTACTGTGCAATTCCGGGTGTAATCTTTTCACACTCGCTGATAAAATAGTGGCAGGTGTCGTAAAATTATGCTTGAAAAATGTGATGTTTACATCGGCGAATTAAATGGCTATAATGTCCGATGTATCTGCATATCATGTCACTTTGAAAATGTGTTAATTGATGTCAATTATCGGCAGTAACTGTGCGTCACTGATTCAGTGTGATTTATGCCTGGAGGCGATGATTAACTTAATTAACATGCGCTGTATGATATTTATATGTACATGTGGTAAGTAAAAAAAGCACGGCGAAGTCGTTTTCGCTTTGATGTTTAAACTCGGCGAAGTTATGAAACTTTAGGCGACTAAGTCGCCCAAATCGCCCAGTTGCTAGAGCCCTGTTAACGACAGGGGCGGAGCCATATTTAACACAGTACTTGTGACGTCACACGCACTCGTCACTGCATTTGAAATAAAAATGAGCGGTTATTTCATACTATTTCACGTTAAAAGTACATCGAGCTCGCTTTGAGGCTTTGCCTTTTTCATATTACACTAAAGAAAACGGAATGAACCTTATATATACTCCTGGTTTAGACCCCGGGGTCTATTCCAGGATATAGCCAAACTTTTCATATTAAAGTAGCAGATTGCAGTTTAAAAGATCGCAAACGAAGAGAATATTTCAGAAACTATATTTTATAACAGACTTGCGAATGTCGCGAAATTATGTTACAATTTTGCTATCGGGTTGCAGTACTCTTTACACATGTAATACAACCACATCCTTTACACCTAATAACTTAATAGATCAAGCTTATAGAATTCTGTTAAAACATTAATGCTAATATATTGCATTTTTTGAATAAATAAGATATTTACTCGGCCGACTCGATTTCCACCGCCATCTTTGTTGTTATTGTTTTGGAAGTAATAAATTCCGTACCGCAGCCTTTTTCCGTAAATGGCCTTTCTGGTTGGAAAGAAATTGAATAAAGACAAAAACATTGCAATATTCATGTATATTTACAATATGTTATGTATAAATGTGTCATAATTATGAGATGCCTTTATCAAAAGAAAACAATTTGACATAACATTTATATACTCAGCAGTATACTCGTTCTATATGAACATCACTCACTGAGCAAGACCAGGTATATATATGTTAATATACGTACCTGGCAAGACTCATATTGTGAGCATAACTAACTGAGCATTAGTAATACTTTAAATAATCAATACTTATTCCATGGACATAACAAAGTCAACAATATACGATCAAACTGCGAGCATAACCCAGGGCCACTGAGCACTATATATAGATATTCATACCATGTCCAAAGCACTACTCATTTTACCAGTATTCACTTCGTTAACATTACTTCTTATGTATTGAAAACTATTCACAGAGTACTCAGTTTTGTCATTATTACTCATTAGTCATACTTTTTTTTACATTTCATTTCATTACCCGCGGGACAATATGCACACTCAGTTTAAAATATAAGCCTAGTAACTATAGGCCTATATCATTAACCTGCATTAATTGCCTCAAAACTAATGGAGCATATAATTGTCTCCAATATCAAGTCTTTCTACGATAAGCATGATATTTTCAGCAATTCCAACATGGTTTCAGGTCAAAACATAGCTGTGAAACCCAGCTTATCAGTTTCACCCAGGAAATTCATGACAATTAAGAGCAAGGCCAACAGTCCGATGTCATTGTCATGGACTTCAGGAAAGCATTGATAATGTCGACCATCACAAGCTTCTCCTTAAACTACACAGACTAGGTGTTAGCTCAGAGGTCATCAATAGGACAAGGTTATTTTTATATGGTCGCACCAACAGGTCGTTGTCGATGGTCAAAACTCTGACAACCTACCAGTTCTTTCTTGTGTCCCGCAAGGCTCTGTCCTGGGATGGGACCTTGCTATTTCTTTATCTTACATAAATGACCTCCCTGATAGTTTTAAGGGCAAGGTTAGACTATTTGCAGACGATACAATAGTATACCTAACAATCAAATCGACCCAAGATGCACAGACCCTCCAAAAATATCTCAACAGTCTTGAAAACTGGGGATCTGATTGGTCCATGGAATTTAACCCAGATAAATGTGAAGTCCTTAGTATCAGCCGCAAAAAAACATCCTGTAGCATTCCCTTATAATTTACAAGGTAAACAACTAAAATCCACCGAGGCTGCAAAATATATTAAGGTGTAACAATTAGTAAAGATCTATCTTACCCAATCATATGTCTGGATGGTAGATTGCGCTAACCACTACCTTCCATAAACAGGATCAATCCAACCGAGCCTGCAGGATTTTCAATTTTGCTGTTTTGACCATTTTTAGAGACTTCGTTTTTCTAAATTTTACCGTCACTGTTGTGTTGTTTGCGCCTTTTTGGGAGCCGTAAAATTTATATTTCCGACCCTTGAAGATCTTTCTGCCCGAAATTACTTTTCTTTATGCCTGTGGTATTTCAGTTTCTTCTATTTGACATTTTTGTTGTTGTGGTTCCTACTAAAATATTGTATAATCACCTTAAGGATATATGATGCCTGCCCTTTCAACTTGTCTTTTGACGTCTTGCCTGTCGATAAGTTCTAACTTCTTTCAAAATTCAAGTTTATTTAGTTCCAAGTTAGGGCGCACGCATTTTTTTACTTAGAGACCATACGCCGCTTCTAGAGGAATTGCACGAACGCAAATGTGTCTTGTTGAAATTTTCATAACGACAGCTATACGAACACATACAGTATACACGGGAGTTTCTAAATGAAAAAAATCGTCAATGATGCGTGAATGGTAGCTGGCATTTACCACAACTGTCCATAAATAAGTTCAATCCAATCGAGCCCAAAACATTTTAAATATTGATGTTTATTCCGTTTTACTCTATTTAATATATTATATATATTTTAAACCCCTGCTTATCCTTTCTAAAGAATGAAAACAATAAAAAAGCATGTGCCTTTACCATCGCTATGTTTGTATAAGGTAAAAGACGTCACGTCAAAATATACACATGATCGTGCAATACCAGCTTTACGGCGTTTACCTTAAAGATAAGCACTGTTTGAAAAAAAAAGTATTGTATAAAAGCGAATGCCATTGTTCCTGGCCTGACTTTTTTGTTTATTTAAAGAACCCTTTTTAGATAACGCTTGTAATTATGAGTAACGTTAACATGGTAAGTGTACGATATTTTAACTTTTAAAAAGTTTATCTTGGGTACATATACATGTGGTATATATAAAAGTAAACAGTAGTAAAATTATCTATCATTAGTAGTATGTGAACAAGTAAAGACACTGTAATAACCATGTCGTGAGTACATTTATTTTCTCACTCGTATATTTCTTTTATGGCATTTTCTTAACATCTTTATAAGAACTTTCACTTAATCATCTACAAATTAACATAAAGTTGGGTAATTAGATACGTAAGGGGCGTGTCAGGAAAACGAATTAACATAAACGGCTAATTGATAATGGTTGTGTAAAAGATGAAAATAGCAGATTTTTGCAACAACTCTAATTACTTGCCCCCTTGCACGTATCCACTCTTAAAAACCAAAAAGTTACTGGATTAATTATTCCAAATGCCCAGAAACAAATAGCGGCACTTTGATGAAGTACGAGACAACTTTTTATAGCATCTAAACAACACTTTACACGAGCTTTCCGGAAAAAGAAACCACTTAATAGAAATGACAACAAAATTTGATCATGTAAAATCGCAAATTTGCTTTAATTAAATTTATATAGATTTTGAAATTTTATTTTTTAATAATAGTGAAGCAATGAATAGCCCTAATTTTGAAGTAGATGCAGTGGAGTGAGGGAAGGGGGCGGTGGTTGTGATGTTTGACCCGTTGCATAGCAGCAAAATGTTTAATATTTGCCTGATATTTTGTATTCTGCAGTGACCGTGAAAGACTGCTCGGGGGTAGTATCTCTCAGGAGTCTGTAGGAAAAGATACGGATGTTAAACAGTGCAATGGTGTCAGCAAACATATAGACGAGAAAACGCCTCTTACCGGAGGCTCTGCCGAGATAGCTCCAGGTCGGTAATCTATACAGTACTTTTTACCATTAGCAATTTTGCAACATTGGTCATAGCATTCAACTGTTATATTCGTCCATAAAGAATTGTTGACATAGTTGTGAAACATTTCGTGTGAAGACAAAAGGAGTTATCCTTTAAATATTAGAAATTATTTCTCAACACATTTTAAAAATATTTAAAACCAATTTTACCCGGCACATGAATTGAAACGCTGTAAAAGCGTATTGCATGACCTTGAACTCAATTTTAATCAGTGTGAATGAATTCATACGTGATTCACTACCTTGCTAAATATTTACTATTGCTATAATAACATATTTCGATCTGTTTATTACACCAAGTAGACTTAAATCTGTGATAATTACTGTGGTAATTAAATAAATTATCTGACTGATAATTCGCAATCAGGAGTTCAACCAGGAGTTAACATATCATTATGTAAAAATAATCATTATAACATAAATTAATCAAAGTTTACATGATAACTTTAGATAGTACAGATGTCCCGAGATACGGACTCAACCGACTCTATACCGACTCAACCGAGTCCGTGATAACCTTTTAGCTGTTCATTTTACCTTTTACCTGTTCATTTTACCTTTTACCTGTTCATTTTACCTTTTACCTGTTCATTTTGAGTCATGGATTTGGTCCGTTTTGAATTTGGAGCAGTCAATTCAAAGTTTAAAATGTACATATAAAGCTATATCTAATAAAATATTTCTAATAAAATTTATAAACAATGAGATTGTGTTGTTTCTGCAATCTTAGGCCCATTATGCCTAAAAATGTTTTATCTTTTATTTCTTCTCAAAGCTTTTTATTTTCGGTATACAGTTATAGTTTCAAAATAGTTACTCATTGGCCAATAATTTGAAAAATTTGTTTCTTCCATAGCTTTTTCGCAATTAGTACAGTTTTAGTGATTGAAGGCAAAGTAATACTTGTTTACATTTTCCTTTTTTTTATGACAAATAATTTCATAATTAGAGGTACTTTCCTCAGGTAACAAGCAACTAAATGGTCTAAAATTATTAATTAAACGTTATAATAGTCATGTTTGCCCTTTTTAAAGTAGTAAAAATGTAATCGTTTATGAGGCATAATGTGGCTTTAAGGAAATATGTAAACATATGAGCCGCGTCATGACAAAACCAACATAATGGGTTTGCGACCAGCATGGATCCAGACCAGCCTGCGCGTCCGCGCAGTCTGATCAGGATCCATGCTGTTCGGTATCAGTTTCTTTACTTGTTATAGGGTCTGTAAGCGAACAGCATGGATCCTGATCAGACTGGTCTGGATCCATGCTGGTCGCTAACCCATTAATGTTGGTTTTGTCATGGCGCGGCTCATATATCTTTATACACTTCAAAGAATTTCTTTATCATTCTTTATCAACATGCAAAATTTAACAACCAACAATGTAGGGCCTGGCCAGGCAGACATAACGTTTGGTTCCACCAGTTTAAGGGTTTTAAAGAGTGGGAGATTGAATAAGTGTGATATATTACTAACCTGATGAATATCTTGAATGAACTTATTCAGCTTCCATTTTGTAACAACACCATTTTACCCATAAACACACCTTTTACTTCTTTAGAAAGGGCAAACATATTTTTTTAATGTTTTTATTATTGGTTTTAGAGAATGTCAGATGCTTGTTACCTGGAAAAAGTAGCGATAAATGTGAAATAATTTGCCATCAAAATAGCAACACGTAACCAAAGTTTGACTTCCGTAAACATATTAATTCACTATAACTGTATGTATTGCCAAAAAGCATCTAATGAAAAAGATGGTTAATTAAGGTTACTGGCCAATAAGTAACATTTAGGCTCCTTTA